TATGTCAATGCTAACCCTGTCCCCCAACCCTAGGCCCTAGTCCTACCATATGCCTAACCCTAATTTCTAACCATAAAATTTGTCGAGATTACAATAAGTACTAACAACCCAACACACCTATTTTATGAAAGAGTCTATTATCGGAAATCAGTATCTAAAATCATCCTTTTTTTAGGTCTTTAGGTAGTCCCTATCAGTTTTGCTATTCATAACATTTTTATTAAACTGCTACAAAAACAAATACTCATTGATATTTTGTTAAAAGTGTAAATTAAAAGTTGCTGAATTATACCCAGTATTTTTCAATTTCAGCTATTCCGCATAAAAAGTCTTCAAATAGAATGGATCGTTTGAAGCAGTGGAGAGAGGAAAGAAAAAAGAAAAATGGAGGAAGAAAAGAGAAATTCAAAGAAACCAATGTTTAAAGTTTCACACATGGAGTATCAAGGCGAAGCAAGTTTGTACAAGAAAGAAAAGGTACATACTTACTAACCTACTTAATGCTCTCTAATAAATGTCTATATATATTGTTATTTTGGGACTAGAGAATTACATTTTGTAATTATATGATTGGGAATTTCCAGGCTCAACAAAATCTTAAGGAAAAAACATGATAGACTGGCAAAACAAAACTCAAAAATCACAACAAAGCCAGAAGCTGCCGCCAAACCAATTACTGTTCCCAAGCCAGTGCAGGCCAAGGCAAAACCAGTCATTCAGACAGTTACTAAACAAGAGGTGCCTTCTACCAGAATGACAAGATCAAGTGCTAAGGAAACTGCACCAAGCAAGAAAGCTATGTTAGAAAAGAAATCTGTTAAAGAAACTGCAACAAATAAAAATGTCCCATCTAAAAAGACATCTCCTGTTAGAAGTTCCAGTCAGAAGAAAGAAAAAGCCCAGAAAGCATCTAATCTCTATTCTAAGCTCACTGTATCAGCTGCAGCTAAAGCTAAGGTGATTTTGAACAGAATTTACATTTTTTTTTATTTTTTAGTTTTTTTTAGTTAGCTCTTTTGTTTTACATTCTTTGAATAAAACAATTCAAACTAACATGTAGTGAGCAATATTTTAAACGTAACATAATGATTCGGTAAAAAGTTAACATGTTACCATTTTATAATCTCAATATTTAATCCACCAGGGTGCAAATGATAAACCAAAAGAGTTTTTGAGAGCTAAACCTCATAAGGTAGCAAAGGTAGCGAAGAAAGAGGTTTCAAATGAAAACTTGACAGGTACAATTTAAACTTTTTGTGTGTATATAATTTAAAAAGCAGCTTACATTTTACATGTTATATCAGTGGTTTGTCCATTTCAGGATCCAAAAACATCAAGATAACTATAGATGTAAAAGTTGAAGCCACAAATAGCTCTAAACGTAAGAAGAGCATCAAGTTTACTGAGCCTGATCTAGGTCGTACTGATGATAGCTCATCTGGATGTGGTAATTCATTTACATTAATAACTTGTGCCATTTACTTATAAAAAGTATGTTTCTATCTTATCAATTATTCAATAATCTCTTCGTTTAATAATGATCCTAAAATTTGTGTTTTCATTTCTCCTATTTATCTTTATTTAGATAACAATGTTAAAAGCAAGATCAGTAAGGGGGTCATCCATTTTTTTTTTCGTACCCCCCCCCCCCCCCCCCCCCCCCCCCCACCACAAAAATCCACTTTTTTCCCTTATACAAGTCCATATGCGCCCACAAGTCTTTTTTGCCCCCCGCCCCCCCCCCCCCCCCCGCCCGCAGTCATCATAAATGGATGACTCCCCCCCCCCCCCCCCAATTTAACAAGTAAAAAATTTTACTTATACATTTTCAGTATGTGCTACCTGTGATCTTGGCCAATATTCCATTCTTTCTTCTTTAATGTTTACTTCAATCTTTCTTTTCAGATGTGAACTTATCGGATTCAAATGTGAAAACACCAAAACACTCTACCCCCCACATTATCAAAAAGCCGTTCCAAGAGTTCTGGATCCAAGTGCAGATACAGGAAAACACCTGCTGTCAGAAGGAGCCGTAGTTCAGCAAAGCGTCTAGCCACCCCCCGCCGCTCTAAGAGAATTATCTCAGCCCTTAAGAAAGAAACAGGTGAAGATGTACCTGATAAAACTGAGGATGAAGAATCGTTTGCTGATTCTTTGGACAATAGTGAAACACCAGTTAGAAAGAATGACCATCAGCAAAGTGGAAATGTTGATGATATATCATTCAGTGATGATGAAGTTGCAGAAAAAAGTATAAATAACCTTAGTAAGAATGATGCATTTGACAACAAAGAAAATCTGGTCAACAGGATTAAGAGCTCAAGTTCTGATACAAAGCGCAAATCAAATTATTCTCCTTCTACTGCAGTTAACCCCAACATGGAAAGTACACCTAAAACAATCATGTCACCTTTAAACCCACAAATTGATCAGGATTCTGGACTTGCACTCAAAGAATCGGACTTAACACCGTATAGTAAACTTTTGGATCAGAAACTAAAGTCTACTACAAAAAGACGAAGCAGGCGCCTAGATTTTTCTCCTGCAAAGAAAGCAAGCGTAGAACATACTCCTACTAAATACTTGTCAAACTCTGAAACCGGAGATACTGAGGATACTCAGATTTTGTTCGAATTGAATAGTACACCATCTAAGCGAGTTAAATATTCAAGTGTGAAACAAGGTGATGATATAGATAATGATAATCAAATATATTTAGATTCTGAAGTAGATAAAAAATCAGTGTCTAGTGTTTCAAAAAGAAAGAGCACTAGGCTTGCTGCCTTGACAGCAGAAAGTTCAGAAGAAAGTACATCCAAAAGCCCTAAAACCAGAAAATCTATGCGACGCAGCATAAACTATGGGAGGAGAAGCATTCTTAAGCGCAGGTCTCGTTCTGTTGTTGTATCTGTGAGTGATGAGGGAACTACAAGTAATGTTGGTGAGTTTGTAGTATTAAGACTTTAAAATAAATCTGCTAAGCATTAATTTAACTTTCAGAAATATTTTATCTCAAATAGCTAATTGATTCTTATTAAAGTCATCAAGTGTTATAGAAATAGCTTGTCTTTAGAATTGTTTCAAATTAAATTATTTTTAAAAATATTTAGTTTTCTTTTCTTTGTTAACTTAAAACTTTATTGACTTGTAATGTTCGAATGTAATTTTATAAAAATTATTTAAATTGATAATTACAGATGAAAATACAATTACTGAAGTTCATCTTACAAATGAAAACCATCCCCGCCTGGATGTTTCACTGAATAGATCCACTGAAAATCGCAGAAGTACTCGCAAGTCCCAGGTCATCCATGTAAGTGATGAAGGAACAACCCTTGTGCCTGAAAGCCACACTGTGTACCAAGTTAAAAAAGCTGCTGTGTCTGAAGCCCCAACTAGAGCTTTACAAGAGCTTTCTGTAGAGAAGATGGGGGGGGAAGGAGAGACCAGCTTCATTGAGGTAAATAATTCAAAATGTTATACTTAATTCAGGTTAAATTGAACTTAAAGAAGAAACAAATTGTGTAAAATTTTTGTATTCATTAGGTGCCTATGGATGAAAGTGATAGCTGTGAAGTGAGCATACACCAGGCCAGCACATCTTCAGGAGATAAAACCCAGTCTACTCAACCCTTTTCACCCCACACTTTAAATACCAGCTGTACAGATGCTTCCTCTCAGAACTCTCCGGGACCTTCAGCAGAACCTGTTTCCTCCCCTGACAAGAACCAGGAACTTACAAACTCACCTGCTGCAGTTACACCCAGGTCACTTCGACAGCGCAGGGGCCGATCAATTGCCCCAAACATATTCAAAACCCCAGGGCAACCATTGTCTGCTATTAAAGCCAAGAGTGAAAAGCGTAGACGTAAAACTGAATACACACCATCCAAGTCTCCTGAAGAGATGTATGTAGTTTCAAAAAGTTTTAATACTTCTGGCTTGTTTTAGAATATTATTTTATATTTTAAAATAACATTTGAATAATTTCAAAGTAGGTGTAGATGCAGTTCGCTTAACTATTAATTTAGACCAATTTTAAAAATACATGTAAAGTATCAAAATAACCTGTAAGAATTAGGTTTCTAATATTCTGTACACTATAGTAACTTGAATAGAAGTGTTGTCTACATGTATCAAAAAGAAAACTAAAGCTTTCATGTCTATGAAGAGTTTTACAATCAAATTTCAAAATAAAACATGTAGAGATATAGTTATTCAAATTCTGGTTCATTGTGTGTTAGTGATATATTATTGTTTAAATTGTGTGACTATTCTTCTTAGCAAAGGCCCAGTATTAAGTCATTTTACTTTAAATAAACTGTTCAATTGTTAATTAAATTGTTGTAGGGTTGAAATTCTGAAGAAAAGTCCTATGATTGAAATGAATAGAAGGAAATCTCGCTTTGCAGCCAAATCTCCAGGTAATTATATTTGTTAAGGGTGGGGGTGTTATGTATAGGATTTACCTTAGTTTTGTATTGTGTAGTTTTTTAGGTATAACTTACTGTTTTAGTTTTTCCTTTTCTCATTAGAATTGATTTTCCCTGATGTGTCCAAATTTGACTTGATGCTCACCGAGGTGACTCAGCTTGAAAATATGAACACTGGAGATAAACCTGCTGAAATCACAATCTCAAATGATACTGATGGACAAGTTTCAAATGAGGCTATTCAAGAAAGTTCCTACAGTGAGTAAACCTTACAGTTTATAAAACCATTGTAACATGGGGCAGATGTAGAGTTCATCAGTTTCAATGATCTCTGTTATACAAGAGGATAGTGTAGTCAGCATTCTGCCTATGAGAGCTGGGTGAACTCAAGGAGGTCCTCCACACTCAAGCCTTTTACTTACTTATTTTAAAGTATTAATATAAGAAGAGTAAAAACTACAATATTTGATAGTTTCATGAATATTTAATATTTTTCTGTTCATTCTTCAACTTTTACTTTGCATAGAAATGGAGAGAGTGAAATATTTTCGAGATCTTGTCAAAGTAGAAACCAAAAGGCTTAACGATCTTTGTCAAGAATGGACTGAAACTATTTCTAACACCGCTGACTTAGGAGAAGACAGTAAGTAGTCTTAATTTTCTCAATATACTGGAAATTTTCAGAATTTTATACTATATTTTTGTAGGAAGCAAGTCATGACACAGTAGGTAGATAGGGACAAGTTATTAAAAGAAATCTAAGTTAACTTAATGCAACTTTCCCATTTTTCATGGTAACACAGTTTCCAAAGGCATAATAAATTGCCCTACTTTTGTACAGACACCTTAAAATGTTTTATCATTTTTACTGTTGTAAAATAACACTTTAACTAACCTACTCTGGGTTTATTTATATGCTTAGACTATAAGCTTTTGCTATGCTTTTTTTAAAACTTGTTTTATTATTCATAACTTTTATTAGTAACTCTAAATTTTATGGCCAATTTTGTGTTTACAGTTCGTATGATATGTTCTTTTCTGTTCTTTAAAGTGTTGCAGTAATTCAATTTGCTCTCTTCTACAGGCGAGGGACAAATCAGATCAACTGTTGGGAAAGCCCAGTTGTTGATTGATCAAAGGTTTAAGCAGTTCATTGGGTTGGTTGACAACTGTGAATTTGATCTTGGTGAAAAAGAAACTACCCCTACAGATTTGCAAGGATTTTGGGAGATGATTTATTTTCAGGTGGATAGTTAGCTTTACCAACATATTTACACGCATGTTTATGCTAATTTATAATTTGACTAATAATTCCGATTTTTTATTATTTTTTTTTGCCATTAGGCATGTTTTATTTTGTGTCAGTGATGGGGGGATTTTGAACTAGATGTGTAGAAATATATTTATGTCTGATGAATTTACTAAACCCTTAAAATTTTATGAAACATTTTATCCTAAGCACTAAAATAATAACTTGACAAATTTAACGTGAAAAAAATGTTTCAACCAGGTGGAAGATGTAAACCAAATGTTTAGTAGATTAACAGAACTGCAAAACAATGACTGGCAGGTCAAACTTACCCCAGTTAAAAATGTACCAAAGGTTAGATAACAAATTTCTTTTATTATTGATAAGTTTTTGCAAAAGATTTATGAATGTTAATAATAATTCAAACCCTTAAGATGACAGAGTGATATTTTTATTTGTTTTAATGCACTTTTTTAAAAACCTATTTTCAAAAACTTTAATCTCCAGAAGAGACCTGCAGTGAAAGTTTCTAAATCAAAGGTTAAATCAAATTTTGCTGCTTTCCGGCAAGAAATGATGAATAGAAAAAAAGAGGTGACTTCAGACAAAAATATTGAGAATGAATCTAAAGATGACTCAGAAAGTGTCAAAGTTTTTGATGCTGGGTTTTTTAAAGTTTCTAGTCCAGTGAAACTTCAGTCAGGTAAAAAAAAAATAATACAAATGACATCTGAATAATTTACTTTTATCTTAACTTTACATGAAAATTTCATCACATATTATTCAAGCATTTTTCCAGAACAATTTTCTATTTTTAGTGGTCAGTTAACCTCTACATCACTTATTAAAATGTAACAGTATTTACTTAAGTTGGGCTAAATTTTTATATTATTTTTTAGGTAAAAGCACGCCATGTAACACCCCTAAGAAAGAACAGGTTGAAGAAGTTGCTGTAACACCACCAAAGGACGCAGCTGCTAATCAACAGAACTCTCCATTCTGTAACATAGAAAATGTGGCAATGGCCACCCCACATAACAGGTTATTATCTGTCAAGAGAAACAGCTATGTGCCTGCAATTCCTAGTCCCCTTCTTAATGATATCACAGGCATAAAAACAAAGAAGTAGAAGACATGTATTTTAATTCCTCACAGTTTTAGTATGGCTTTTAAAATAAGTAATTATGCTTGTACATACTGCTGGAAACACTGGCCAATGAGAAGCAATCTTATATTGTAAATAAATATAGGTAATTTCAATATTTGTTATTGGTGTTGAAATTCTGGAGTGTTTTCCAGCACACAATTTTAGATTTTTTGAAAAATAAAATAATTGCACTTAAGTTAATAGTAAAGCTTGTCACCCAAGAATTATGAAGCTTTAAGATTCTTGTGATTCTAGGGTGTAACTGCTGGAACTACATGATTTTGGTTTGTGTACAAAGTTCCTATAGGATGACATATGCCTTGTTTAGTATTTAAGAAATATTTTTAAGTTCGTGATTTATTGGCTTCAAAAAGCTGCGTTAACAATTTAAATTAAATCTTATGTTCTAACGTTTACATGAGATAAGATTTGTCAGCTAAAATTATTTTAATTTAATTTCTGTTATTAATTTGACTGAAAATGTTTAATTCATTAGTATATCATTGTTGTTTTATTAATTTGATACATATTTTTAAATGTATAATGTGACATAATTATATTAGAAACATTATCCAACATATTTTTTTTTATTACCAGTAGATCTATATATTATATACAATTATTTTTTTATGTTTGTAAAAATTTGAAGTTACTTGCTATAAAACAAAACTTTAAGAAGAGGCCTTATGTGTTTACACTGCTGTAACATTGAAAGAAAGTGGTAATAATTAGAAATATGAGTTGCTGTTAACTGCATCATTTCTTGTACCAACCTTCAAGTACTGTAACTAAAACTAAACCTCTTTCATTTCATATCATTTTTTAAATGCTTGATCAATAAAAATGAAAACCTGATTTTTCTTTTGGCCTGTTACTAGTCTGAAAAGTGAGCAATGTACAAATTATTAACCATTTATTCTATTTCTAGTTTTTTACTTTACAATTTATATTAAAAGCACTTTAAGATAGAAATTGTACTATGCAAAAAAAAAAAAAGTTGTCATTCATTTATTGAGGTTGATGTAATGACCAAACAGGATTGAAAAATGTTGCATTTTAAAATTTGAACAAAGAACTCATGAACAATTTCAGCAATTTATTTGAGAAACCAAGTACTTAAACAATTAATCCTTTGACAAATGATGCCAACACACATCAGCCAGAATATAGTAAATTAAACAATCCCAACTGAAACAAACATTTCAATAAATGGCACTAAAAAGCTATGTCAAAATGTTCACATGACAGAGGAATTGGTCTCACACAAGTCCATATGTTCAACAAAGTATGTATATGATGCTATAACAATTTGTATAAAAATATGCCCTTTAAAAAATGTCAACTATATGTGACCTTAAGCAGGAAGAAGTACTATTGATTAAATATTTTATCATTACAAAAAAAGTTTAAACCATAGAACTGGAGAGGGGTGGGGGACAAGCAATTCTATTTTTATACCTAATAGTATTACACATTAAAGTTGCCCAAGATTATTATTTAAAGAAAGACAATGTTGAAAAACTAACATTTCATGCAAAGTATGTAATTACATGTTAAATTAGTTGTGAGAAACTACACTTTTTTTGTGGTTGTCACATAAGGGGTTCCAACCAAGGGAGCTGGGAAATTATAAGTTACAATTGATGTGGAAGTCCATAGTTTCACCCACCTGATTCAAGATGTTGGAATGTGTGTTCTAACAGATCTAGAATTATTTCTGGTCAAAGGTGTATGAGATGATTTAAAAATCCTAGTTTGAAATATAACACACACAAAAATATTAAAATCTCTTTGGTACCATCTTAAACAAGTGCATGTTATTGATCATACTATCTCATGTGATCTAAGTAAATCAAACTCTGCCAAAAATAATGTCAAAATAAAGAAAAAGGGAAATCAAATTTGAATATGGTGGATACAATTGTTAAACCAAAAGAAACTACTGAGTATTGAAAAAATACATAGTTTTATTAGGCATACATTTTAAGCAAATGCAACTAGTTGCTAAATAATATTGAGCAAAGCAATGTTAGCTTACAAAAAAACTAAAAGATTCATTGCGTAGCTTTGATCAAATTCATAGACAAAAAGTTTGTATCAAAACCCTTTTCTAAAAATACTTCTTTTCCAATAATGTCTGCTCATCACTCTATTAAAGAACACTGAAAAGTAGTAACCAGTACAATGAAAATAGTTGTAAAATTAAAAGACAACCGATTTAGCAACCGTCCTTGTATAAACCTAAAACAAAATTATCTATTATTCCACCATGCAATAAAAAAACACCTCAGCACAGCATGTTCTGCCCAGCCAATTTTACTTTCCCTGACTAGAGTCAGGTACTCATCCATTTATAAAAACCAAAAACAATGAATATATAACTGGTGAACACTGTTAACTGAAGTTTTATAAAACTGAATCATATATATTAATTCAAATTGACACCATCTAAGTTAAATTATACACCCATATTTACAAAACAATAAATATAATCAATACATTGCACATGAGATCAATATTTACATGAATCATACCACCGATAAAATAAATATATATTTAAGTGTAGACTTTTTAGTACTCTGACTGTTAACACTTGGTCCTTATTTTGGCAAGCCATTGCATTGTAAAATTAATTTTTAAACATTTCACATTTTTTCATCAATAATTTTAACAGTGAACTAATGAATTTCTGTTTTATTGCAATTTTTTTAAAAAGTTTCAAGTGATTCAGTAAAATAGCATTGCAGAAGAAGGAGTGAGAGAGAGGTTATGAACCTCCTATGTGAATTAGCACAATTTAAGATAGGTGGATTTACTGAAAAACTGGATGAACAGATCAACATTTAAAATTACATTGCAGGTTATTAAAAAAATCTATAACCACATGAACATACACATGTATTTTTAAATACAAAAAAAATAATTCAAAATATGCCACTGATTAAATAATTGACATTAATAAAATATTCATTTAATCCAGTCTATAAATAAATCATTTGCCCAATCATTTGCTAATGATATATCAAACCAAAAGTATTTACATTTCCAGATATGTAATCACAAATTAGCATAATCATGTAATGGTAATATGCACGCAATGTTTAAATTGAAACAACCTGAATCAAATTACCATTATTATAATTGCATTAATTTTCTATTTTGAATCTTTTTAAACAGGTTATTGGGAGTAATGTTTTTTTTTATTTGTGCTCCCACATTATTAAGAAGTAGTGTATTCAGTAAAATCTGACAATTAACAAGAATCATGCTTAAAATTTAGCTGTAATATTTAGCTTTTTTTTAAAAAAAAAAAAAATTACAATCATTTTTGTTCTACATGAGTTTGCAAACTGTAATATACAATATGAGTAAAACTGCAATGTGTGTAAGGACACTTGAAATTTTGAAAAGAAATAATACTAGTTTCATTCAACATATCTGATTCTATCTATGAGACTTCACTTGCAGCTTTGCTTCCATAACCTCTTTTGCTTTTCCTCCTAACTTGTCCAGATAGTCATAATGCAGCTTGCTGTTGATGGTGGCCAAGAGACCTCGTTCATTCTTATTACTCAGGTTAGGTGAATAGTCAATGAAGTCTCCATCCAGAGTGGTCATTTTCCCACCTACAGCATTAAGGATTGCATTCCCTGCACAGATGTCCCACTTTTTAATCAGAGTAATGTGAGTGTATGCGTTTACAGATCCTTTTATCACTTCTAATGTTTTGTAACCTAAAGAAATAAAATATATAATGATGGTAGGTATTTTCTTGGAAATGAGTCTAGAACAAACAGTATAACCAACAAAATAATTGAAACCTTTTTTTAAAAAAGATAGTAAATATTTTAAGTCTAATTTATCAGCTGAAATATCTTAAAAAAAAATTTAAAAATTGGTCTTGTTATGGGCTGCTGTCAGATGGACACCACAGGGCAAGAGAAAACTAGGATGGTCGAAAGAAACGTGGAGAGGATCAATGGAGATAGAATTAAAGAGGCCTAAAATTTTAACAGGCAGAGGTTATATCTAGATACAGGATGAAGTGCTGCTCACTTGTTGTGGCCTCATGCACCAATGAGCATTGAGTGAAGATGCTGATGTTTTTATAATTTGTTTTTTACAAAGAAAAGCATGAAATAAGATGTCTACCTGCTCCTCCAGCAGTAATGATTTCTACATTATCACCAAAAGCACCTTTAGCCACTGCTTCTATATCACCTTGATGGCTTCTAGAGACAATTATGCTATGCTTTTGGGTGTTTAATTTCTCTGTGCTGTCACGTTGCTTCAAGTTCTTAGAGTGGCCATATCCATCCCAAGCCCAAACTATAAAAATTAAAAAAATTAATAATACTTAAGTTTTATTCAATCATTAACATAAGCTGCTTATATGTATTCAATCATTAACATAAGCTGCTTATATGTCCCTAAATTATATAATGTTTATATTTATGTTTAAAATTATAATACTTATTTAATAAAGACCACCACTATGACTTTTTTTTTTAAAACATGTCAAACACATATTTAAGTTCAGTCAGTTTTTCTATTTTGTCCTAAATTGTTACATTTTATACAGCTAAATTTAAATAAACTTACTTGTTTCATCTTGAAAGGGAACATAAATGACCCCAATTTTAGGCTCACCATCAACTACAACACACACCATAGTTGTTACATATTGGGTTAAGCTTTCTGTAGAAAATATTTAATAGACCTGTACATCAACATGTTAAGGCACAGTTAAGGGGAAATAGCTTAAACAAACAATTTTTAAAAAAAAGCCTTTCTGCCAGGAAATCCTACCTGTATACTCTTGAGTTGCATCAAGTGGATCAATCCAAATGGCAATTCTACTCACAGGTATAGATTGGTCACTTTTAATAATTTCATCAACTTCCTCTGACTTGGTTGCAACAGCAGATATTTGGTTAAAATCTACAGGCTTGTTATCATGTTCTTCAGAGACAACCTAGAAATGATTTGAACTTCAAGTGACTTTTAAGTTCATGTAGAGAGTTCTTTAAAATCTGAACGCTTAGATTAGAAATAAATTGTTGAATCACTTCACAGCATAAAGTAACAATAGATTTAGATTATAAGGCCTAGTATTTTATAGCATTATAAGTCATTATTTAATGTATTATTTATTAAGCCCTACACCATTGATGGGGGTCCATCTTTCATTTGTAGTAGCCTACATCATAGCTTCAACACTAAGACATGTCATAATAACATTTACAAATGGTATTCAAAGTCTGCATAAATAGAAATCAGACGTTGATCAATATCCAAAATGACTGTCAGTGAGATTCAGGTACTAGATCTAGTAAAATTTTCATAGACATCTCTGCATTTAGTAAATCTTGAGGTAAAATATAAAACTTTTCCCCATATTACAAGTTTGTAATTTCATGTTTCACATTTGTCATTTGGAAACAGACCTAGAATCTCTAACAGCCAAACTAGATCTATTCCGTTCCAAGTTCAAGTTGGGAGGTCTAAAAAATTAAATTAGGCTAGGCCTAGGGCAGGGTAAAGCAGGGCACTAAGATTACTAAGAACCGTGTGGTATTAGGACCCATTCAGCACCTCACCCCCACAAATCCCCCAATAAAACTATTAGTCTGCTTCTGAGGTAGCGACCACGGCTGCTCTTAGATAACAGAGAAACAGAGGATTCCACTTGGCCCAGCAGGGAGAAGATGAAACAGGAATTAATCCCACTGCTCTTTCCTCAAGTACACCCCACTACAGGTTCTTAAACATGTGGCTCTTAGTCACCTAGTTAGTGCCGTTCTTTACCCTAATTTTGAGATTGTAAATAATAAAGGCCACCGAAATGACGAGAATCCTTCCATTTCCATCAAATTGTTGACATGGATAAAATTCATCTGCTTTTTTTTACTTCATAGAGGCCGTAATAATAAAAAATTAAAACTGAAGCCCAGAAATAATTCCGAAATTTAATATTTTTAGAATCAATGTTATAAAAGTTGCTATTACCAAGAACCTGTAAATAACTTTTTTAGTATAAGGCTACATTTCTATTTATTTTTCATCAAGCCTAAGTTATAGCCAAATGTTTTACTGTTGTAAGACAAACATTGATTGGCTGTACAGGAACTCAGTGATCGATAGTTATTTGTTTACAAAACTTTGCAGATAAGGTTTTAAATAACATAGGTGAATAAATGCTATTTTAAACCACTTGACCAAGTTCTGACATTTTTTATTACATTTTGTATAATAAAATTTATTTTATGCTGGTCTATCGAATAGCAGGATTTTATTATTTATGTCGCTTTACAATGTGAAAACCAAATTGCTTTTGCCTTTTTAAAAAAAATTGTGTGGATGTGGTTGATGTTTTAGTATTATCGGTAAGATAATACTAAAACGTCAACCACATCCACTCCTTTTTAAAGTCTGAAAAAAACAGTCAGGATTTTATAACCATAGGCCTATTAATTTTAACGAAGTGACTACTCGGAAGAAGATTTTTCTCCCCAACATCTCCACTTAGTCGGCAAAAGATAGCTCTGCGCATGCGCAGTGACCTATGGTTAGGGTTAGAATGAGGGTTAGGATTAGGGTTAGGGATAGGATTAGGGCTAGGATTAGGGACAGGGATAGGGATAGGATTAGGGTTGGTGGTTAGGGTTCTGCGGTTGTAAACACACGCATGCGCAGTACCATCGAAAACATCGCCGCGAAGGCAAGTCGTAGTTTCTCTCCATTGCGCATGCGTATCTTATTCTGGCTAGCATCGGCCTAATTTTAATTAGGCTACACTCTAAACTCTAAAACCGTGCAGGATTTTTAAAAATATTTAAGAATGGGCCTCTCGAATACCTTTGCCTTTGCTTGAGATTTTTTAGACTATTCTCGCTCTGGTTTATTAGATTCTAATTATCATAGGCTACAACATAGATATAGATCTATCACCTTTATGCTGGGATATATTTTTGAAAATCCGTAAAAAATGGCTCTATGGGACTCTAAATCGCCGTTGGTTAGCATTTCGTCGGCACCTTCTTTTGTTTTTCCTTTCGAAGATCCGTCAACTTTGTGTTTGCTGTGAATCTCTTTCACTTGTAATCCGCCTCGTTGAGCAAGACCAATGCTGACAGTTAAAAGCTCTTTCATGCTGATTCTTTGCTCCCTTCTAAATAAATCGGGCATACCGAACAAATAAAACAGTGCAACTGTTAAACCCCCGACGAACACTAAAATCCCAATAGGATTCACTCGAACGTTTACAGGAGCCATACTTGACATTGCTGGCGGCTACGAGTAAAGCTGCAACTAAAAAGTGTTTCGAAGTCTTTGCTGTAGGGTTGGTAGATATAATTGATAGGCTTACATGTTGCAAACTGTCTATTAATTTAAATATAATATATATAGATCTATAGAACCTAGATCTATACAAATATTAAACAAGTTTGCAGTTATTTATTCTCAAAAAATGTCGAAACTATACATAAACAATGCTCAGTAGACCGTAATAGGTCGTAGAAAATTGGCCACTTTGCTTTTATAAAAATTAAAACTTAAGTCAGCCTAGAATTTGGCCGACTAAAAATATTCAAAATCTATTTTGCGAAATATTAAACATTTCCCTGAATTTTATTTGAATCCCTCGTCCCTTTATTGATCTCACTGAATATTAGACATTACACGACAAATCAAGAAAAATAGAGCAAAAAAATTACGCAATAATAAGGACAATTGTCAAATTGTGTTTAAAAATACATAATACAATTATAATTTATATAGCTCGTAAATTCCAAATTTAAAAATAACACGCGTATTATGAAAAAGATATTTAAAGCGCATATTTTATTCTTTAACTAAACAGTATGAAAGGCACCCACCTATCTTTTTGTAACATAGATAAATCTATCAATTCCAATGGTTTTGAGGGTTTTTGTGTTGTATCTTGAGAGTTGTGCTGACTTCATGTGACTTAAAAATAAAAATGGAAGAGGAAGAAATTATGCCTCAGAACTCAAGACTGATGTTGGTCTAGACAACAGATTCTTTTTAAAAATTCCTCCAGACAAGCATATTTAACCACTATATAAATAAATTCTCCTGAATAACATGTTTTCACGAAATCCAAAATAAAAATTAGCAGTAATAATAGCACTTTATGTTAGTACCTGGCATTATCAAAATAACCAAAATGACTTCCATGGAAGTAAGTTTCAATACATCTTTCCTACAAACACAAAATTATTATACAAAACACTGCTCATTATATTAAATTTAAAAAACTAATATAGCCCTGCATCGCGAGATTAGGATTCTTCTATTATGTCTTTAAGTATAGATCTAGATCTACTTCAAAATATAAACAAATAATGAAATATTAATGCGCAAATAAAAACTAAATTCAGCAAAAAGCAATCAGTCAGTCTCAGACAAGTCCAGTGCCTAGATAAATCAGTTTCAGTAGGTCTCATCCATCCACTATCTAGATTTATCCAAGTATTTTCATATATTTAAAATATTGCAACATTAATATAACACTTAAAGTGACTTATTAGGGCCTATACACATAAAATAATAACAATGGCTTTAAACTTTAATATTGTTTCGATACCCCAAAAATTAACAATCAACTCAATCGTGGCATATGCCGCTCATTGGAGCCGGGCCATGGGGCATTGTTTTATCAAAGTGACTACTTAGAAGAAGCATTGCCCACCAATCCCTAGACTAGGCTTGCCAGCAGAAGCTGGGAAACAAATTGACCATATATAATAGCTGCGCAATGGGCAAAAATCACCCTTTTACTTTATTTTATTTAGCCTTCAACCTTATTCGTCTGATAACGGTTGCGCTTCGGGCGGATTGTCAGGAGTTAAGTATAGTTATATTATACAATACATCTAGATCTAGTAAAGAGATCTAGTCTTGGAATAAAAAGCTAAAAACAGGTCACTGTAGTGCTGTTTTGTAAGCATATGTTTTCCATTTATTAAATTTACAATATCCCTCATGACCACACCAAAAAAACTGTTGTTAACCATTGATTCATATGCTGCTCGAAATTAAGATCTAACTAGTTTACATGTTACTATCAAAGCACTCTTAAAAATATTTCTTAAACACCACACCTCACCCATCACTTACATCTAATGTCTAGAAACTTATTGAAATTATCACAAATCCAGTCCCCTGCCACACCTATTTGCTCTCTGCCCATAAACCTCCCAACCCTTGTTTCCCTTCTCTTTACCCTGAAGACTATGTTCATCGTACACCTTGCATCAAAGCAATTTTTTAAATTGCTAAAATTGATTTTATTTGTTTGCTATGGTATTTGGAGTTCTGTAATACAGCACCATTAATTTTAAGCTTTATTATAGAAAACTGAGTTGCAGTGTATTTATGTGAAGTAAAGATGTAATAAAATATTCTGTACCTATTCAATATCTAAAACTTCTTAAAACTATTTTAATTTTACACATTTTGTTTTGTTTTCTTTAAAGAAACGTCTTCAAAAGGAGCTCCAGGCTATGACAAAGGATCCCCCAGCTGGTGTTAGTGTCAATACAAACAGTTTGAGTTCAAATCTTTCAGAGTATGTGCTGTACCTTTTGAACACCACACATTTATTTTCAGTTAAATAAAATTTATTAAGATAAAAAAGCCAAAAACCGTTAGTTTTACTTATCCAAATATTTTAATATTGATTACTTTTTTATTACTGTTTAATTCAGGTGGGTTGTTGACATAGAAGGAGCTCCAGGAACATTATATGAATCTGAAAGATTTCAGCTAGGCTTCAAATTCACTCCCAGATATCCATTTGATTCCCCTCAGGTTTGTATGATGAAAATTAAATGAAACTTTATTGACTTTCTAAAATAACAATATAAATTGTCATGTCATAGCTTAATGTGGTAGATAAATGTTAGCATGTTCATTGTTGTTGTTTTTTTTTTTAGCTACCAGTTTTAATTGAATTTCTATAACTCAGCTGCTAAAATTTTCAGATACATTAAACGTTAAATTTGTAGAATGTGTTCTGTGAATGCAATAGCAATTTGATTTTAATCAACTTTGAAATGAATGTATTTACTGTTAAATATCAATATATGTTACCCAGATTTTTGTTATTCAATATAGTTATACTTTTGCAAATCATTTCTTACAAGTAAAATGAAGAAAAATGTTGCTATTTTCTTAGGATGAATAGGAAGCTACTGCTCTTCAAGCTAAATGAAATAAACACATGGGGGTTGGGGAATTATTGGAATTTTTATGTTAATTTTTTTCAATAGATTTGTTTTGTTATAGTTGTTAATCTATGACTGGTTTCATAGGAAAAATTATTTTGAAATATTTAACACTTCTCTAGGTGATGTTTCTTGGCCCTAACATTCCAGTCCATCCACATATTTACAGCAATGGTCATATATGTTTGTCAATTTTAACTGAAGATTGGTCTCCTGCTCTCTCTGTACAGTCTGTGTGTCTTAGCATTGTCAGTATGCTTTCCAGTTGTAAAGAAAAGGTATGAACTCTGATAGTTTCATTTACATCTTATTTGACATTTGTTTTTATATGCATAACAGTTAAATGTTTTCTTATAGAATTGTGTACTAAAAAGGTTTACTGATTTGGATTTATTGAGATTTTTTTTTTCTTTAAACTTAATATTTTGAAACACAAAGCATTAGAAGTTTGTTCTTAAATAATTGTTTTGTATAAAAATTGTGTACAGAAATTACCTCCTGATAATGCCATATATGTGAGAACCTGCAGCAAAGACCCTAAAAAGACACGCTGGTGGTACCATGGTAAGAAATTTCTCATGCAACATTTTAAATCTATACCATTGTTTATCTCAAAATACTTTCTTTTATGTGTAGTTTAACATTCTGCATTTTAATTTCATTTTTTAAAAGAAGTTTTTTTTTCCCCAGATAACTCAGTATGATGTAAAAAGAAAATAGCAACTTATAAATAGTGTAAAACAGTTTCATTCTTTACCCTATAGACTTTCATTATTGACATTTTGCCCAGTATTTGGCAAAAAAGTTATGAGCAGAGTGCTGATGCCATATAATCTTAACTATGACATTGGAACATTCTTTGCAAGATATACTGTGAATCAATTAATAACTATTCTTAACAGTTGTCAAGCAGTCTGTGATTATGTTAAAAAACATATTTTCCACTGTGTTTGTTTTTATTATTATTAAAATAGTGTTTGTACTTTTCAAAAACATTGAAAATTTCTATTTGGCCTAAAAAAAATGTAACAAATCTAGATTAAGCTATACTTGAGTAGTTATAGTAAACAAGGCTAAAATTCATCACAGAATATTACTAAAAGCAGCTCTGCTTCTAACTGCCAATTCTACCAAAGGCTCTGGATTCATACTTTTCAGATACATCAATTCCATATCATCTATTTGAAGCATATGATAATTTTTAGTACCATTCTTCAAACAAACTGTTTTAATTAAAAAATTATCCTACATGTTTTTCATCATTAATTTAATAGTTATTAAATTGTTTCATGAAGCAAGTTTGTTCTGAATATGTTTCTAACAATAAAAGATCATGTACATACTTATTCAGTAAACTAAATGTAAGTTTTCAGTGCAGAATTAGACCATAAGTAAATTTTTTTTTGGTGTAAATTTGGTACAGTACATATGAGACAAAATACAGATCACTTCTGGACCTAATAAAATAAAATAACTTTGCAAAGAACAGTTACTCCATCTTAATAATGTTTCTAAAAATTTTCTTTTGGTTTTAAAAATCAATTAGAAATTGTTTCAACATTTCGTTTTAGTTTAATGTTCTTGTAAATTTTTTTAGTTTTCCTTAGTTGTTATAAAAATAGGAAAGGATGCTTCACATACTAAACAGTATTTTACTATTTGTTAATTAAGAAAGTTTCAACCTATAAATACACTAATAGGTGTGTTTATCTAGTGTAATAAATTGAAGCTGATTCTTCTTCTATTTAAAAAAAAAAAGGATTAAATTTAACAAAAGAAGTAAAAAATTACTTTTTTCAAACAGTAACAGTGAAATTAAATTTTTGCCTATTCTTGCATTTTTGTCTTTAAAGTCTATATAAATTATTACATTATTTATGGTGGCTAGTTTTATATCAATACTTGTATTTATTTTTTAACTTTTTAATTGTTATTTTATAATTCTATTTTAATTAATGGAAATATTAAATTTAAGTATTGATTTGTATACATAATAATACTGTAAATATATTACTAAATGAAAACAGGTTTAAAAATGGAATGTGGATAGAACTTAATAAATTGTTATAATTTATTTGCAAAAATGTGTATAAAGTAATGGTTAAATTTATTTTATATAGGCTTACTTGTTAAGTGTTAAATTTATATTCTGTTGGTAAAAGCTGTTTTCTAATAAAGCTTTTTATTGTTTTATTAATTTCAGCATCATTTTTGATTCATTCAATGAAAATATAGTAATCGAATTGTAGTTGTATTACCTTACTTTTTCTAAAAAATTAAATTTATATTTTGTTGTTGAAAGTGCCCTATGTGAAAGAAAAAAGTATCCTCTGTTTCCTCAGAATATCACAATGTTTAATTGTAATTTAATATGTATACATTTAGACACAAACATCTTTTCACCTTAATACTACTTGGTTTATGGACAGTTATTTTTGTAAAATTAATTTTAACCTGCCACTCTCTTAATAAAATTTCTGAAAAAATTTTTTTTCATTCAAACACCTATAACCTATATGTAAATATCATTTTTTTTTTTAACACTTATTAACACAGGGTGGCCCAGCTTACTGGATAGAGTTAACTGTAAGTGGTCAGAAATTTTTGGTGTAATTCATTTATATAAATGACCTTAGTCTATGTGTAGTTTTCTAAATCTTAAACTTTCACTATTGGTTATTATGATTTGCCTTGTGTGTTGTTGTTGATGTATTGTCCACTACACCTGAAGAATTGTAATTGTTAATCCAAGCAACACCAGGTGGGACAACTGGTACTGTACCTTGGGTCCTGCCAAGAACCCAGAAACAACATGAAAGGTCATAGGGCATTTGTTATGTAATATTTCATACATTATTTTTAAAATATTAGAACTATAACTTATAAAATGAATTATTATAGGCACACACAAAATGTGTGTATAAACACACTCACATATATATACTTAGATATACATGCAATCGAGGTAGTATAGTTGCACTTCTTGTTTTATGCTCATTACTGTTCAAATTTGTTTTTAACCTAGTTTCTCTTTAGTTAAGGCAATATTATTACAAAAAAAAGTAACATTTGTGTTGGAAGTTTTGTTACTACCTACAGAAAAATCTCTGTGTACTAATTTTTTTCAGTCATTTACATTTGATTAAATTTGTGCCAAACTAATTTTTTTAATAAGCATAATTGTAAAATTAGGCACACATTACAACATAATGCTTTATTTGAGGTAGGAACAATGCTAAGGAAGAATTATTTCGATAAGTTTTATTTCGAAATAGGTAATAATAGTTTATATCTGTACACAGCTGTTTCTGGAAAATGATGTGCTTTGAATGAATCAAATCAGACCATTACAAAATCAGGTGTGTGATATACAGGGGTTCTTCTTCAGAGCAATACAAATTGTAATGTATGAGAATATCATTTGAATTTCATGTAAAAATTACTTTTTGTTAGCTTTTTCTGTTCCCATTACTTTAAAATTTAGTACTTTCCAAAAGTTTTTCACTCCGCATTTTCCAAGTCTTTCTATAAATCGTTTTTATTGTTTGATGCCCATTCAATTTTTGTCACAATTTGCCATTCTCATCCCATATTAAAGAGGTAGTCCACTAACACAATTTCATTAATATTATCATTGTATTAAATGTTATATTAACGATGAAATTTAATCTGTAATTTAGGCAGACTGGTAGTAGAGTTATTTAAAAAATGGTATGAAGCGTGTGTGAAGAGACACATATAACAGATGAATTTGTGATTCTACCCTCTCTTCCATTTGTGTTACTTGCTGGTTGAGGATTTAAACTTGTGTTATATTTATGTTGCATCTGGTGTATTTTAAAAGCCTTCAATGAACTCTTAATGTTATCATATCTTATTATAATTATAGTAAAACACTTCTATTTGCACCTGTTGTAAAAAAAAAAATTATTATTTATCAGTAATTTGCATATTCCTGGACCAATAAGTTTTTTTTTGTTATCTCTACACAAAAATTGAACAAAACTATTGTTCTACCATTTAAGCAGACTAAAAATAACCATAATTAAAAATTTGTTCCCATTTCTAAATTATTAAAATGAATTGATGTCACAAATGAATGATTTATCTTTGTCTTTATAGGATTAACATGAGTTGTTCTCATTAGATTAACTGAATTTAAAACTTAAAAGAAGAACAGTCAGCACAAAATCAGAAAACAACTTATTTTTAAAACAAACTAAAAAAATTTCATGCGACACAATCATTATAGTATTTTTATCTATCATTAATGTTCTCATGATACTTTGTTCAAGAAATTGGTCACTACAGTGTTTTTAACTACAATGCATCTTTGAGGAGACAGAAATTAGGCTTGTGAAGTGTATAATTAATCAACATTGAAAGTAGCATCTAGCATACAAATCCTACTAGTGTCTCCCAAAGCCTGTGCAGTTAAACAAAAAAAGTTATGGTGTAAAAATATAATTCTTACTAGATCTATGGATTTTATTATTTTGGGGTTATTTATTCTCATTTTTGTTTGAACTAAATAATTATTGCAGATAAATAATTCAAATTTACATAAAATTGAAAACAACCAGTACAAGGCATTTTGCCTAAGTCACCTTTGACTAAGAAACTTGTTCAGGCTTTTGTGTCCTGCTGGTGTTTACTGTAACCATGGCAATTGCAGTGGTTAGTTTAAGCCTCCCAATAAGATTAGTGAAATAACATAAAAAAAATATTGTTTATGCAGTACAATCTTCATCTTAAGCCAACTGACAGGACTGAAAGCTGCTATCTCTAATATTCTACTTTTAAAATAAATCCTGATTTTTTCCTCTCATTCTGTACAATTTTTTCAAATCTTAACAAGTTTTGGATTCAGAGGCAGTTGCACAGACATTAAGTCTGTTTCTTATCTTGAAGACACACACTACACACTTGACTGAAGTAAGTAGGCCAAAGTTGCTTGTAACTTTATTTATTTAGCAAGCTAGAAAATTACACTTAACAAGTGGTTGGCTTTAAAATCATCTACAGGATTTACGAGTAAAAATATACAAAAGGTGATACATTTAAAAAAAAAAATATATATATTGAAATCTAGATCATATCTAGTGGATATAGAGAAACTTTAAAAAATTAAATTTAGTTTTTGATACTCTTTAATGCTTTATAGTTCATGAAAATAAGTAATTAATAATGCAAGTAACTTAATGTGTTTCACTTGCAAGGTCTGTATATTAAGCTATAACATACTCCACATCAAAGTGAAGTTTAGCTTAGGGTTTGATTACTACAGTGGTACAGTGAAATATTTATTTAAAATAAATACAAAACACTTTGTCGGATAGTGAAACTGTATGAGACAGGTTGTGTGTAAGACAGATAAAAGGGCCAAAAAATGTACTACAGAAAGAAATAAAAAGCTGCTAAAAGAACAACAATGTAATGACCTGCAGCTTCAATTTGATTTCCCATTATAGAGATGTTTAACAGCAAAAATTGTTCAACAGCTGTGCCATTTATTAATTTGTTTCTGCCTATTATTTAAAGTGTTGCTATTATTCAGGTTGTTTAAACAGTCATAGCAATCATGTCTAAGAGAGTTGAGGCTTGGAAGAGTTGGTGGGATGAAAGGCAAATTGGTTTTCATCAATCAGATGTACACAAGTAAGCAATCTTTAAAATTATAGTAATATAAGTGGATCAGTTCAGATTGTGACACAATTCTTTTAAATCTCGCAATGTACACTAAAGATGACCGTCAGCAAAATTATTTATGTAGTTAATTACAAGGAAACATGTTATCCTACTATAAACTGATAACGTATTCAAATATGGATGGAAATGATTAATTTGTAATCATTTGAAAAGAAAGTATTCAATGAAATTTGTACAATGATTTTAAAATCATATTTGTATGTGATTTATAAGTTTTTCATGGTGGCATACAATAGCCTTTTTAAAACATATATCCTCCTGTCAGAACACCCTGAATCACCGAATAGTCAGATTGTATTTCTTACAGATGCCAAATCAGTCCTGCAATCCCTACAAAATCCGGAGTCCTATATTCAAACACTTATGACAGCACTAGAGAGGCTAAAAAATACCTGCAGCAGAATTGTGCTGCAGTGGATCCCGGGCCACTGCCAGATCCAGGGTAACGAGATCGCAGACCAGCTGGCAAAAATTGGGGGAAAGAAACCACAACCGGAAATTTCGCTACACCCAAAAGAAATAAAAAGAATAATTAAAAACAAACAAACGCAAATGTGGTCTGTCACACACCCTCACTACATTAAAGACGACGGCTATTACAATTTAACACGAAAACAACAATACATAATCTTTCGACTTAGAACAGGCCACAACAGACTAAATCAACACATGCACAAAAAACTGAAGGTTGGGTGTAGCGAAATGTGCCCTTGTGGCAAGGCCCCGGAAAACACGGAGCACGTACTCCAGGAATGTACTCTGTATAGCCAGGCAAGAGGCGGACTCTGGCCCCAGCCCACCCCACTCAGGGAAAAATTATATGGGACACCTGACAAACTGGAAACCACAGTCCGGTTTGTCCACGACGTTGGACTTGTTGTCTGAATCCTCCACCATATTCAAAAATTAAGAACGAAGAAGAAGAAAACATATATATATATATATATATATATATATATATATATATATATATATATATATATATATATATATATATATATAATAGATATATTATATAGATATATACATATATGAACACAGGCTCACTTTCTTTTCCAGGATGTTGTCTAAACACCTTGCTAAACTAATTCCCGATGACAAAGCTAACAAGGTTTTCTTCCCTCTTTGTGGCAAAGCTGTTGATATGAGCTGGTAAGATGCCACAAATATGGATTATAAATCTGTGATAATTTTTGCAAAATAAGTTGGCTATAATCCATATGGAGGTTGTTATTTTATAGTATTTTTTTTCTCTAATGTTATTTTTTTAATAAAGTATCACAAGTTTTTCTTTCCAAGACACTTTAATTACATGCTTGTTTTAATCATCCATTGTTGTTGTTAATTTGACAATTGATATTTATAAATGTGTTTACAAATGCATCATGTTTTTATTTTTTAAAATTTTGTTCAACTCATTTGTTTACAACTATAAAAACTGTCAATTTAGGAAAAATATTTAAAAAAATAAACAAAAAAAAAAAATTTACAAATCCATCAATTTTTCCAATAGAAATATTACAAATATTACCTGCTTTCTTGAGCGTTATTTTGAACTCATTTTTTAAGGTTAGCCAGCCAAGGCTATAACATAGTTGGAGTGGATGGAGTCAAGAAAGCATTGGAGGAGTTTTTTACAGACCAAGGCATTGAATATTCTGTAGAAGATGTTAACCACAATGAACAAACTTTTCAAATGTTTAAGGTTTTGTAGTTTAGTGTGTATTAACTTGTTTTCCATTTAATTAGAATTCATACATCTTGATATTTTTGGAATGGGTATGCATTTCATTAGCCAGTGCCTTACACCACTGTATCTTATTTATAAAGTATTTTTGGTAAAGTTCATTATAAACTATATATTTTCCTAGATGATATGCCCATTCTGTAATAAATATTCTCATGAAATAAGTCCTTAACTTGTTACATTTATTAAAAAAACTCAAAGTGCTCTGGTATATAAACTATTTAGAAATTCCCAAATACTAATTTAAATTCATCATTTTTAACTTTGAGAATATTTGCTGAATTTATGGTTTAGAATTTTAAAAATATTCTTTTGCTTTTTATGAGTGGGATGTGGGTAACAACTAGAGCATCTTGTGACAGCCAAGATAAATGTTTCATTAACTATTTTTACATTTTTATTTCCCATTTTAATATTGTATATTATCGTATACTTAAACACGTTTATTTTATGTTGAACACAAGAATAAGGCCGTAAGGCAGATAACTCAATACACCCAATTTATGGATCTGAATTGGATTGAGGAAGGGCATTGGGGGGGGGGGGGGGGGGGGGGGAACAACAAGCATCTTTGCAATTAATGAGTTCAAATTGATAAAATAAAAAAAATAAACTTTTTAACCTCCCAGAGTAAAGATGATATGATTCGACTCTACTGTACAGACATCTTTAACTTTACTCCGTGAGTTAGCGACGACATTTCAAACTACAGCCTAATTAACTAAAACTATATTACAATATTTTTTATCAAACTTTATCAAAATAATCATTTTAGCCAAAACACACTAATTTTATCAGAATGTTAATCAAAGCTAATCTTTTTAGAAATTTAACTAATGAGCTTGTTGAAAAATAAATACCAATGCCTTTAGATATTGACTCTTCATGTTTGCTAAATTATGAGTTGTTTTTTTTCTAAAGTGCATCTGTTTTTCCTCAGTGACATTGAAGGAACATTTGATGCAGTGTGGGACAGGGGAGCTCTGGTTGCACTAAACAGGGAGGATGTTTCTGGGTAGGTGAGACTGCTACTACTTAAGTAGTACTAAGTTCATGTGAAGATCTAACTGTAAGAATACAAACGTTTATGTTAAGCCAATCTAGATTTACATGCACTATAAATTTTTGTTTAACATTATTGTTTTATATGTTCTAATTACATTAACAGATATGTACAAAATATGAAGAGACTTTTAAGTCCCAATGGTAGAATTTTAGTTGAGGTCATGGAATATGATCCTGGTGAGTCAAATTTAATTTTCTACTAGCTTGTTTAAAACTTAATTTCAATGTTCAAATGGAATCTTGTAATAAAATGTTCACCCTTCCTTTTCTGCACCAATTTGTTTCAAGTTCTACTATCTAAGTTTTAAACTAGTAATCTTTGATGTAGTGGATGTAGTGAAGACTTATTCAACTTATTATCAATGGTGGTTCTTAAATTAAGGGGAGAAAACAAGAGTTGCACTAAAGTGATGAGTTTAATTTCAAATACTCATTGCATAGCAATCTATATTCTATCATATTGCAAACTTTACAATAATAACAGACAGTAGTTTCATGCACAAACTGTAAGTTAAAGATAGTTGCCAATCACAAATATTTTTTCTGTTGGTAAACATTTCTATGCTCATAAAATTATTCATAGTTATTAGAAAAGCTGTGATACACCATTATGAAGTTTAACAATTGGGTGGGGTTCTATGGCATTTTAGTTTTTAAATATGAGGCACGCCATTAGAAGAATTTATTTGATTTGAAATTCAGCAAATCTTACTCTTTTTGTTTTTTATAATTGCCAAGTATGTGAGGGTATGGAGGAGTGAAAGGGGTGTTGATGGTTTTCAATCAGCATATGGACGCAATGGTCATCCTACTGATTTTTTAAAATTTATTTTTTTTATTTTAATTGGACTCACTAATGGGTTATATTAATTAAAATTCAAAATACTAAAAGCGGAAATTAAAACAATGGGAATGTATTAAAACAATTTTTTATATATGTTATAATTTTCAAAACAACTTTAGTTCAACAAGAAAAAAAAGCATTGCATTGGTTTTTTGTATAGCTTTGTGTACATCATGGTATATGCCTACTCTTTATTACAACTAAACAACATATTTTTCTACTCTTTAAGAGGAATAAATAAGCCTGTTTTTTTTTTTTTTGTAAATGTTTAATATTGATTATTGTTTTCAATATTTAAAAAAAAAATCATATTATTTATTAAAAGTGCATGTTCACCTAGTCAAACACTGCATTTATTTCCCTTGAATTCCATCCAAACAAAATGATATTTTATTTCCATAGCTGTCTGGGGGATTAGCAAATTCATACACTAAATAGAAAAGCTGACAGATACATAGATCTAACATAAACATTTGTATTTCATTTTCCATCAGATGGTCAAAACAAACACCCGCCACCTCATCCGATGTACGAAGAAGAGATTAGATCATTATATGGTAAACTAAATGTTTTTCATTAATCTCTATTATTGTAAAAATAATTAATAATTACATGTCATTGAAAAAAATATTTTTAGAATAAATGAGAGCTCAGCTTTGGCAAACATGTACACTGATAGTAAGCCTGATAAATTATTTCTTGTCAGAAATTGTAATTAGAAGATTTATTAATTTTCAAAAGGTTTATGGAATTAATGAGGCTAATCAAATTTTTTAAACTTCCAGAGCCAGAATGTGAAGTCCATTTAATAGAAAGAGTTGAATATCAGCTACGTGGCACAGATATATATACGGTGATTTACAATATAATAAAGAAACCCTAGTCATTTGCTATTATTATAAGAATTAAGAATTAAATGTCGTTGTTGCTCTTTTGTTAGTAGCTAAGAAGTAGCTCTCATCTTCATCACAGACTTTTTTTTAAAATGATGATTAATAATTCTTTCAAAGAAACATTGCTCAGATAGCTTTTTCTTTAACAAATAGTATTTACATTAATGTGTAAATTAATTACTCTAAAATTGTTTCTTTGTAGTTGTAGTATCAATTCTTATGAAATATTTGTTTATTAAATGATTTAAATTTAACCAAATTATCGTTCTTTTTGTTTTTTAAATTGTTTCTGAAGTTTAAGAATGAGTTGCTGCCCTTAAATGAATAACTAGGTGACATTTTCCATTACTTTCAATAGTCTATTTCATTGATCTGTAAGTTACAAAGTTGTGCCTTCAAAATAATCTACACTAATTTAAGTGCCAGTGGACACAAGAAATATTTTTTACAAAAAAAAGAGAAAACTTATGCAAATATCCGATACAGTAACCACAGATTTGTCTAGATGTTTTCTGCAAAAAACCTCTGTACTGAGCCCCACATAGAATATCATCACTCTGGGAAAAATGTTTTAACTCAGTTGCCTATTTCTTCAAGCAGTTGTGCATTGTGAATTCCTAGGAAATACCTCTCATGACTGATTGAAAGTGATAAATATTACACACACACAGATTTAATAGGCTTATTCATATGCTTTATATAGGTGTAGTGGCGTAACATAGGGTATTTGGTGCGGCTCTGTCATTCATGACGATCCCCTCCCCGTGAAAAGTAACACGCTGTGTGTAAACACCCATCTGAAATGTGTACTGGACGGGGTGACAGGGTATATTTTGGTGGCCTTGAAATGTATTCGTGTAATACGTTATTCAGCAAACTCAAGCTAGAGATACACATTTAAACATTGTATGAACAGTTATTTTAAAATTGATTTTGTGTAAGCGAGCAGTTCGATTTGTGTGGATTTTCGTCCCTTTAGATCAGGGGTCTCCAAACTTTTCAGTCCGAGGGCCGCATTAACTATCAAATTTCAGTTCGGGGGCCAGTTTCTTTTAGGCATGTCTCTGATTTTCTGGGCAAAGCTCCTCAGCCATCACCAACAAACGTTTTTTCCGTGGACAAAAAGATCTCCGCGGGCCGGATGAAAGGATATCGCGGGCCGCATCCGGCCGTAGTTTGGAGACCCCTGCTTTAGATCCTGCTTTGGATTTGCTTCCATAGCCTTTGTCCAACCAAGAACAAACTACAGGGCCTCATCTGCCCGAGGGTTCGAACTCGAGATCTTTCGGTTTAGCAACCATGAGCTTTACCGACTCGACCACGCCAACACCCTGAATTTATATATAAAACATATACCTTTACTAGTTTCCGCCCCCCCCCCCCCCCGCCCCGGAAACATCAAGTGCCCCCCCCCCCCCCCCCCCGGGATGGTTAATTCCTGCTTTACCTTGTATGGAAACGCAACGATTCTCCCTGATTTAGACCAGGGTGCTGTGGCGGACTTACAAGCTATAACCTAGGACCCCTCTTTCTGAACCCCCCCCACCCCCCCCCCCCAAATATTTCTTTAAACTGTGGAGAGAGAGAGAGCGCATGAAGAGTCGGCCGGTGTCGGTGGTGAAGATGTAAGTGTTGGTGATTGGTGCCCACTTAGGGTTGGCGCCCGGGGCGAACGCCCCACCCGACATCCCCTAGCTACGCCACGGGGTGGATTTTTTGGGTGAGTTACCTCCCCCCCCCCTGCTGAATTTATTTTAAGCAAAAATTTTTTAAAATTTACATGGTAAATATTTCCTCCCTCAGAAATCACATCGGGCGATATCCAACGTTTGAGAAGCCTTGGATTCCACACTCCAGCAATTTTGAATCTGCTCATTATCGTGTCACATTTTTTCCCCAATTAAGTAATTTAGTTGCATTCAGGGAAAAAAAACATATAGCTACATTCCTTCAACAAGTTCAGCGGTTGTTAGGGGGTGGGGAGTGGTGGCGAAAAAAATGGATTTGGAAAAGCTTTATATTCTCGTCTTCTGCTAAATCTAGTTGTAAGTATGTAAGCGAGCAGCGGGCTTTTTATTTAATTTATAACGCATTTATTGATTATTGTAATTGTTGCGCAATGACAATGGTATAACACCGGGGTCGTCCATAAATGACGTCACACTGATCGTAGGGGGAGAGGGGGGTCCGTAATTTTGTGACGGTGTATGATTAGGGGGAGGGGGGGGGGGTCAGATGGTGCGACGTCACACTTTTGCATTATAAAAAGGCAATGTTAGAAAACGAATTTTAGAAAATTGTTTTAATAAATTGTAATAGGAATTGATTAAAATACTCTATTTTGAGACAAGATTTTAGAAAAATATCGATGTTTAAAAAAAAAATTCAACTGCAATTTTGAGGAGGGGGGGGGGATTGTAGGCTGAGGTGTGCTGTCATTTTGGGGGGGGGGGGGGTCTGGCTTTTTGTGACGACGGAGGGGACAGGGGGAGGTAAAAATCGTAAAAAAAAGCATGGCGTCTTTTATAGATGACCCCACCATATCTTTACTAATTTTTTTCTTCATTCTTTTAATTCTTCTCTTCACTTAAATAACTAACCTTAAAACGTACCACCTAATTCATTAGATAGGCTACAGTAATTATATAACCTATCCTATACTATATACACTATATAGATCTAGATTTAGATATATAATTAATAAATTATACTAATGTACTGACATGTAATGATCATTAAAAAGCCTACAAATATTGAATTGGTTTATATCTTATCCTAAGCTGCTACTAATGTAAAACTTAAGCTGAGGCTATAAAAATATATAGATACATCTAAACGGACGAGATTCTGTGTCTACCATTCTAAGTATCGATTAGTTATGTATGTATTGTAAGTCGAGTGAAGCCATCATTCATTGTACCAAGCTAGGCCTATTTTTTTTTAATTTAAAAAAGTGGGCGGGGCAGGTTAGGATAATTTTAAAGTTTAATGAATGACCTCCCTTGTTATCTGCGGTTAAAAAAAATAAATACTAGACTAGCAGACAAAAATTCTTAGCTGACTGTAGACCGTGACTGTAGAGAGGTCTAATACGTGACGACTCGCGTATAAAAAGTGGTCTGCTAGACTGCAGCTAGACAAAACACACATCTCTAGACTAATCGTTTCGTCAATGCAGTAGGCCTACCTTAGAAATCGTTTGTAGGTCTAGACTCTAGACCAGATCTCGCTAGCGAATTCCAAACAGCTGCTGTTTTGCGGAACTATTACAATTTGAACGAGATCGAGTAAGAACTCAAGCAAGACCAACAAGAGTCAAGCGCTTAAAAAAAACTTTCACTTAGAATTAGATTCATGACTCTAGATCTAGATCTAGATCTAGATGTTTTAATAAAATTAATTAGAATCTAGTTAAATTTTTGTTAACATTTTCCTTTAAACAGCAATGGATAACTTGCCGAAGAGAGTTGAGTTTTGGAAGGACAGATGGGATGATAGACACATTGGATTTCATCAAGCAGATGTACACAAGTATGGCCTTTTTATAAAATTATAAGGAAGTGGCTATTGGGACCCGGGTCCTAATAGCCTCGGCTGCTATTGGCACCCGGGTCCTAATAGCCTCGGCCGCTATTGGGACCCGGCATTAAGTTCGTTAAGCACGTGTACAACCTGTATTAAATTTATACCTTTTATGTTTATTTGATTTTTCTTGTGGAATTTCTCATATTTTGTTGTCTTTTATTGTAATTAGTTATGCGGATTATCTACCGTTAGTTCTTATGTTGCTATTACTAAATACGCTATATTTAGCTGTATATACAAAATCATTAAATATATAGCAATTATTGTAAGTCATCGTGGTCGAGTGGAGACGCAGTACCTCCCGCATCTTGATCAATTGCGCGATCGGAACCTATTGAAACTCTCGTTTTTGCGTGAAATAAAGTGTATTTATCTAAGTCTAACATTCCATTGAGTTGTTTGCAAAAGTGTCTTTTTGTAATTGTTTTTTTTTAAATAGATTACATTTTTTATTTGTAGATTTATGTTTTTAAATACGCCAATAGAGAGGTTGCACGTGATGTCATGGATTTGTAACCATGTAAACGTCCGCCATTTTGGGTCTACATTCAAAATGGTGGTCTGCGCTGTGAAAGGTTGTAGTTCTCGCTATGGAAATTGTAAAGGCATTTCTTTATTTCGACTGCCTAAAGTTATATTACACCAAGGTGAAACAGATCGGCAGTTAACTGAACGTAGACGTCGTACATTTTTGGCCAATATTTACCGAAGCGGTGTGAGTGAAGCAGCTGCAAACAACATGCGGATCTGTTCTCGACACTTTGTTTCAGGTAAAGAGTTAAATGATTTACATTTAATAAAATGTTAGGTCATCTCAAATACTAATATATCGAAAGTTATAAAACGTAATTTGTATTAGAGTCTAGTCTCGTGAATATATATAGTCAATATTCGATATATTATATAGATCTAGTAATATATTGTATTATTTTACTAATCACGATATAGCGTCGGAAATTATTGGGTAATGTTCGTTGAGTTTCGGTAACATTCGTTACTGTAAACCATACTTTATTTGACCGGTGAAAGAAAAATAAAGTCAAGTGCATTAAATTAATGTTTTAACTTAATTTAATGTTTAACTGACAAAAAATTAGCAACACTTAGTAAATCTAAATATTATTAATAAAGTCGAGTGTAGTAATTAATGGTTTTTTTTAAGAAACAGATAAAATCTGCAGAAGATTTGCGACAACCAGCTCTAGATCTAGTTCTGTTAGTAAATAAGACGATTAGGCTAGATTAACTAAAGTTAAAAGTAGTAAGAATAACTAGAATAATGTTTAGTAGCAGCAATAATTAGCACTTACACTTAAAATAGTTAGAAATACAAAATAATTAGGAAAACAGTATTTAAAATGCAACTAAAATCAATCCTTGCACATTTTTAAACATTATGTACTAAAAATAATATGGCGGCAAATAAATGATGGTTTACAGTATTTCCGGTGGTTTCCGGAACGGCTCGACAGACTACGCCATGGTTTTACTGTTTTTTACTGCTGTACAGTTCCGGAATAATAACCGACGCTATATCGTGATTTTACCGTAATTTGTATTAGAGTCTAGTCTCGTGAATATATATAGTCAATATTCGATATATTATATAGATCTAGTAATATATTGTATTATTTTACCATACTCGAGTCATATTGACGATAGAGTAAGGCCTAGCATTAGCTGGGTAGCTAGATCTAGAATCTAGTTAAATACTCTATCTACAACTACTACTAGATCTAGTACTGAAACTTATAAACTAAGGTCTAATTATTATTTAACTAATTAAAGTCTCATAAACACTTATAATATATGATAAGCCTAACAACTTTACTATTGTATTACGGCATAAATAATTTTTTTTGGTTTCTGCAACTGAAATTATTGGAAACAGATTGGGTCACAGCTTACACTAGTTCTAGGTTAGGCAGACATAGAACTCTAGGATTAACTAATTATTACTTAAATTAACTTTACAAAATTTACACTAGATTCTAAATGTTTTATCAGAGTAAATAAAGAATAGTAAGTAATAGATCTAGTAGACTTAAGACTTAAATATAACTTTATTTTTTAAACTGTATATCATATTGAGTCTAGTAATTATTAATAACATATTATATATATTATAGTTAGTCATATTTCTCATATTTGGATAAGCTTTTTAAAAATAGGCCTTCTATTCACGTGTAGTCTTTTTAAAAAAAAATATTCTATTTATCCAGGTAGACCAGCAAACTTCAGAGATGAAACAAATGTTGACTGGGCTCCCACCCTGTTCCTTGGACATGATAATATTTCTATGGCAAAAGTGAAGTTATCAGTCGAAAGACACACACGTACATTAGAGAGACAAGCAAAGAAACGTGCTTATGAAGCTGCAGAGGCCCTTTTGGTACTACCATTGGGCAGTTCAACAAATATCCAGTGCTTCAATAATCAAACAGCCAATACTTCCCCAGTGGATATGGGTGAAGGTAGTTCAAATATTCAGTGCTTCTATAATCAAACAACCATTTCCCCAGTGGATATGGGTGAAGGCAATTCAAATATCCAGTGCTTCAATAATCAAACAACCAACATTTCCCCAGTGGATATGGGTGAAGGCAATTCAAATATCCAGTGCTTCAATAATCAAACAAACATTTCCCCAGTGGATATGGGTGAAGGCAATTCCAATATTCAGTGCTTCAATAATCAAACAAACCACACTTCCCCAGTGGATATGGGTAAAGATAAGGCAAATATTCAGACAATCAACACTTCCCAATTGGCTATTAGTCATCAATATGCAAAGGATAGCACACAAACTATCACTAGCAGCATTGGTGTCAATATAGATTCTCTTTTTTTTGAGATGCAACAGTTAAGGTGTGAGAATTATTTGCTTCGTGAAAAAGTATTATGCTTTGAGCTAACCCCAGAGTCTTTCATAAATGACGATGATAAAGTCAAATTCTACACAGGTATTCATTCTTATGGTGTACTGATGCTTATCTTCAATAGCAGTAGTGGCACTATAAATCATAACCACAATAATTGTCTCACCAAATTTCAGGAATTTGTGCTAACATTGATGAAATTAAGGCTTAGTCTGCCGCTGCGAGATCTGTCATACAGATTTAAAATTTCACTGTCAACAGCCAGTAGAATTTTTGAGAAATGGGTTCGCCATATGGCTCACAACCTTAGACAATTTATAGTGTGGCCTGAAAGGGAGGACATACAAAAAACTATGCCTAATTGTTTCAAGCGTTCCTTTGGTGCAAACACAGCAGTTATTATTGATTGTTTTGAAATTTTTATTGACAGACCATCAAGTCTAGCTGCTAGAGCAATCACCTGGTCACAATATAAACACAACAATACCATTAAATTTCTTATAGGCATCACTCCACAATGTACTATATCTTTTATATCTAAGGCTTGGGGTGGTAGGGTTAGTGATAAATACTTAACAGAACATTGTGGCATTTTAAACAAACTTTCACCTGGAGATTTAGTTTTGGCTGATAGGGGATTTACAATAGCAGATAGTGTTGGGCTTTATTGTGCAAAGCTTGCTATTCCTGCTTTTACAAAGGGAAAAAACAACTATCAGCTTTGGAAGTGGCTGAGACAAGAAAGATTGCAAATGTTCGGATTCATGTAGAAAGGGTTATTGGGTCAGTTAGACAAAAATACAAAATTCTAAGTGACACTTTACCACTGGATTATTTAAATGAAAAGGGCAATCCTTTAATAGATGATATAGTGACCACTTGTTGTGCATTGATTAATCTTTGTCCAGCTATTGTGCCTTTTGATTAATTTGAGTATTTAAAAATGCCATTTATTGTTGTCAGCACAATCTATTGTTACCAGGTTGTATTTTAATATTTAATAAAAAATAAAAACACATTTCATATTTCATTTTTATTTTAACTTATTCAGAGTAGGCTTATTTCTTTTTGTCAGTGGTAAGCCAACAGCTTTAGTAATGCCAGATGCCTTTTTATTGGTATAATAGCATGCCAAGAGTTCAGGCAATATAATTTTCTGAAAAAATTCTGCTGCCTTAACAGAGATGCTTGACCACAAATTACTGTCAAAAAAAATTCTTTCTATGTGAACATCTTATGTTGTCCATATGACAAAATCAGCATATGAAGACTTGGTAGCTGCCATTTGGGTCAGGATTTGATAGTAGTAGCGGTGTGTGCTACTTAATTGTTTATTTGGTCCCAGACCAAGGTTTTTGGCCTCCTTATTGGATATGTCACTTAACATTTTCTCCTTAGTGCATGAAGGACACTTTATCTCAACCACACCTTGTCCACAGCAGTCACAGGTAACCATACCATCTGGAGAGGCTCCTATGTAGTGCATTTCAGGATGAATTACTAGTCCACTTTTTGTAATTTTAAAATTAATATGCTGTGCCCCCCAGCTTTGTGCATATTGCTGAAATGCAAAGCTTTCATGTTCACAACCCCACCTCATGCCAGGAGATTGAAATGTTTGTTGCTGAGGGTAACATATTTGTTTTACAAGGCACATTGATGGCTGTGCTAAGTTGGTGTTGCAACAGGCTTGCATTCTGGATGCAGTAATACGCCCAGCTCTTTGACGAAACCATTCCTTTGAATGTGACTGATCTCTAGTTGCAGCTTCAATAGCCTGCCGAGAAACCTCATTGAAATGTTCCCAGCGTAAAGAATTCCCCACTGCCACTAGCTGAGTGTAACTTAAATTTATGTGTTTTGGGTCAAATAATGATGTGAGCGGAGAAGGTAGTGTTGTCTGTGAAGCTCTGAATGTGTAAGTGTGTTTAGGGAGTATTGATAGAATAGCTGATGCACAGCTTATTTTTGATAGCTCTTCCAAAAATGTATCTTTGTCTAGCGGGGCAGACTGTGTTTGTTTCTCTATGACTGATGTGTTTATGGTTGGCTGCTTGTCTAATTTCTTCTTCTTTGCCTCTGGGGTATCAAAATTTACATCAGCCACCGCCAGATAAGGGACTTTTTGAAGGGAGGGAGGGAGAATCCACTGACAAGTTTTTTGTGTGGTTGACACATTATCTTGCAGTCTACATCCTGCTTCTATGGCAAACAGCAGGGCCCCTATGTGTGAACACGATTCGCCTAGCCCAGCCATGCAATTGCAGTGGGCAGCCAAAATAACTCCAGTTTGTTGACAAAAAAGCCATGGCTCAACTGGCTTTTCTGCTGCCTTTTGTGAATGCTTGACCTGCAAAATAAGACAAGTATTAATTAACAAATTGAGGCTATAACATAAACACAAATCAAACTGTTGTAGCTGATTAAAAGGAAAAATAATTCAAGCTAGAAAACATTGGATTATTAGATTCAACAAAAATGTACAGGTCCTAAAAAGTTTGGTACCTTATAGTGGTACTAATTTTCTATTTGATTTTTTAATTTTATGAATGGGCTCATCATGGGTTTATTATCATGGTTTAAGCATGGTAAACCCATACCAAATGTTGCCATCAACTACCACTGAGCAGAACAAGTCACCAAATTTAATGTAAAATTAGTGTTTATTTTATGTGAGAATGGTTTAGAATAATCATCAATATTATTAATATAAATATTGGATTAGTAAAATCCAAAAAAATGGACAGGTCCTAAAAAGTGGGATACCTGCCTTATACTTACACCCTGCTTTCCCCTAAGTCATTTAAATATTTAGGTAAACATCATAAGACATTATATTTAGTCTATTAATTAAGAATTGACTTACTTTGGCAACAACGACGACTTTGCTTCCAAATTCTCTGCATTTTATTTGGGACACAAGCCCATCCGTAAAGTATACATAGGACTTCATGCTTTTATAGTTTCTCATCTGTTCCTGTGTCACTTTGTTGGTCGAAAACACTAAATAGTTCACTATGTCCATGTTTTCAATTTTTGGCCAAATACTGATATCATCTACAAGTTGACGCTGATCACTAAGAAGATACGGATCTTCAATGCATAAAAGTTCAATTTTTTTAATGTATTGTTCTTGCTCGGTAGGTGCGAGGCTTTTAACATAAGCTGAACACATTCTGGAACTAGTCTAACACAAAACTGTACTGAAGACTCCACTGCCTAGCGCTTTATATTAAAATAATTTATATACACCGGTTGTTAGGGCCGGCGATAGGGCATCAACATGGCGGTCAACATGGCGGCGGATGAAACATCACGTGGTTTTGGTCACGTGTGTGCAACCTCTCTATTAGGCCCTATAAAAACATCGTTGCTCCATTGATCGCCCGCTCGCGTTTTCTGGTCAGCGCAAGAAAAATACCGACACGGTCTAGCCAGGGTCAGTGTGATTTCAGATTGGTTTAGATGTGAACAGTGTAGGCGTATAGCATACGTCATAGCAAGACCATGGCTACGAGGGGGGGGGGGCAGTGTTTCTTCCAGACTTTTATCCCCAGGGGGGGGCACTAGAAATTTTCGGGGGGGCGATAGACTTTCTTCGGGGGGGGGGCGGACACTGTTAAAAGTATATATTTTCTATATAAATTATATAAATTTCATTTCGTTCGGGGGGGGGGGGGGGTTGTGTGTGTGTGTGTGTGTATGTATGTATATATATATATATATATATATATATATATATATTTGGACGGATAGACCTATGAAATCAAATTACGTTTAACAGAACAAAAAACAACAACACATTTTTACATGCGCGCTCAACATTCGCTCGGCCATAGAAGTTCATACCATAGGCCATTATTATATTATAGACCTAACGACACCCACTCATCATATCATTTGTCAGTAATGATATCGGGTATTTAAAGCAAGATCTCAATATATCATTTAGAATTACAAGGAAAAAAATCACAACAGAAAAGATATATTCTGCACCTTAAAAGAATTTTCGTATAACTACATCTTAACAATTCTATTGGCTGGTCCCAATAGCGGCCGTGGCTATTGGGACCCGGGTCCGAATAGATGCATCCTTTTTATAATCTTTTATTTAACTTGATTCCTTATTAACTATTCCTTATCTTGTGCTTTTGTTGCCTGTCCATCATGGGTGGAATATTGCGAACAAAATTCTTAATTGGAGTCCACTGATTGGGTATCATGCACAAGGGGTCAGTGGTACTACGTGAATCAATGGTCAAACTGCACCAAGGGCATCCTCCAGAACACACAGACTTCCCATTGAGCATTATGTGGGTGCATTTGTTTTGAAGAGAAACCTACACTAGGGATATAGATAGTGCACTATTGAAGTTGATGACTTAGCAGAATGAGGGGTAACACTTGGTTGCTCCCAAAAGCTCCCAGCAACACCCCTGATATGTGGGCAGTTGCTAAGGGGTGTTCTACCTTACCTGTATGTAGTATATAGACTGATCAACATACACTCAAAGTTTTTTATACAGCACCCCCCGGGCATCTTGGCAGCAGTGTGGACAAACCAACGTCCCAACAACACCGCACTGAAATCTAAGAAATGTAGTGCCAATATTGTTTAAATATCACAATGTCTACTCAACTGAAATTTATAAATTTGGTATCTAAGAAATAGCTGATAGTCCAATCTAACACTCAGTGATTATAATTTAATGGTACCTCACACAGAAGTTAACGTCTTGGTAAATTAGTTGACAACGTTCGGCAGAATCAATATTTGTAAAATAAAGTTTATAAACACACATAATATAATGAACGACTTTCTTCTTAGATTGCAGCAATTTGCAACTGGTCATCTTGTATTTCATTTCCTTTTTGTTATTATGAATGTTTTTATTTATTTACTGTATATTTTAAAATTTGATAAGTGTTGAGTTTTTCCCAACCCTTCTATGATCAAAAACCTATTTTGTCTTTAAACCAATTCACTTCAATATCTAGTCTGCATCATGATGACAGCCAAATTCAATAAAAATAAATGCTTCATTGATTTCTAGGAGATGTAATATGAATAACTTATTAAAAACGATAAAAATGTATTTATTGTGTGTGACAAATTTACATGATTATGTCATTACACCAATCAGTTTTCTGATTATTAATAAGCAAGCAGCAAAGCCTGTCATGCATCAGGCATAAGAAGAAAATTATCACTTTCACAATTATGGTACATTTTCAACACTTTGGACTAGCTTTCATTTTTGGTACAAATATAATTTATTTTCTAGGATGTTGTCTAAACACTTCACTAAACTAATACCTGATGGCAAAGCTAACAAGGTTTTCTTCCCTCTTTGTGGCAAAGCTGTTGATATGAGCTGGTAAGTTATTTAAATTAATATGACATCTTTGGTAATTGTTTTTATTTTAATGGGGAACAATACATTTTTGGCAATTATTTAATAATTGGAAAATTTGTTTGTTTTGTTTATGTAGCATTTAATTTTTTTCTCTTAAATAAATTAAATATATGAATAACTTTCAGACAGACATATGTAGATTGGAGCTTTAGTTAGCTTTCTGTATCAACAAAGAGCATTTTGTAAATATGCTAGTCTAGTGAAAATGTGTAAAATTCTCCGGCTTGGTTAAAGCCAAATGACCCCATTCTATCAATCAAATGTCAGAGCAAAATAAATTTTTTTTATTAATAGTGACCTTTTTAGAGCAATAAAATGATAAATAAAAAGCTGAACACGTTTTTGAAGGGGTATTTTTTTTTATAAATATTTAAGGTTAGCCAGCCAAGGCTATAACATAGTTGGAGTGGATGGAGTCAAGAAAGCATTGGAGGAGTTTTTTACAGACCAAGGCATTGAATATTCTGTTGAAGATGTTAACCACAATGGGCACAACTTTAAATTATTTAAGGTTTCAAAATTTGTCTCTCCATTTTTTTAAGGGGCTGAATTAACATTTATGTTTTGTTATTTAGTGTGTATCAGTTAGAAGCTATAGATATTTACTTGAAGTTGTTGTCTTAGTTTTAAGACTACTTAAGCTATCTCAGGAGTGTGTGATTATCATATGATAGATAACTCTAATCAACTTCTTACAATGATAGCCAAGACAAATGTTTGGTTCACTGTTACTTAGTGGTTTTTTAAGTTCTCACTGAGTTATAGAGACCTTTAATTCTACACAGTTTTATCTAAGATATTTGGCTGCAATTTATTAGAAATTTAAAACTTGAAACACCAGCACCAGATATCTCAGTGCAGAGTTGTGTCCCTGTTTCCAAGCAGAGAAACATGTTTATAATGGGTTTATTTGTGTTTTTCCTGTGATAAAGTATTACATACATTCATGCAAAACAAAGCTGGATGTGACTGATTTTTAAAATGTATACAACTCAGCACACCCAGAATGATTAGTGGAGATCTTAATGTAGAGTTTTTGCCCTGCTTGTTAGAGTGGAAAGTGTAACTTGTCCTATGTGGTGATGTGATGATGATTTTATTTAAGTGTTTACAACTTAAAACTTTATATCTGGATTAAGAAAACAAACACTGCTATACACCTTATCCTCCCTCCAAAATTAGGTTTCACACACTTTACTTTATGGGACAGGGTGGCCCAAAAGTCTCGAGTTCGAATCCAGGTTCAAGTCAGTAGAACATCTGACCCAGCTGTGATGTTAGGGAAAGTAAAGGCGGCTGGGTATAGTGCTGACCCCACTATCCCTTTACATGCTGAGGTCACAGAAACAGGTGAACTCTACTTCACTTGCCCCATGGGCCGTTAAGTTTGAAAAGGAAACTATTTTTATACACTATTTTTGAACCAAAAATATAGTTATATAAATAATTGTTTGTTTAAAATTGCCAGAGTAAAGATGGAAAGATTCGGCTGTACTGTACAGATATTTTTAACTTTACTCCGTGAGTATACATTTATTAAACTTTGATATGTTTACATTTTATACGAAAACTTCAAATAATTGATTGCTTTAGTTTGAAAAACAAAAATTATATATTAAGAATCTTAAAGATTTAATTGTTTATTTTATGAAATATTTTTATCACTCAAATAGTTAAAACATTCAAATGAACACATTTAGTGTTCTCAAAAGCAAATTTGGATTTAATGTTATCTTATTAAATGAGTTTCATTGCAACCATTTATTTTTCAGTGACATTGAAGGAACATTTGATGCAGTATGGGACAGGGGAGCTCTGGTTGCACTAAACAGAGAGGATGTTTCTGGGTAGGTGAGACTGCTATTCAGCTATTTAACTTGGTTAAGATGAACATGTACACAATAGTGTAACCGTAATTATAGAGAAATGGGAACTAAGCTGCATGCATTGCACTGAATGTCTTGTAAATCTACCTCATCAGATATGTAAAGAACATGAAGAAACTTCTAAGTCCTAATGGTAGAATCTTAATGGAAGTCATGGAATATGATGTTTCAATCATGGATGGTGAGTCCTGTAATATATTTCTTTTAATTTTTATAGACGTGAAAAATTAAAGGGAAACAATAAAAATATAACAAAAGAAATAACAAGATAATGAGGTTTATTTCTTTCAATACTCTTGCTTTTTAGAAAAGTAGTGTATGGAATTACCCCGGGTTACCCTTCTTTTTGTTGTTTATTTAGTCATTTCAGTTGTTATTGTTTTTGTTTTGATAATTTTTGTGAGCTCTCAAAAATATGTTTGCCATTCAGGGATTTTGTAATTCTCACTAGTCTCTCTGCTTAATTCTTGTATTGTTATCAATACAATTTTTCTTTAAACTACTTCTTGTTTAAAAAGATGATATATATAATGTACATTTTATGTCAGAAACCATTTTACTATCCAGCTTTCAATTACTTTACATAATTTGGCAGCTTAGTAGGAATTGTTTGTGTTAGATCATGCAAAGACATACAGATAAAATCTAAATTAAAAATATTTTCTTCATGAGTGTGAACACTATGACAGAAACTACTTAGCCTAACTCACTTGCAGTTAACCTTTCTGTACAATCAATAAAACTAGACATTTTTATTATTTTTCTCCACAAAGGTCTTGAAGGTCCAAGCAAACCACCCCCACCCCATCCAATGTATGAAGATCAGATCAAGGCTTTATATGGTAGGTATACATTGTAATATTAATCATAGTACTATTTCATGTCAGTAAAGATTTGTTTTTTATAGTTATTTCATGATGTTTAGAATTTATTTCCTAATGTTATTTTCATTACTAAAGCATTTTTTGCTTTTCTAAATAAAAATGTGTCCTAATATTAAAAAAAAATACACAAAAAGCTTCTGTGCTACTTTTTATTATTATTCTATGGGTTTTTTAATGGCATATGTCTAAAGATAATTTTAAAAAAATTTTTCATAGGTTTAATAAAACTTTGAATGTTTCAGAGCCAGAATGTGAAGTCCATTTCATTGAAAGAGATGATCGTCAAATACAAGGGAGGGATGTTAATACTGCAATTTATAATATTATCAAGTTGCCTTAAATGCTATTAGATTTATTATCTTTAAAAATGCATTGTCTTTCTATTTTCACGTTTGTTTAACTATAACAGCACTGCATCAGATTACTGACTCTTTAATGTATGTATTTTAACCGGGTATTATAATATTTAGATCTATTTAAATACTGTTTTTAGTTTTCAGGTGAAGTATCCATTTTGATACTGAGTGTAAAGGAAGTAAATAATTACCTTGTTTAATAATAACCTAGCAAACTTTTAAAAAATTGCTCACATATATATCATGTTTATTTGTTGCAAATTTTGTAAAACAGAGTTTCTGTCAGATTTTTTTATTAATTTAAATACTAGAACTATATGTTTTACTTCTACTGATACAAAAGCCATCTCGTTTTAATGATCACTTAAAAACTTATTGTAGATTTATTCTTGGATGACTTACTGAATTTTTAAATGTAGCCTTGTCTTAAGAGATGTTAATGTATTAAAATGTGTCTTCATAGATTTCTTTGTGCTTATTTTTCTTGTGTGTGATTTGAAAATAGAATGCTTGAAAATTTTGTTTATTTTATATGCTGTTAGGAGTTTGGATAATTTTTCTTTTCTTTTTAGTAATGACAACTTTATTTCTGGTTAGAAAAAAGCTTTCTTTTTTCTCTTTTAAAAGGTTTTCTTTTTGTCTAACTAGATTTACTAACCTTGTCAATTTTTAAATAATAATAAGAACAGACTTAATATTAATTAGCCATCAGTTAAGTCACCACCTGTCAACAGTAAAGCTAACAGAAATGATTTTGTGAACAATTTTTAAAGGCACATGTTGAAGATTTCTTTATTGTTAGCTGATCAATAATTTTTGACATACATTCTTGAAGTAAAAAAGCAAGCTTTGTGTCATGACTGAAATCTACCTGTAAAATAATTAATGAATTGTAAACTCTTACACTTTAACCAAGCTTGGCAACCAGTATAAGTTTGAGACATTTTTTCAAAGAACAGCATATCTTTTTTCCCTTGTATAGAATTCAGTGTAAATAATAAGAGTTTGTACAATTAAGTTACAATTAATGAAACAGTTAAAAATAGTGTTACTCGTACAGGTGCAACTTCTGATCACATAGATGTATGTGTGTATATACATATTATGTATATAATCCAGAAAGAAAAGCAGGCTGAAATCGTAGTCAACTGCCTATATGGCGCATAACAGGTTGACATAGAATACTTAATTGTGTTGGAGGAAATACCATCCAACACTACAGTTAAGAAGGAGAAAAATAATACATTTAGCCACAACATGGGTGTCTATTGGTTATTGTTTTTCTAAATTAACAAATACCTATCAAAGGAAGTAAATTTCCTTTTAGAAAAATAAATAATAATCCATGTACTGTTTTTTGTACCAAACACAGCCCTATGTTCTTATCTCTAGACAGACTTGACAGTTTGTAAACACTTGTCCATTAAATGATTAGTGAAGGCCCCTTTGTTTAATGGGATACATTTTATTATTAAATTTTAAAATTCTTTATATCTCCATCAGACTCAAAAAAAAAATCTCTTATCCATTAGCCATAACCTACATTTTACATGATAAGCTACCATGACATTGTTAAGCTGATAACAGTAATTAACCTTAAATTTAATGGCACGAGTTGGTAAGTAGCCTGTATAAATATAGCCTTTTTGTTGGCCTACTTTGAAAAATGTCCAGGTGCAATTATAAACACACAATTAATGAAATGCTTATTTGACAATATTTGTTAATTTTAAAAAAAAATGTCCCAAAATTTACTATGCTCTTCAGCTAAGTTGGGCCTACTTATCACTATTTGTATTTATCAGTGATAAAAGAAAAATGTGATAGGCTAAGCAAAAAATATCAATAATGTTAATGCATTTTGTTTTTTAGCAGATTTATTAGATACAGGTGTTTTAAACATCCTTAACTATCTTACTTTTTTACCTGAAGAAAAATGTCTACTGCGGAAGCTGATACTAAAGACAGGATGAAGGTGTGGAGTGACAGGTGGCGTGATGGAGATATTGGTTTCCATGACGGAGTTGTCAACAGGTTGGTTATTTTAAAATTATTACATTTTATTACATTACAAGATTTAAAATTTATAGCATGAACATTGAACTTTATGGTAGTCTTATATGTGGGGTACGTGTTTGTATGTCTGATATATGCAATATATCTGACATATGCAATATGTATATCTGATATATGCAATATTAAGTAAAGTTCCCTTTCAAACCTGACGGTCTACGTGGCAAGTGAAGTAGAGTTCATTTGTTTCTGTGACCTCTGCATATGAAGAGATAGTGTATCAGCACTATGCACAGGCGCCTTTACTTACTCTAACTTGAGTTAGGTACCCATCAGAGTTGGGTGGACTCAGGGACGGTCTACTGACTTTGACCCGGATTTGAACTCGACTACCGGGTTAGCAGTCCAGCTCTCTACCGCTAGGCCACTCCGTCCCAAATGCAATAATATAAAATGTAAAACAAGTTTTGTGATGTTTTATGAGAAAATATTAATCATGTTTGTGATTAACGCCACAAACTAGTTAGAATTGTATTGATATAGGACCTATACAATATATTAAAATATTTTGTTTTAAATTATTACCCAAGTGAATTTTTAATTCTTAAAAAAAAATTTTTTTTAAATATCACAATACTTATGTATCTGTTTCCTAGAATGTTGGTTAAACACCTCACTAAACTAATCCCTGAGGGGAAAGCTAACAAAGTCTTCTTCCCACTTTGTGGTAAAACTGTTGATATGAGCTGGTATGTAAATATGCAAGTGTTAAGTTTTTTTAACTTCTAGAAATTTAAAATAGAAAGAAGTGTTTTATAATGTTTTATTCTAAGATATTTACTTCTCAAATAAAAATGTTTTTACAATAGTTTTTTTTTAGTTTAGAAAATAATAAACCGCAAATAGATTTTTAAATATCTTCATACTTCATATTACTTTTTTTTTAAAATCTCCATAAACGGCGGGTTGTGCCTCAGTAAACTGCATGAAAAATTAATTTTAAAAAATTATCCTAAACATTTGTGTGTGTGAAAAGGCTTGCCAGTCAGGGTTACAATGTAGTTGGCGTGGACGGGGTGAAGAAGGCACTGGAGGACTTTTTTAATGAACAAAACATTGAATATTCTGTTGAAGATGTGCACAACAATGGAAAAAGTTTCCAGCTGTTGAAGGTATTTTTTAAAACTTCAAACTCTTTTATCCACTATACAGGCCATATATCACATACAGTGATCTAAATTTTAACTTTTAGGAATCTAGGATTAAATATTTCAATTTGAATAGGAATCATATGATAATTTTGCCTCTAAATTTAACCAGCTGAAGCTTATGAATTTACACAATTTGTAAATTTATATTTTGAATTATTCAATTTCAAATGTAAAACATTGCTTCAAAGATAAATTCTATCTCAAAGTGGTGTTATCTCAGTACTGGCCTTGTTTTTGACCATTCTTGTTTGTCTATGTATATATGTAGGTTTACAAAGGGTAGATAACAATAATTACACATTTTTAAAATAGCTGAGAAACAAGTACTTAAATCAAACAATAAAAAGTAATTTAATTTTCAATGTAAAATGTAAGAATGGAGGAAAAAATTATAAGTTGTATTTGGCTAAATGTTTGAGATTAACTGTTTAAATATAAAAATTTATCCTAACACAAACATCGCGAGTGAACAACCACAGTTATGCTTAGTTTTTAAATAATTATTAGAAATGACTATTTTTTCACCTCTATTATTTATTTAATTCTTTTTATAAGACTAGATCTAGTCCTAAAATTTTTTTGAATAGATAATTGTCTGCTAATTTAATTGAAATAAATAAGTGTTTTGTTTTTATGCATGAAATTAATTTAACTACTATCTTAACCAGAGTAAAGATGGACAGATAAGGCTGTATTGTACTGACATCTTTAACTTTACACAGTGAGTAAATATGTTTCCAAGCTTCACTTTTAAAAAAACTGGAGAAATATCAAGGAGAATGACATGTGTGATTGATAGCTTAGTCTAGAAAAGTATTTCACTGCCATATCATCGTCAGGGACTATTTCATTCATTTTTCTCAGAAGGGGGAAGGGTGGGGGCAATATAAGAATGATTAAAGTAAATATTTTCTATTTAAATTATATATAGGGCCCATAGGGGGGTGGGGGGGGGGAGAGGAGGGGCGGCACTCCTGGAGGCAGTGCTCCAACCCCATAGACATGCCTGAAAGAAACCAATTGTTATTACGAAGCAATTATAAAAAACAAATACTCAAGTAAAAAATGAAAGAGGAACTTGTGTTATTACATTGCACATATTAAAGACATTCGGAATAGTTAGATAAAACTATACTTGGATTTTTTTTCCACTGATGTTGAAGGGACATTCAGAATAGTTAGATAAAGCTATACTTGGATTTTTTTTCAGTGATGTTGAAGGGACATTCGGAATAGTTAAATAAAGCTATACTTGGATTTTTTTTCCACTGATGTTGAAGGGACATTCAGAATAGTTAGATAAAGCTATACTTGGATTTTTTTTCAGTGATGTTGAAGGGACATTCGGAATAGTTAAATAAAGCTATACTTGGATTTTTTTTTCCACTGATGTTGAAGGGACATTCGGAATAGTTAGATAAAGCTATACTTGGATTTTTTTTCAGTGATGTTGAAGGGACATTCGGAATAGTTAGATAAAGCTATACTTTTTTCAGTGACGTTGAAGGGACATTTGATGCAGTATGGGACAAGGGATCCTTGGTTGCACTAAACAGGGAAGATGTTTCTGGGTAAGTTAGACTGTTACATAGCTTGGTGAATATGAAGATCAGGCCTCAAAATTAAAAATGTAAACTTTATTCATTAAAAAATGTGTAGCTTATGTTATAAAGAACATCATTTAGAATTATACACAATTTAAGCTTTTAAGTTCTAATACTAAAAACATTTTGTAATTTCCCAGGTATGTTGAAAATATGAAGAAACTCTTAAGTCCCAATGGCAGGATTCTATTGATGATTAAGGAATATGATGCTGCATTAATGAAAGGTTAATTTATTTTGATACTGTAATATATGTGAATATATGTGAGTATATGTATATACACACACTTTTGTTCTGGATATTATGAGAATCTAAAAGGCTTTTTAAAAATGTCTTTTTGATTATCTTAATATTTCAATTTGCATTGCAAGTTAACTGAGGAATTAATTTACCAATGGAAATAACATATTCGTGATTACCTTTACACCTCTTTGTGCTACAGTTTGTACTTTTATAATCACTATCATTAATAAATGTAACTAATTTTTATCATTAATAAATGTAACTAATTTAAAAAAAAAATTCTCAGATGTTGAATGGCTGAACAAACCACCACCTCCTTACCCAATGTCTGAAGATGAAATCAAGACACTCTATGGTAATTACATAATTTTAAAATTGATTAAACACTAACATTCTGAAATCATATTAATTTCTAGTACGCAATAATTATCTGCAAAACATAAAGTAAAAGTAAAGTTTCCCTTTCAAACCTGATGGTCTATGGGGCAAGTGAAGTAGAGTTCACTTGTTTCTGTGACCTTGGCATTTGAAGAGATAGTGTGGTCAGCACTATGTGCCTCTAGGTATCTTAATTAATTACGGGAAAGCACAGACTACTTTCCTTTCTACAGAATTCCAGTGTGTGTAATATGGCCCTACTAGTACATAATTAAGTTTTTCCTTGAACTGTGAGTGCTTAACATAATCTACAAAATGTCTTTCTATTAAGTATTATTCTGTATGTGGTTCAAATTTTCAAAGCACTGTTATGTTGTCAATGTTCTAGGGCCTAAGTGTGAAGTTCATCTTATACAAAGAGACACCTGTAAGGTAATGGGCAAGGAGTTTAAAGGTGCTCAAGCTGCTGTGTATAACATCATCAAAAAATAAAATCAAAAAATAAAAATACATCCAGTAGGCTATTTATGTCAGTTTGTATAAATCAATACATTTACTCTTGAAAACTTAGTTTGGTTATAAAATAATTTGCTCAGATTAAACAAATTTTACTTGTAAGAATTAACAATTTTTTTGTTTAATTGTTAAATCAACATAGGGAAATATTTTAAACACTGAAAATTGAAAATTAAGTAAGATCCTTTACTGTTTGGTTAATATTTAAGTTTTTGTTTTGATTGTACCAGGTCTTCCACATTTTTATTGTTCTGTTTTGTATTTCTATTGCATAAACAGTGTTGTCATTGATTAAATAGAATACATAAAGTATGTGACTAAATGTTGTCTGACCCTGAATGCGTATGATATAAAAAGTTGGCCATAAGATCTTTTTTAACATACTGTTGGCCTTTTGGATTTAATTTCATGTACTTTATATTTTTAATATGAAAACAGTCTAAGGATCTTGAACATTCAAGCCAGAATGGTATGATGATATTATAACATCATTGTAACATTATATGTAAATTAACAAAAAACTATTTTTTTGGGTTTGAAACTTGTGCAATCCTTTCCTGTTGGCATAATTACTAATAATATGTTAATTGCTTAGGTTCAATTAATTTTAGATTACTACAGATCAGGACATTCTATTTAATTCTGTGCCTATTTCATTATAATCATGTTCTTATGTAGTAGAGTTTTGTTTTACAAACATGCAATGTATGATATGGTCAATATTAAAAAAAAAGGAAGTTGAAACCAAATTAAATAGTACTTTGTGCTGGCACTGTTTTTTAACATGATTATCAAAATATCCACAGCTTGATCATAGTGTTACATTCTTTGGATCAAGTCAGTAAATAATCTTTTTAAGTTATTGTTGTCTGAGGTTTTTGACTGCTTTATGAGAGGACCATACATAAAACACTCAACCCCCAAGAGCTAAGACAAGTATTGGGTTAACTACTTTTTAGTTTTTTGACTTGAAGAGTACATTATCCTTTTAAAATATTTAAACATTTTAAAACTCTCTTTCTGTTTAAACTATTTAAAGCTATGGTGATTAAATTAAGACCTACACTTTTGTTTTACAAAAGATTGAGTCCATTTTGAAGACCAAGTTGACATTATAATACTTGGGAAAGATTAAATGTTTTAATATAATCATGCCGCCCTAATGTCAGTTGTTTTAAATTTTGTTTAACTTAGCTTTAAGGAATATAGGATTAAACATTTCAAATTTAAGCCACTATTTACATATCTTTTTTAGACTTAAGATTAAAAAAAAAATACTAGGGATTCAAACTAAAACCATTTTGATACTATAATATAAATGAAATAAACAATAGATTATAAAACCCTGAACAAAGATTAAGTTTTTAAAATTGTTTTTTATATCATATTTATTAGATTGTTATATTTTGTACATAATTTTAGATTTGATTGTATTTCCCTTTATTGAAATAATTTGTTTGATGTTGTGCATCAATAGGATAAACAATTCTATCCACTTTTTATTTAATTTAGCGTTTATGTTATACGATGTTTACAAGTTAATATAAAAAAATGTAGATTATTATAATAAATCAAAGTGTATAATTTAAAAAAAAAAAAGCTCATTTGTATTTTCTTTTTTGCACGTTTATTTTCAATGCTTAGTTTAAATCTTAAGGTTTAAAAACATTGATTTGATTATAAAATAATTCAATAATAAGATCTCATTAAAAAAAATTAAATGCTTACGAGAGCATTTTTCAATGTAATAGCAATCTTTTAAAATTAAACAACTAGTTGAACAGTGTGGAGAAAATTCTATCAAGCACCTCAGAAAACAGTCAGTATTTAAAAAATTACAATAGTTGTTAAATTTTTATTCTTTTGAAATAATGAAGCATTTCATACATGATAGATTTTAAGAAATGGTTTTGGACAATTGTCTTGTTTTTAATATTTTAAAATGCCTTGATATCTTGAATGAATACCACTTATATTTTCTAAGTAATGTTTTTAAAATGTCATGATGAAGAAAAATACTTCAGCAACTATAATGCTTAAAATTTTCAGTATTTATTTTTATAAAATAAATATGGTGATACTAAACAAAATCATCTAGCAATACCAGAAAATTACAGTTACAACATTGATAATATTTTTAAATTTTAAAAACCTCCCACTGTACTTAAATTCAGGGTTTCATTTTAGTAAAGTTTTAGATCCATAGAATAGAAAATAAATTTTTTAAACTATAAGCATATATTAATGTTTGTAATATATTATTTTGAATAATACCTAATTTTAAGTTTAAAAAATTCAAAATTTCTGACCACCCTGCCTACTTTAAATTGGGGACTTGCTTGTATTTTGAAGACTTGACAAGAAAATAAAATTCTCACCCTACAAAAATTCTAAGGTTACGTCAAATTTTTTTTTATAAGAACATTATAAAAGCCAGCATATAATCCATCTATTAAAAAAATTGGAATGCTGCTTAGTGCTCTCTGACATACACTGCAGTATCACAGCCAATGATAAGCAAAACATAACATTCACAGCCACACACACACACTATTGTATTTTAATACTGTTTAATAATATGTTAATTATATTTTAATTGTTCACAGGCCACAAGGTTGTGTCATACATTCAAAACTTAGATAAATATATTAAAAAGTGTCTGAAATAACTGTGCACAATATATCAAATGTAAACCCAAATTTGTATAAAAATTAAAATCTACTTGTAAAAAGAAAATGTAAAAAGCCATATAAAAAAAAAATACTTCCTCCTTTTAGTTTATGTAATCACTACAAGCTCATTTGATTTTATGCAGACACCAATACTCAAATTTTTTAAATACATTGACCTCTAATTGAAGTGATGCAAGCTTAGATGATAATTAAACAAAAACAACCTTAAATTATGTGAAAGGAAAGGGTCAAAGGTGCTTTCCTGTAGATAAAATACTAAACCACAACAGCATCACTATTGGTCCCAATTTTTGATGTTTTGAAAACTGAGGTGAGATTAAGCTAAGATAGCAGATTTCATCCTTTCAATTCCAGTCAGGTTCAAGTTGTGCTCAACCTGGTTAGTGGGAGCTGGGTTCAACTTCTGGCGCACCCCTAGGCACTGGTTATCCAAGCGAAGAGACTGGGTCTTGAGAGCAATGTCATCATTAAGGCGGTGAAGATTCTTCTGTAGACCATCCAAGGCATGTCTAGGATTGAAAATAAAAAGATGATTAAAAATTTATAAAACAGATTCTAATCTAATTTTCATGTTCAAAATGTAAATGTTTAACATATTATCACTGTATTCGAAAAAAAAAAAAAGATTCCAACAGCAAACTGAACCAAGAGGAAAAAAAACAGCTTTAAAAACTTACTGGGCTTGTTTGAGCTTCTCTTCAAGTGCATTCTTGGATGCATACAGCTGTTTGACCTCATCAACAAGGCCATACTGGGCAGCATCTCTACACAGCTCAACATTTGGCCGATAAGTTCTGTTCTCCAGTCTAGTTTCAGCCTTTTTGGTTGGTCGGATTTTGTTGCGGATTGCTTCCTCGATGCCCCGAATGTCATTTTCCAACTCAGCAATTTCTTCTTCAGTCTGTATAACAAGAAGCGTTTTAAAGAATTATACATAAATGTAAACAGTAAACAGACGTGCAAATTTAGCTTTTTTTATGTGAAAATATTGAAAACATTACAATTACAAAAATAGTTTTTATTTTAAGACAAATTAGAAACTTTCAAAACTGATGTCAAAAGCTTATATACATTTCTGGTACTGCATGATCTGCTAAGTGGTTTACAGGATATGGTGTAATAAGGCAAGACCTAGTTCACAGATTAGTATGTTTACCTACATTAAGGTAGGAGTTCTTATTCAAGTCTTTACTCATAGAACTACATTGGTTATGGCAAGCGGATATAGTAACAATAAAATGTATCAATTATTTTAAAAGTTATTCATTAAATTAAGGGCCACTTATAGATTTAAGTATTAAATAAACTCTTACATTCTTTTTCTGCCATTCTAGCTCATCCTTGGCCCTCTCAAATTCATGGATCCTCTTCCTGAAGGCAAACTCAGTGGCTTGTTTCTGTGCTTCTAGATCATTGGCTGTCTGTTGCAGTGTGTGGTGGATTTGTTCCCGGAGTCTGTTGGACGACTTCATCTCAGCATCAGCTCTCTCCTTATTGTAGCGACTGAAGTCTTCCCATTGCTGAGGGGTGGTACTCCTGTAAGGGAAACAGTTATAAAATATTTAGTGTGAGATCCTTCATCCATGGAGAATTGTAGCATTGTTCAGATAATATTTAACTTAAATGTTAAACATGGGTGAACAGATTAGCCTTAAACAAACACAAGTATGAATCGCCAATTTAAATGGTATTAGGCACTAGATTCAGACATAGTTTCATAGAGACAATGTCAGGGGACAATTAGAAATTTTATTTGATCTATCCAGCCATATTAAAACGGAAGGCTGAAAATTCAAAAATAGTAATCCATCAATAAATTAATTAAAAAGCATATAAATAACTAAAAAGAAACTACACAGGTAATTCCATCAAATTAAGATACAACTAATATGTAAAAATAAAAGGTGTAAGACATACTAACCCTTTAGGTACACGCAGTGGATCAGGCTTGTAGCTGATGTTTGGGGATCTATCAGACAAGTTGTACTGGTCAATGTCAATGCCTAAAGCAATATTTTTGTCCTGTAGGTCTGCTTGTACTTGTTGTCTAGCTTCTTGTAGAAGACACAGCTGCTCAAATGAATCTGCTATCCTCTGCTGCAGCACTTTTTTAATCCCGTCAATAACCTCGGCTTCCTTTAGTATGAAAAAAATAAGGGAATATTTGTGTTGTACACTCAGTCAATTGAAATAAAAAGAATCTTGTGTAATTTGTTTCTTATGGTAACAAAAAACTTTTAAAAATCTACCTGAGGAAAAAGCATAAAATTAATTTGCTATAAAGCTTATGTAAATATGGATAAAATTATATAGACTAGAGGTTTTTTTAATTGAAATAAATACAATACATAATCTTCTTGAAAAAGTAGGCAAAAAAATTATTTAGAAGAAAAAGTACATAATCTTTATAAAAAAATAGGCACTAAAATTATTTTGAAGAAAAAAGTACAAATATACAGATATTTCTTACTTTGTGAAGCTGATTTTCTGGTTCATCCTGCACAACATCTATATTCCTTCTTCCCTCACGCAAGGTTAAGCATTCAATGTTGACATCAGTTGGGAGATTTTTTGCTTCTAGTGCTTGTTCTGTTAATTCTTTTGCTTCAGATAGATCAGCAATTTCCTGGTCTAACTGTCCCAAAGTCCTTTCTAGAATTTCCTTCCACTTTCTTATATGGTCAACACGGTCAGCCAGTCTGACATCATTTGAATACTGATCCCACTTTGTCTGACTATCTGTCTCATTGCGTAAAAATCTGGATTCTTGACGGACCTAAGGAAACAAATAGTTAAATATTAAATTTGCTTTAAAATATGCTATGAAACAGATGTAGAGAACATTCAAGCCTTGGGATTACAATACTTTAAAAAAATGTATAACTAAGCAGCATATGACAACTCACCTGATGAGATGCAGACCTCTGACGCTCAGCATTGGTTGACTGAGTGTAAAGCTCAGTGAACCAGTCTGGTGGTTGATGTCTTACAACTTGTCTGACCTCTGTTGCCATGATTCTGATAAACAGAACATTATAATTTTAATAGCCAATAAATGTAAGACATTTACAGAGGACAACCCCATTGCTTTGGGAATGAAAAGCATGAAAATCAGTCACTGACTGGGGTTCAGAAGGTTTTTTATTTTAGAGAAAGTTATAAAATATAAAAATCTCTATGAACATTCTTAAGCAAACCTAAGTTTTCCACCATAAGACTTCCAAAATGCCCAGTTTATGGAATAAGTATGTACTTACTAAAGAAAATAGCTTTGGTCTTAATTAATATAATCCTAACTGTGGTGATGTAATTGTTGTATGGGTGGAAATAAGTAAATTGTACATAATGAATATAAAGTTTGATGGACATTTGTGTATGTTTGATATGTGAATGTCTTCAGACAGGTGAATGACAGCTGAGATAGCATTCATGAGAGGATGAAAGGGTTTAAAAGGGAAGAGAAGGAAGTCTCGCACTGAATGAAGTTGTACAAAACTGTAAGAATGTATTATACATTTCAAAACCTAATCATTAGTTGTTGTTATCAAAGATCTCACCACCAACATCATAGCTGGAGAATTAAACTGACCCTAGGGCTAGGCTTAACCTAAATCTTGACTCTTGGCAGTCAGTGAAACTAGCAAAGAACTACTTGTTATTAATGATTTATAATTTAAAAAAAACTTGTTTCCCATATTCATCACTCATCATCTTTTCCTGTTAGTCCCAAAACAGTAGTAGAGTTAAGCTGTTTCAGTGACCATTTATTATGAATTGGCTGTGTTAGCTTTTCCTAACTTGAGTCAGGTACCCATGCAAGTTGAGTGGACTGAAGGACGTCCTACAGACTCTTTTCTATGCCTGTATCCTAACTCAAGATTTAGCAGTAGGTGTGTGACTTGTCTAAAAAAAAACTTTTTTTTTTAATTAAGAGATACTACTACGATTGAATTTGATAGTGATAGGCCTATTATTACTATAACTAATAAAGTGCCAGATCTACTAAGCTGATCTAGTAGTAGTAGTCTACTTAATTACTAGACTAGAAGAATGCTAGATCTAAGAAATACATCATAGTTAGTAGTCTCTGATTTGACTCTTAATTTAAAAAAGTGGGCGGGGCAGGTTAGGATAATTTTAAAATTTTAAAGTTTAATGAATGGCCTCCCTTGTTATCTGCGGTAAAAAAATAATAAAAAATACTATTACTAGGCCTAGTCTAGCAGACAAAAAATTCTTAGCTGACTGTAGACCGTGACTGTAGAGAGGTCTAATACGTGACGACTCGCGTATAAAAAGTGGTCTGCTAGACTGCAGCTAGACAAAACACACATCTCTAGACTAATCGTTTCGTCAATGCAGTAGGCCTACCTTAGAAATCGTTTGTAGATCTAGAAATCTAGGTCTTGACTCTAGACCAGATCTCGCTAGCGAATTCCAAACAGCTGCTGTTTTGCGGAACTATTACAATTTGAACGAGATCGAGTAAGAACTCAAGCAAGACCAGCAAGAGTCAAGAAGATTGTCTAGATCTAGACTAGATATAGATTCTAGATCTAATAATATCTAATATTAATATTAATTAATCTAATAGATCTAATAATACTAATAGTAATAGATATCAGATTAGATATCTCTAGTCTAGAGTCTAGAATCTAGATCTAGATTCTACTAGCCCAGCCTAGACTGCCCTAGACTAGCGCTTAAAAAAAACTTTCACTTAGAATTAGATTCATGACTCTACTCTAGACTAGATGTTTTAATAAAATTAATTAGATCTAGAATCTAGAAATCTAGATCTAGAATCTAGTTAAATTTTTGTTAACATTTTCCTTTAAACAGCAATGGATAACTTGCCGAAGAGAGTTGAGTTTTGGAAGGACAGATGGGATGATAGACATATTGGATTTCATCAAGCAGATGTACACAAGTATAGCCTTTTTATTTTTTATAATCTTTTATTTAACTTGATTCATTATTAACTATTCCTTATCTTGTGTTTTGGTTGCCTATCCATCATGGGTGGAATATTGCGAACAAAATTCTTAATTGGAGTCCACTGATTGGGTATCATGCACAGGGGGTCAGTGGTACTGCTTGAATCAATGGTCAAACTGCACCAAGGGCATCCTCCAGAACACACAGACTTCCCATTGAGCATTATGTGGGTGCATTTGTTTTGAAGAGAAACCTACACTAGGGATATAGATAGTTAGTGCACTATTGAAGTTGATGACTTAGCAGAATGAGGGTAACACTTGGTTGCTCCCAAAAGCTCCCAGCAACACCCCTGATATGTGGGCAGTTGCTAAGGGGTGTTCTACCTTACCTGTATGTAGTATATAGACTGATCAACATACACTCAAAGTTTTTTATACAGCACACCCTCGGGCATCTTGGCAGCAGTGTGGACAAACCAACGTCCCAACAACACCGCACTGAAATCTAAGAAATGTAGTGCCAATATTGTTTAAATATCACAATGTCTACTCAACTGAAATTTATAAATTTGGTATCTAAGAAATAGCTGATAGTCCAAACTAACACTCAGTGATTATAATTTAATGGTACCTCACACAGAAGTTAACGTCTTGGTAAATTAGTTGACAACGTTCGGCAGAATCAATATTTTTAAAATAAAGTTTATAAACACACATAATATAATGAACGACTTTCTTCTTAGATTGCAGCAATTTGCAACTGGTCATCTTGTATTTCATTTCCTTTTTGTTATTATGAATGTTTATATTTATTTATTGTATATTTTAAAATTTGATAAGTGTTGAGTTTTTCCCAACCCTTCTATGATCAAAAACCTATTTTGTCTTTAAACCAATTCACATCAATATCTAGTCTGCATCATGATGACAGCCAAATTCAAAAAAAATAAATACTTCATTCATTTCTAGGAGATGTAAAATGAATAACTTATTAAAAACGATAAAAATTTATTTATTGTGTGTGACAAATTTACATGATTATGTCATTACACCAATCAGTTTTCTGATTATTAATAAGCAAGCAGCAAAGCCTGTCATGCATCAGGCTTAAGAAGAAAATTATCACTTTCACAATTATGGTACATTTTCAACACTTTGGACTAGCTTTCATTTTTGGTACAAATATAATTTATTTTCTAGGATGTTGTCTAAACACTTCACTAAACTAATACCTGATGGCAAAGCTAACAAGGTTTTCTTCCCTCTTTGTGGCAAAGCTGTTGATATGAGCTGGTAAGTTAGTTAAATTAATATGACATCTTTGGTAATTGTTTTTATTTTAATGGGGAACAATACATTTTTGGCAATTATTTAATAATTGGAAAAAAAAATTGTTTTGTTTATGTAGCATATAATTTTTTTTCTCTTACAGACATGTAGATTGGAGCTTTAGTTAGCTTTCTGTATCAACAAAGAGCATTTTGTAAATATGCTTGTCTAGTGAAAATGTGTAGAATTCTCCGGCTTGGTTAAAGCCAATCAACTCCATTCTATCAATCATTTGTCAGAGCAAAATAATTTTTTTTGGATAAATAGTGACCTTTTTAGAGATAAAATGATAAATAAAAAGCTTAACTTGTTTTTGAGAAGGTATTTTTTTTTAAAATATTTAAGGTTAGCCAGCCAAGGCTATAACATAGTTGGAGTGGATGGAGTCAAGAAAGCATTGGAGGAGTTTTTTACAGACCAAGGCATTGAATATTCTGTTGAGGATGTTAACCACAATGGACACAACTTTAAATTGTTTAAGGTTTCAAAATTTGTCTCTCCATTTTTTTAAGGGGCTGAATTAACATTTTATGTTTTGTTATTTAGTGTGTATCAGTTAGAAGCTATAGATATTTACTTGAAGTTGTTGTCTTAGTTTTAAGACTACTTAAGCTATCTCAGGAGTGTGTGATTATCATATGATAGATAACACTAATCATCTTCTTACAATGATAGTCAAGACAAATGTTTGGTTCACTGTTACTTAGTGGTTTGTTAAGCTCTCACTGAGTTATAGAGACCTTTAATTTTAATTCTACACAATTTTATCTCAGATATTTGGCTGCAATTTATTAGAAAATTTAAATAATAAAACTTGAAACTCCAGAGTTGTGTCCCTGTTTCCAAGCAGAGAAACATGTTTATAATGGGTTTATTTGTGTTTTTCCTGTGATAAAGTATTACATACATTGCAAAACAAAGCTGAATGGGACTGATTTTTAAAATGTATACAACTCAGCACACCCAGAATGATTAGTGAAGATCTAAATGTAGAGTTATTGCCCTGCTTGTTAGAGTGGAAGGTGTAACTTATCCTTTGTGGTGATTGGGTGGTGATTTTACTAAAGTGTTTAAAACTTAAAAATTTATATCTGGATTAAGAAAACAAACACTGCTATACACCTTATCCTCCCTCCAAAATTAAGTTTCACACACTTTACTTTATGGGACAGCGTGACCCAAAAGTCTCAAGTTCAAGTCAGTAGAACGTCTCTGATGTTAGGGAACATAAAGGCGGCTGGGCATATTGCTGACCACACTATCCCTTTACTTGCTGAGGTCACAGAAACAAGTGAACTCTACTTCACTTGCCCCATGGGCCTTTAGGTTTGAAAAGGAAACTATACTTTTATACATTGCTTTTTAACTAAAAATATAATTAAATGAATAATTGTTTGTTTAAAATTACCAGAGTAAAGATGGAAAGATTCGGTTGTACTGTACAGATATTTTTAACTTTACTCCGTGAGTATACATTTACTAAACTATGATATGTTTTCATTTTATAAGAAAACTTTAAATAATTGATTGCTTAAGTTTGCAAAACAAGAATTATATATTACAAATCTTAAAGATTTAGCTGTTTATTTTATGAAATATTTTTATCACTCAAATTATTAAAATGTTCAGATGAACACATTTAGTGTTCTCAAAAGCAAATTTGGATGTAATGTTATCTTATTAAATTAGTTTCAATGCAAACATTTATTTTTCAGTGACATTGAAGGAACATTTGATGCAGTCTGGGACAGGGGAGCTCTGGTTGCACTAAACAGAGAAGATGTTTCTGGGTAGGTGAGACTGCTATTCTGCTATTTAACTTGGTTAAGATGAACATGTACACAATAGTGTAACCGTAATTATAGAGAAATGGGAACTAAGCTGCATGCATTGCACTGAATGTGTTTTAAATCTACCTCATCAGATATGTAAAGAACATGAAGAAACTTCTAAGTCCTAATGGTAGAATCTTAATGGAAGTCATGGAATATGATGTTTCAATCATGGATGGTGAGTCCTATAATATATTTCTTTTAATTTTTATAGACGCGAAAAATTAAAGGGAAACAATAAAAATATAACAAAAGAAAAAACAAGATAATGAGGTTTATTTCTTTCAATACTCTTGCTGTTTAGAACAGTAGTTTATGGAATTACCCCGGGTTACCCTACTTTTTGTTGTTTATTTAGTCATTTCAGTTGTTATTGTTGTTGTTTTGATAATTTTTGTGAGCTCTCAAAAAATATGTTTGCCATTCTCACTAGTCTCTCTGCTTAATTCTTGTATTGTTATCAATACAATTTTTCTTTAAACTACTACTTCTTTAAAAAGATGATATATATAATGTACATTTTATGTCAGAAACCATTTTGCTATCCAGCTTTCATTTACTTTACTTTATTTGGCAGCTAAGTAAGAATTGTTTGTGTTAGATCATGCATAGACATAAAGATAGAATCTTTAATTAAAAATCTTTTCTCCATGAGTGTGAGCACTATGACAGAAACCACTCAGCCCCCCACCCCCCTTCATTTAATCCTTCAGTAAAATGAATACAACTAGACATTTTTATTATTTTTCTCCACAAAGGTCTTGAAGGTCCAAGCAAACCACCCCCACCCCATCCAATGTATGAAGATCAGATCAAGGCTTTATATGGTAGGTATACATTGTAATATTAATCATAGTACTATTTTATTTCAGTTAAGATTTGTTTTTAATAGTGTTATTCATGATGTTTAGAATATATTTCCTGATATTATTTTCATCACTAAAGCATTTTTTGCTTTTCTAAATAAAAATGTGCAAGAATATTTAGCTTCAATTAAAACAAAAGAAAAAATAATTTTAAAAAGCTACTGTGGTACTTTTTATTATTATTATTCAATGGGTTTTTTAATGGCATATGTCTAAAGATAATTTTTAAAAAAAAATTTCATTGGTTTAATAAAACTTTGAATGTTTCAGAGCCAGAATGTGAAGTCCATTTCATTGAAAGAGATGATCGTCAAATACAAGGGAGGGATGTTAATACTGCAATTTATAATATTATCAAGTTGCCTTAAATGCTAGTAGATTTATTATCTTTAAAAATGCATTGTCTTTCTATTTTCATGTTTGTTTAACTATAACAGCACTGCATCAGATTACTGACACTTTGATGAATGTATTTTAACCGGGTATTATAATATTTAGATCTATTTTTATACTGTTTTCAGGTGAAGTATCCATTTTGATACTGAGTGTAAAGGAAGTAAATAATAACCTTGTTAAATAATAACCTAACAAACATTTTAAAAAGTGCTCAGATATATATCATGTTTATTTGTTACAAATTTTTTGAAACAAAGTTTCTGTCAGATTTATTTTATTTCCATTAACTTAAATACTTGAACTCGATGTTGTACTTCTACTGATACAAAAGCTATTATGTTTTAATGATCACTTTAAAACTTATTCTAGATTAGTTCTTGGATGACTTACTGAATTTTTAAATGTAGCCTTGTCTTAAGAAATGTTAATGTATTAAAATGTGTTTTCATATATTTCTTTGTGCTTATTTATTTCTTGTGTGTGATTTAAAAATAGAATGCTTGAAAATGTTGTTTATTTTATAATGCTCTTCTGAGTTTGGATTATTTTAATTTTATTTTAAGTAATAAAAATTTATTTCTGGTTAGAAAAAGCTTTCTTATCTCTATTAAAAGGTTTTCTTTTTGTCTAACTTACTAACTTGATTTACTAAACTTGTCAATTTTTCAAATAATAATAAGAACAGACTTAATCTTAGTTAGCCATCAGTTAAGTCACCACCTGTCAACAGTAGAGCTAACAGAAATGATCTTGTGAACAATTTTTAAGGGCATATGCTAAAGATTTCTTTATTGTTAGCTGATCACTAATTTTTGCCATACATTCTTGAAGTAAAAAAAGCAAGCCTTGTGTCCTAACTGAAATCTACTTGTAAAATAATTAATGAATTGTAAACTCTTACACTTTAACCAAGCTTGGCAACTAGTATAAGTTTGAGACATTTTTTCAAAGAACAGCATATCTTTTTTCCCTTGGATAGAATTCAGTGTAATTATACTAAGAGTTTGTACAATTTAGTTACAATTAATGAAACAGTTAAAATTAGTTAGTGTTACTCGTACAGGTGCAACTTCTGATCACATAGATGTATGTGTGTATATACATATTATGTATATAATCCAGAAAGAAAAGCAGGCTGAAATCGTAGTCAACTGCCTATATGGCGCATAACAGGTTGACATAGAATACTTAATTGTGTTGGAGGAAATGCCATCCAACACTACAGTTAAGAAGGAGAAAAATAATACATTTAGCCTGATATATCTCACAACATGGGTGTCTATTGGTTATTTTTTTTTCTAAATTAACAAATGCCTATCAAAGCAAGTAAATTTCCTTTTAGAAAAATATATAATCCATGTACTGTTTTTTGTACCAAACACAGCCCTGTGTTGTTATCTCTAGACAGACTTGACAGTTTGTAAACACTTGTCCATTAAATGATTAGTGAAGGCCCAGTGTTTAATGGGATACATTTTATTATTAAGTTTTAAAATTCTTTCTCTTCATCAGACTGAAAAAAAATCTCTTATCAATTAGCTATAACCTACATTTTACATGATAAGCTACCATGACATTGTTAAGCTGATAACAGTAATTAACCTTAAATTTAATGGCACGAGTTGGTAAGTAGCCTCTATAAATATAGCCTTTTTGTTGGCCTACTTTGAAAAATGTCCAGGTATAATTATAAACACACAATTAATGAAATGCTTATTTGACAATATTTGTTAATTTAAAAAAAAATGTTCTAAAATTTACTATGCTCTCCAGCTAAGTAGGGCCTACTTATCACTATTTGAATTTATCACTGATAAAAGAAAAATGTGATAGGCTAAGCAAAAAAATATCAATAATGTTAATGCATTTTGTTTTTTAGCAGATTTATTAGATACAGGTGTTTTAAACATCTTTAACTATCTTACTTTTTTTACCTGAAGAAAAATGTCTACTGTGGATGCTGATACTAAAGACAGGATGAAGGTGTGGAGTGACAGGTGGCGTGATGGAGATATTGGATTCCATGACGGAGTTGTCAACAGGTTTGTTATTTTAAAATTATTACATTACAAGATTTGAAATTTATAGCATAAACATTGAACGTTATGGTAGTCTTATATGTGTTTGTATGAGTGCCCTATCTGATATATTTAATGTAAGTAATATAAAATGTAAAATATAATGCCACAAATTAGTTATTGACCTATGCAATATAAATTATATTAAAATATTTTGTTTTCAATTATTACCCACCTGAGTTTTTAATTTAAAAAAAAAAATATCACAATATTTATGTATCTGTTTCCTAGAATGTTGGTTAAACACCTCACTAAACTAATCCCTGAGGGGAAAGCTAACAAAGTCTTCTTTCCACTGTGTGGTAAAACTGTTGATATGAGCTGGTATGTAAATATGCAAGTGTTAAGTTTTTAAACTTCTAGAAATTTAAAATAGAAAGAAGTATTTTATAACATTTTATGCTAAAATATTCACTTCTCAAATAGCTGAGCTAAAAATGTTTTTACAATACTTTTTTTTGTTTAGTTTAGAAAATGATAAACCACAATTAGATTTTTAAATACTTCATATTACTTTTTTTTTTTTATAAATCTCCATAAACCACTGGCTGTGCCTCAGTAAACTACATAAAAAATTAGTTTAAAAAAAATCATCCTAAAAAAATTCAAACATTTTTGTGTGTGAAAAGGCTGGCCAGTCAGGGTTACAATGTAGTTGGAGTGGACGGGGTGAAGAAGGCACTGGAGGACTTTTTTACTGAACAAAACATTGAATATTCTGTTGAAGATGTGCTCAACAATGGAAAAAGTTTCCAGCTGTTGAAGGTATTTTTTAAAACTTCAAACTCTTTTATCCACTATACAGGCCATATATCACATACATTGATCTAAATTTTAACTTTAAAACTTTAAGGAATCTAGGATTAAACATTTCAAGTTGAATAGGCATCATATGATAATTTTGCCTCTAAATTTAACCAGCTTAAGCTTATGAATTTACACAATTTGTAAATTTATATTTTGAATGATTCAATTTCAAATGTAAAACATTGCTTCGAAGATAAATTCTATCTCAAAGTGGTGTTATCTCAGTACTGGCCTTGTTTTTGACCATTCTTGTTTGTCTATGTAGTATGTAGGTTTACAAAGCCGACAAAGGGTAGATAACAATAATTACACACTTTTAAAATAGCTGAGAAACAAGTACTTAAATCAAACAATAAAAAGTAATTTAATTTTTAATGTAAAATGTAAGAATGGAGGAAAAATTATAAGTTGTATTTGGCTAAATGTTTGAGATTAACTGTTTAAATATAAAAATTTATCCTAACACAAACATCGCGAGTGAACAACCACAGTTATGCTTAGTTTTTAAATAATTATTAGAAATGACTATTTATTACCTCTATTAATTTAATTCTGTTTATAAGACTAGATCTAGTCCTAAAATTTTTTTGAATAGATAATTGTCTGCTAATTTAATTGCAATAAATAAGTGTTTTGTTTTTATGCATGAAATTAATTTAACTACTATCTTAACCAGAGTAAAGATGGACAGATAAGGCTGTATTGTACTGACATCTTTAACTTTACACAGTGAGTAAATATGTTTCCAAGCTTCACTTTCCAATACTTCACTTTTAAAAAAACTGGAGAAATATCAATGAGAATGACATGTGTGATTGATAGCTTAGCCTAGAAAAGTATTTCACTGCCATATCATCGTCAGGGACTATTTCATTCATTTTTCTCAGAAGGGGGACGGGTGGGGGCAATATAAGAATGATTAAAGTAAATATTTTCTATTTAAATTATATATAGGGCCCATGGGGGGTGGGGGGGGGGCGGCACTCCTGGAGGCAGTGCTCCAACCCCATAGACATGCCTGAAAGAAACCAATTGTTATTACGAAGCAATTATAAAAAAAAAATACTTAAGTAAAAACTGAAAGAGGAACTTGTGTTATTACATTGCACATATTAAAGACATTCGGAATAGTTAGATAAAGCTATACTTGGATTTTTTTCAGTGATGTTGAAGGGACATTCGGAATAGTTAAATCAAGCTATACTTGGATTTTTTTTCAGTGATGTTGAAGGGACATTCGGAATAGTTAGATAAAGCTATACTTTTTTCAGTGACGTTGAAGGGACATTTGATGCAGTATGGGACAAGGGATCCTTGGTTGCACTAAACAGGGAAGATGTTTCTGGGTAAGTTAGACTGTTACATAGCTTGGTGAATATGAAGATCAGGCCTCAAAATTAAAAATGTAAACTTTATTCATTAAAAAATGTGTAGCTTATGTTATAAAGAACATCATTTAGAATTATACACAATTTAAGCTTTTAAGTTCTAATACTAAAAACATTTTGTAATTTCCCAGGTATGTTGAAAATATGAAGAAACTCTTAAGTCCCAATGGCAGGATTCTATTGATGATTAAGGAATATGATGCTGCATTAATGAAAGGTTAATTTATTTTGATACTGTAATATATGTGAATATATGTGAGTATATGTATATACACACACTTTTGTTCTGGATATTATGAGAATCTAAAAGGCTTTTTAAAAATGTCTTTTTGATTATCTTAATATTTCAATTTGCATTGCAAGTTAACTGAGGAATTAATTTACCAATGGAAATAACATATTCGTGATTACCTTTACACCTCTTTGTGCTACAGTTTGTACTTTTATAATCACTATCATTAATAAATGTAACTAATTTTTATCATTAATAAATGTAACTAATTTAAAAAAAAAATTCTCAGATGTTGAATGGCTGAACAAACCACCACCTCCTTACCCAATGTCTGAAGATGAAATCAAGACACTCTATGGTAATTACATAATTTTAAAATTGATTAAACACTAACATTCTGAAATCATATTAATTTCTAGTACGCAATAATTATCTGCAAAACATAAAGTAAAAGTAAAGTTTCCCTTTCAAACCTGATGGTCTATGGGGCAAGTGAAGTAGAGTTCACTTGTTTCTGTGACCTTGGCATTTGAAGAGATAGTGTGGTCAGCACTGTGCCTCTAGGTATCTTAATTAATTACGGGAAAGCACAGACTACTTTCCTTTCTACAGAATTCCAGTGTGTGTAATATGGCCCTACTAGTACATAATTTTTTCCTTGAACTGTGAGTGCTTAACATAATCTACAAAATGTTTTTCTATTAAGTATTATTCTGTATGTGGTTCAAATTTTCAAAGCCCTGTTATGTTGTCAATCTTCTAGGGCCTGAGTGTGAAGTTCATCTTATACAAAGAGACACATGTAAGGTAATGGGCAAGGAGTTTAAAGGTGCTCAAGCTGCAGTGTATAACATCATCAAAAAATAGAAATACATCCAGTAGGATATTTATGTCTATTTGTATAAATCAATACATTTACTCTTGAAAGCTTAGTTATAAAAAGATTTGCTCAGATTAAACAAATTTTACTTGTAAGAATTAAAAAAAATTTTTTGTTTAATTGTTAAATCAATGTAGGGAAATATTTTAACACAGAAAATTGAAAATTAAGTAATATCCTTTACTGTTTGGTTAATATTTAATTTTTTGTGTGATTCTACCAGGTCTTCCACATTTTTATTGTTCTGTTTTGTATTTCTATTGCATAGACAGTGTTGTTATTGATTAAATAAAATACATAAAGTATGTAACTAAATGTTGTATGATCCTGAGTGTGTATGATATGTAAAGTTGGCCATAAGATCTTTTTTAACATACTGTTGGCCTGTTGGATTAATTTTATTTCATGTACTTTATATTTTTAAAATGAAAACAATTTAAGGATATTGAACAATCAAGCCAGAATGGTCTGATAATATTATAACATCATTGTAACATTATATGTAAATTAACTAAAAACTATTTTATGACTTTTTGGGGTGTGAAACTTGTGCAATCCTTTCCTGTTGGCATAATTACTAATAATATGTTAATTGCTTGGGTTCAATTAATTTTTAGATTACTACAGATCAGGACATTCTATTAAATTCTGTGCCTATTTCATTATAATCATGTTCATTTGTAGCAGAGTTTTGTTTTACCAACATGCAATGTATGATATGGTCAATATTAAAAAAAAGGAAGTTGAAACCAAATTAAATAGTACTTTGTGCTGGCACTGGTTTTTAACATGATTATCAAAATATCCACAGCTTGATCATAGTGTTACATTCTTTGGATCTAGTCTGTAAATAATCTTGTTAAGTTATTGTTGTCTGAGGCTTTTGACTGCTTTATGAGAGGACCATAGATAACACACTCAACCCCCAAGCGCTAAGACAAGTATTGGGTTAACTACTTTTTAGTTTTTTGACTTGAAGAGTACATTAATAAATGCTAACACTTATTCTTTTAAAATATTTAAACATTTTAAAACTCTCTTTCTGTTTAAACTATTTAAAGCTATGCGATTAAATTAAGACCTACACTTTTGTTCTACAAAAGATTGAGTCCATTTTGAAGACCAAGTTGACATTATAATACTTGGGAAAGATTCAATGTTTTAATAAAATCATGCCGCCCTAATGTCAGTTGTTTTAAATTTTGTTTAACTATAGCTTTAAGGAATATAGGATTAAACATTTCAAATTTAAGCCACTATTTACATATCTTTTTTAGACTTAAGATTAAAAAAAAAATACTAGGGATTCAAACTAAATCCATTTTGATACTATAATATAAATGAAATAAACAATAGATTATAAAACCCTGAACAAAGATTAAGTTTTTAAAATTGTTTTTTATATCATATTTATTAGATTGTTATATTTTGTACATAATTTTAGATTTGATTGTATTTCCCTTTATTATAAATAATTCGTTTGATGTTGTGCAATAATAGGATAAACAATTCTATCAACTTTTTATTTAATTTAGTGTTTATGTTATACGATGTTTACAAGTTAATATAAAAAAATGTAGATTATTATAATAAATCAAAGTGTATGATTTAAAAAAAAGCTCATTTGTATTTTCTTTTTTGCACGTTTATTTTCAATGCTTAGTTTAAATCTTAAGGTTTAAAAACATTGATTTGATTATAAAATAATTCAATAATAAGATCTCATTAAAAAAAATTAAATGCTTACGAGAGCATTTTTCAATGTAATAGCAATCTTTTAAAATTAAACAACTAGTTGAACAGTGTGGAGAAAATTCTATCAAGCACCTCAGAAAACAGTCAGTATTTAAAAAATTACAATAGTTGTTAAATTTTTATTATCTTTTGAAATAATGAAGCATTTCATACATGATAGATTTTAAGAAATGGTTTTGGACAATTGTCTTGTTTTTAATATTTTAAAATGCCTTGATATCTTGAATGAATACCACTTATATTTTCTAAGTAATGTTTTTAAAATGTCATGATGAAGAAAAATACTTCAGCAACTATAATGCTTAAAATTTTCAGTATTTATTTTTATAAAATAAATATGGTGATACTAAACAAAATCATCTAGCAATACCAGAAAATTACAGTTACAACATTGATAATATTTTTAAATTTTAAAAACCTCCCACTGTACTTAAATTCAGGGTTTCATTTTAGTAAAGTTTTAGATCCATAGAATAGAAAATAAATTTTTTAAACTATAAGCATATATTAATGTTTGTAATATATTATTTTGAATAATACCTAATTTTAAGTTTAAAAAATTCAAAATTTCTGACCACCCTGCCTACTTTAAATTGGGGACTTGCTTGTATTTTGAAGACTTGACAAGAAAATAAAATTCTCACCCTACAAAAATTCTAAGGTTACGTCAAATTTTTTTTTATAAGAACGTTATAAAAGCCAGCATATAATCCATCTATTAAAAAAATTGGAATGCTGCTTAGTGCTCTCTGACATACAGTGCAGTATCACAGCCAATGATAAGCAAAACATAACATTCACAGCCACACACACACACTATTGTATTTTAATACTGTTTAATAATGTTAATTATATTTTAATTGTTCACAGGCCACAAGGTTGTGTCATACATTCAAAACTTAGATAAATATATTAAAAAGTGTCTAAAATAACTGTGCACAATATATCAAATGTAAACCCAAATTTGTATCAAAATTAAAATCTACTTGTAAAAAGAAAATGTAAAAAGCCATATAAAAAAAAAATACTTCCTCCTTTTAGTTTATGTAATCACTACAAGCTCATTTGATTTTATGCAGACACCAATACTCAAATTTTTTAAATACATTGACCTCTAATTGAAGTGATGCAAGCTTAGATGATAATTAAACAAAAACAACCTTAAATTATGTGAAAGGAAAGGGTCAAAGGTGCTTTCCTGTAGATAAAATACTAAACCAAAACAGCATCACTATTGGTCCCAATTTTTGATGTTTTGAAAACTGAGGTGAGGTTAAGCTAAGATAGCAGATTTCATCCTTTCAATTCCAGTCAGGTTCAAGTTGTGCTCAACCTGGTTAGTAGGGGATGGGTTCAACTTCTGGCGCACCCCTAGGCACTGGTTATCCAAACGAAGAGACTGGGTCTTGAGAGCAATGTCATCATTAAGGCGGTGAAGATTCTTCTGTAGACCATCCAAGGCATGTCTAGGATTGAAAATAAAAAGATAATTAAAAATTTATAAAACAGATTCTAATCTAATTTTCATGGTCAAAATGTAAATGTTTAACATATTATCACTGTATTCAAAAAAAAAAAAAAGATTCTAACAGCAAACTGAACCAAGAGGAAAAAAAACAGCTTTAAAAACTTACTGGGCTTGTTTGAGCTTCTCTTCAAGTGCATTCTTGGATGCATACAGCTGTTTAACCTCATCAACAAGGCCATACTGGGCAGCATCTCTACACAGCTCAACATTTGGCCGATAAGTTCTGTTCTCCAGTCTAGTTTCAGCCTTTTTGGTTGGTCGGATTTTGTTGCGGATTGCTTCCTCGATGCCCCGAATGTCATTTTCCAACTCAGCAATTTCATCTTCAGTCTGTATAACAAGAAGCGTTTTAAAGAATTAGACATAAATGTAAACAGTAAACAGACATGTGCAGATTTAGTTTTTTTAAGCAAAAATATTGAAAATATTACAATTACAAAAATAGATAGTTTTTCTTTTTTAAGAACAAGTTGGAAACTTTTCCAAAACTGATGTTAAAAGCTTATATACATTTCTGGTACTGCATGATCTGCTAAGTGGTTTACCGGATATGTAATAAGGCAAGACCTAGTTCACAGCTTAGAATGCCTACATACATTAAGGTAGGAGTTCTTGTTCCAGTCTTTACTCATAAAACTACATTTGTTATGGCAAGCGGATATAGTAACAATAAAATGTATCAATTATTTTAATATTTTAAAAGTTATTCATTAAATTAAGGGCCACTTATAGATTTAAGGATTAAATAAACTCTTACATTCTTTTTCTGCCATTCTAGCTCATCCTTGGCCCTCTCAAATTCATGGATCCTCTTCCTGAAGGCAAACTCAGTGGCTTGTTTCTGTGCTTCTAGATCATTGGCTGTCTGTTGCAGTGTGTGGTGGATTTGTTCCCGGAGTCTGTTGGACGACTTCATCTCAGCATCAGCTCTCTCCTTATTGTAGCGACTGAAGTCTTCCCATTGCTGAGGGGTGGTACTCCTGTAAGGGAAACAGTTATAAAATACATAGTGTCATATCCTTCATCCATGGAGTATTGGAGCATTGTTCGACATTGTTCAAATAATATTTTAACTCAGATGTTAAACATGGGTGAACAGATTAGCCTAAAACAAACACAAGTATGAATTGCCAATTTAAATGGTATTAGGCACTAGATTCAGACATAGTTTCATAGCGACATAATGTCAGGGGACAATTAGAAATTTTATTTCATCTATCCAGGCATATTAAAACGGAAGGCTGAAAATGAATAGGGTAATCCATCAATAAATTAATTAAATAGCATATAAATAACTAAAAAAAACTACACAGGTAATTCCATCAAATTAAGATACAACTAATATGTAAAAATAAAAGAAGTGTAAGACATACTAACCCTTTAGGTACACGCAGTGGATCAGGCTTGTAGCTGATGTTTGGGGATCTATCAGACAAGTTGTACTGGTCAATGTCAATGCCTAAAGCAATATTTTTGTCCTGTAGGTCTGCTTGTACTTGTTGTCTAGCTTCTTGTAGAAGACACAGCTGCTCAAATGAATCTGCTATCCTCTGCTGCAGCACTTTTTTAATCCCGTCAATAACCTCGGCTTCCTTTTGTAAGAAAAAAATAAGGGAATATTTGTGATGTACATTAAGTCACATGAAATAAAAAAGAATCTGGTGTAATTTGTTTATTATTGTAAAAAGAGCGAAAAAAATCTACCTGAGGAAAAAGTATAAAATTAATTTGCTATAAAGCTTATGTAAATATGGATAAAATTATTTAGACTAGAGATTTTTTTAATTTAAATAAATAAAATACAAAAATCTTCATGAAAAAGTAGCCAAAAAATTATTTTGAAGAAAAAGTACATTATCTTTATAGAAAATAGGCACTAAAATTATTTTGAAGAAAAAAGTACAAATATATAGTTATTGCTTACTTTGTGAAGCTGATTTTCTGGTTCATCCTGCACAACATCTATATTCCTTCTTCCCTCACGCAAGGTTAAGCATTCAATGTTGACATCAGTTGGGAGATTTTTTGCTTCTAGTGCTTGTTCTGTTAATTCTTTTGCTTCAGATAGATCAGCAATTTCCTGGTCTAACTGTCCCAAAGTCCTTTCTAGAATTTCCTTCCACTTCCTTATATGGTCAACACGGTCAGCCAGTCTGACATCATTTGAATACTGATCCCACTTTGTCTGACTATCTGTCTCATTGCGTAAAAATCTGGATTCTTGACGGACCTAAGGAAACAAATAGTTAAATATTAAATTTGCTTTAAAATATGCTATGAAACAGATGTAGAGAAAATTCTAGCCTTGGGATTACAATACTTTAAAAAAAATGTATAACTAAGCAGCACATGACAACTCACCTGATGAGATGCAGACCTCTGACGCTCAGCATTGGTTGACTGAGTGTAAAGCTCAGTGAACCAGTCTGGTGGTTGATGTCTTACAACTTGTCTGACCTCTGTTGCCATGATTCTAATAAACAGAACATTATAGTTTTAATAGCCAATAAATGTAAGACATTTATAGAGGACAACCCCATTGCTTTGGGAATGAAAAGCATGAAAATCAGTCACTGACTGGGGTTCAGAAGATTTTTTATTTTAGAGAAAGTTATAAAATATAAAAATCTCTATGAACATTCTTAAGCAAACTTCTAAGTTTTCCACCATAAGATTCCAAAATGGCCAGTTTATGGAATAAGTATGTACTTACTAAAGAAAATAGCCTTGGCCTTAATTAATATAATCCTAACTGTGGTGATGTAATTGTTGTATGGGTGGAAATAAGTAAATTGTACATAATGAATATAAAGTTTGATGGACATTTGTGTATGTTTGATATGTGAATGTGTTCAGACAGGTGAATGACAGCTGAGATAGCATTCATGAGAGGATGAAAGGGTTTAAAAGGGAAGAGAAGGAAGTCTCGCACTGAATGAAGTTGTACAAAACTGTAAGAATGTATTATACATTTCAAAACCTAATCATTAGTTGTTGTTATCAAAGATCTCACCACCAACATCATAGCTGGAGAATTAAACTGACCCTAGCCCTAGGGCTTGGCTTAACCTAAATCTTGACTCTTGGCAGTCAGTGAAACTAGCAAAGAACTACTTGTTATTAATGATTTATAATTAAAAAAAAACTTGTTTCCCATATTCATCACTCATCATCTTTTCCTGTTAGTCCCAAAACAGTAGTAGAGTTAAGCTGTTTCAGTGACCGTTTATTATGAATTGGCTGTGTTAGCTTTTCCTAACTTGAGTCAGGTACCCATGCAAGTTGAGTGGACTGAAGGACGTCCTACAGACTCTTTTCTATGCCTGTATCCTAACTCAAGATTTAGCAGTAGGTGTGTGACTTGTCTAAAAAAACCTTTTTTTTTTAATTAAGAGATACTAGATAGTGATAGGCCTATTAATAACCTATTATTACTATAACTAATAAAGTGCCAGATCTACTAAGCTGATCTAGTAGTAGTCTACTTAATTACTAGACTAGAAGAATGCTAGATCTAAGAAATACATCATAGTTAGTAGTCTCTGATTTGACTCTTCTTATGGGGTGGGTGGCCCACAGAGATATGGTTTTTGAAGGTACTTTCTTTAGTAACAGTTAGTAAGTTGAATTTAAGGAGTTTAGGCCTACAAAAACAAAACAAACACTGAATACAAGTTTATCAATATTATTTTTAATCTATACTAAAAGTCAACATACACTTACAGTAGTTTTATAGCAGCAGCAAGAAGCAGATTTATACACCACCGATATGTATGGTCTTTCGTTGCTATCTAAACAGTGCAGAGCAACGTAAGATCTCAAAGCTATTTTTATTGGCCAGAGTTAAGTCGATTATCCAATCAAAATGTGTTTTGTTTTCTTCACTTATATAAGTCGTCATGGAGCTCCTAGAGTATTTCCGGCCTAACTGTATTTATCAGAAGACAGTCAATAGGCTATTTAATTTTATTTTTGTAAAAACAACAAAACAAATATTTTGATAAAACAACTTGAGAAATATAGATTTAGATCTAATAATAAATTAAAAAAAAAACCCCTGATCCGCGTTCACACTCACATAAAAAAAAAATCAACAACAACGCAAAGCTATAGGATTAAAATACTGGGTGTCATTCACAATCGGCGATAATCCGATTTGGCACAGCTGCTCTTGGTAGTGTAGAGCGCGCAACCGCTAACCAGAAAGGGGTCATCTATTAACGACGTCACGCCTTTAAAAAATAATTTTACCCCACACTATGAATCGTCACAAAAAGCCACCAACCCCGCCCCCAAATTAACTATAACTTTAATCAGCGTTTCTTCCCGACTTTTTTCTCCGGGGGTGGGGCACTTGAAATTTGGGGGGGGGGGGGGGGAGCTGACAGTCAAAAGTATATATTATATAAATTCCATTACGTTCGGTGGGGGGGGGGGGGGGAGACAAAAGAAAGTCATGGTTTTTGCACCCCCCCCCCCCCCCAGGGATTGTGATTTCATTTAATGAGTATATGGTTTGGATCTATAGGGATCGAGTCCATAACACGTCCCTGAGCCCACAGCACTGATGGGTACCGACAATTGTAGTGCTGCCCTTTCTTATGATGAAAGCACAGAAACATGAACTCTACTTAATCTGCCCCACGGTGTTTGAAAGGGTAACTTTACTAATGTAATCTGATTATGAAAGATATTTGCTACACGGTGGGAAAGGTAAAGAAACGTGTAGGCCCTATTCCATTAAAGCAATTATCTTACTGAGAGTGTCGGATGGAAACGCCATTTAAGAAATAAAAGATAGGTATAGGTCTGACTGTTTTGTGGCATGAGTTCTAATGATTACTCCAGTGATAACTATTTCTAGTGCCATTTTCATAGCCATAATGAGTGGTTGTTTTTTCAATCTAGTCTAGGCAATACACTCAAAGGCAAGTTGCTTGCGCACAAATAGCCACTGAATGTTTCAAGTATAATTATGTTACATTAACTTATGTAACATTTTATCCCCCCCCCCCCCTCTAGTCACAAAACTAACCCTTGAACTTAAAATGACATTACCCCTCCGCCTACACCCCCCCACTCAAAATGGTATACAATAGCTTTGGACCCATAATCTTTCCCTTGAGTTGCAATGTCCTTTTCACAAATTATATACTTTCTAACACTTTTAATTAAATAATAACAAAACAAGATCATTTTGAATTTGGTTTATTACTTTTCTTCTTCTTATCTTTATATATTAAAAATATTGGGCAAAAAATTCAGTTCAGGGCAGTTTTAATGTGGTTAAAAGTCAACAAGCATAACACATAAAATGTTCGGAAAACTTTGTGCAATTTGATAACTTAGATACATTTGAATTTATACTTCTTTTTCTTGACTAAAATAAACAATACTAAAAGTAGAGCAATTACATCAATCTTATTATTTCAACAGATTTTTAAAAAACTGAATATGATTGCATTGATATATGCATGTGTAAAACAAAGCACTGTGATGACCATAGATAGAAACTTACATAACAAAACTAGCTGTTAGTTAGATTTTATTGTCTATAGTATTTGAGCCTCTGAGAAGTGTTGCTTTAGTTATTCTTTATCCTTTGAGTCAAAATTTTTATATATTATGCAACAGTTAAATAATTAGTAATGCAGCTGAAATTTTAAAACATTTTTCCATGCAAGACCTTTTTATATGTAGGCTACAGAGATTGAACCTCAAACCTTGTTAAATGAAGGTACAAAAGTTGCAAGCAAAATATATAACATTCCCCATGTGTTAAAAAAATAGACAGGTAAGTCATGGAGTTAACTTCAAGGGAAAAACAAATTTCACCAATATTTCACTCATTTCAAATAATTGTTGTAGAAATAATTTTACATTATTGTGACAATTTTAACACAGATATTTGGTATTCTGACAGACAGAAGTTTTGGTCTATTTACATTTTATGCATGCTGTAAAAAGTGAAGAAAAAACTACTTTGGTAACTAACAATAGTAACGTGAGACAAAAATAGTACCAACTTCTTTTAAAAATATTGGCAACTTCAAAATTACCTTATTTTTTTTCTCTCTCTTTTACCTAAAGAACAAAGTGTTCAAAACACAGGACTAAAACTTAAAGGAAGTATCTTCTAAAATGAGCTGTATAATACTCGGCTAAAACAAATTAAAAATAAGTTTTTTAAGTGGGGGAGTAACAAATTTCATAATTGAATACAAATATTGACAAAATGTCAATTAATAAACAACACTAAATGTCTTTTGTCATTTTCCCCATACACAACTATAAAAAGTTGTAAAATAGAAATGAAACCTTCTCCCAGGATTGTCACCTTCAACAACGTTGTATGTTAAAATGCAAGCTATGAACATGTTTGGCTCAATGTTACAACAGTGAAATAATTAAAAAAAAAATACAAACAGCAACACCAACCAATAAACCTAGAAACATCTTCCCCATAAAATTATTTTACTTAATGTTAACAGATTATAGAAAGTAAACCACAAATGCACTGGGCATAAATATTTCTTAAATTATAAGTCCCCTTCCAAACATTGACCAATGATACTCAAGAGACAGCTAGGCGAGACAGAGATTAAAAGTATGATCTTTATGACTATCATCATGCCAGCCCCTGCTGGCTGAGTACAGCAGTAAATAAAAAGACAGCAGCAGAACATGGACACAGAAATCAACACAGGTGGAAGAAAGCAATCACTGATATTCTGGAGTAGTACAATAATGTTACACTTCTTGAATAAAATGACACTGACACAAAATTAACAGCAACAATGATTTTAAAGTTTAAGCACATCAATTGAATAAAAAAAATATTGCAAGTGCACAAATTAGGAAATGACTAGACTTTGGGATATTTACAAGTACAGTTTAATGGCAGCATTTTAATTATGGTAATTAAGTCATATTCAACAACAAGAACATAAAGCAAATGAAACCATAGGAAGAGATGTCAATAAACCAACGTCATACATTATATTCAGATCATATACTGATATTAAAGTCCAAAAAGAAGTTAAATGATTACAACTTTGCTTAAAATATATACTGTCTGCACTATGACATACATAAATGAGTACTTTAGGTAAATAAAAATCTTATATAATTAAGTACAAAGAATGCTTAAAATTTGTTGAAAGTTTAAAAGTTTTTTGTAAAATGATCCTTCTTTTCTATACTCTGTCCAAAATGTATTCCTATGAAATGTACACTATTATAAAAACAACCTCTACCCCAGCTTAAGGTAATATTTATTATAAATAGAAAAGTAAACATGACTGGAACAAGGAGAGACCATTTGATGAGACAGGCAGAGAAAACTTGATTAGTAGACAGAGACAGGATGGAAAATAAACTGCCCCCATTGGATAGAATTTTAATAAATAAAAGGGAAGGGGGCAAATTCAGATCTATAAAATTTTTAGCAGCAATGAAATGATTGTTTAGAAGTATTAATTAACACCTTACGATTAAACTAAGGCTATACGTCATAAGTTATTTCTTACACTCCCACTGCAGTAGAGAAACCAGGAGAAAGAATTTGTTATTTACCCACATAGATTTATGTTGTGACCTGCTTGTTTAATAAAAACTAAAATTAATAAAATAGATATTGAAAAAACTTTTCAAATTTTACATTTTTAGTGGTCAGGTTACTTTGTCAAGAAAGAAGAAGAAAAAAATAATATTCTGTACCTAATACACAGACCTAGTTGTGATTGTTTAAACACACTTATTAATTCCATCAATAGTTAATATTTAAATGCATTTTTACCATCAAAAGGACTAGAAAATCAATAGTTAAAATAATTTTGCAGTACACGAATATAATTGCAAAATATACAAACAAAAACAGTTTGTACTAACATGAACTACAAAAATGAAACAATTTACATGTTTAAAAAGAGGTGAACACAAAAGGTACAATAATTCAATGAACTTAAAATTACGATTACGTAACAACAAGTGAAACATGCAAGAATGTGTTTGATAAGAACAAAGTAAGCATCTTGATTTAAGAAAAATAAAACAGTGTTTGACATAATATTTGACAAATAATGTTTCTAACATAATGCACCAGCCTCCCTGTATATACTTAATAAAGCAAATTTATGTTTGAAGTAAAATTAATTAAACAACAAGATACAGGATCTTTTGATAAACTCTACAGCCTGCTAGGTAAGGAAAGGTTCAGCATATCCATCAAACCTACTTGTAGTGTACCTTAAAAATAACCCTTTTAACAGCTTTTTGTAAATATATATAAATATAAAATATAACATTTATAAAATTAATTTACTGAACCCCACTTTAAATAGCAAGTTGAAATTTTTGTAATTTTGTCCCTAACTATAGATAATAAAATTAGCTCAAATTAAACTAAGAAAAATAATTTTCAAAAAATTAATCTTCTATCACAATTATTTTGAAATTGAAATAGAAAAACCAAGATTAAAAGAATAAGTAATGCGATCTTAATACAAAAATAATCTAAGCACTTATAAAAAAATGAGGAAACACCTAAAATAAATGTAAAATGCATTATTGCCAAAGGTTGAATATCTAAAAATTACAAAATTCTTCCAATACTAGTATAGTTTAAGTGTTGAATTATTAATATAATACTAAAAGACTTTTTATATAGCATTGATTATAAAAACAGCACAATCTACCTGCATTTAACCTACATAAACTTAGATAGTGATCAGCAAATATATAAAGCTAAACCACAACCAAAGTAAACAATTTTTAAACACAACCTAGACTCATAGAACTAATATTTCTTCATCAACTCCAACTTCAAAAAATTTAATGTACAGCCTACTTCTCACATGCCTATCACAATAATTACAAAAAAGGGTAAACAATTTACATAAAGAAATTATTCTTATTATAACACTATAAATTTAATTACATTAATAGCAGTCCGTGTACAAGAGGGATCACACTATGATAAGGCCACTTTCAGTCCAACATTAATTGTACAACCTTAATTAACCATCTGGCTAAGTAAAAAAAAAAATTTCCTATAAAAGTAGCATATACAACAAAAAATAATAATCAAGTATTAACACAGTGGAGTATTTTAAAATGAGTTGACCGCATGAATTAATTCACACACTCTAGATTCAGGATATGCTGCCAAATAATGTACAGGAACGACGGCTGATCAACTCCATGTTGAAATACTTGTATCTTTGCACTCAACAGATGCTTTCAAAGTCTTATTCAGTAACTCTTCATGGGCTTCAAGCTTGACACCATGCACAATAAAAACATAAAGATAATTACAGACACTCAACCCCATTGAACTGATCAAAAACCTACTACTGCTTATAGGTTTTATCCCAAGCTTAGAAATAACAACCCCCACATATGCATCTTCATTTGGAAAGGGGGCGATATAGGCACTACGAGACACCAGTCGATCAACAACATCTTTTGATAAAATATAGCCCATACCGCTGGCGTAGGGTGGGTAATATTGTTTTGAATATTCATCAATTTTCACTGACCATCTATTTTTTTCACCTCGAACAACCTCAAGCCTATTTTGATCCACAACAACATTGCCGACATACAATCCATTGATTTGTAAATTATAATTTTGAAGAAACTTGTACACTAAATGCGTATTAACAAAACAGTCATCATCAGTCTTAATAACATAAGAAGCTGGGCAATGACTAGAACTCCAGTGAAAGCCATGGAGAACTTTATGAGTCAAGTTGCGATAAGTGTCCTCATATGTGCCTAGGAGCATATCCTTATACAGGAACATTTCTTGAATAAGCTCAGGCAAATCTTCACTTTTGCTTGGAACACCCACTAAAAATATACACTGCCATGTTTGGCCTGAGAGTAAAGGAAACCTATCAGGTGAACACCAACTGTCTCTGATTGCCTGTCTTTGAGCTCTGTGTTTGTGTGCCGATGTAATGAGAATTTGGAAAAAAGCTTTGGGAACGCACAGTGGTAATGACACCTTATCATGGTAATACAGACTAGAATTCCAAACAACATCAGAGATATTCTCTTGTGTTGAGGTCATTGCATTTTTATCTGATTTTTTAGACCCAGCTCTACCACCTATGACATGATACTTTCCAAGGAGTCTAATTTTTTTATATGGCACAGGAAGTTCTAGCATTGAAGAATGAAATCTATTGTCTACATAAGCCAGAAGTAAAGTGTAAACAACACAAAATGCTATGACCAAGACAATACAAGCGCAGAAGCTTATTTTGATAACAGCCTTGGCTGACTGTTTCCGTCTGCTCATTACATTGACACTTAAGAAAATTCTTGACGGTGGTGATCTAGGTCTAAGCCCAAGATACCTAAAAAGATCTTTAAATCTCATTTTGCTGCTGGACATTAATGTTTATTTCTAAGCAGGTAGTGCTGCATTTGTATACAATTCTGAAACGAATAAAAAAAAAACACCATTAGATTACTTTTTACTCAGATGAAACATCAATTAAATATTTTGTTTAGGTATCATTTAATGTTGATAAGCTTCACCATACAATTATTGGTATCACTTAAATATTCAACATCATCTAAAACTTTATCGCAAGGAAAACATTGGCAAATACTTTGTTCTTCCTATTAAAAAAATATAAAACTAAAATTTAAAAAATTCAGTTAAAATTTTTTCCCATGAAAGTTATCTTGCCAAAGTCACAGCTGGTGTTGTCAGAAACCACAAGGTGATTTAATTTGGAATGAATAACTACTGCTGTAAGTCAGGTGTATTTTGGTTTTCAAGTCACTACCAGTGTAAAATAAAACAAAACTCATCTTTTTATATGGCAGGAAACAGATTGGTACCGCAAAATGCATATTCGGTCTTCGCCGTTCATAAACTTTCTAACCAGACATCGTTCGGGGATTTTGTTTATACTGATAAATAGAGCAAGGTTTTTACAAGCTTCGTTAGCAACATTTTTGTGGAATTCGTTTTTTATGACATTTTGTGCCGCGGCGAAGAATGCGAAGTATGCAAATCTAGACGGAATGGATCTACTTGGAAAGTACGTGTACTGCACTAATAAGGTAAGAAATAATATTTTGTAAAAATAACTATTATTTTTTTATGGATTTTTCATTAGAAATGATTGCTGTAAATTATGAAAGTAAAAAAAAGTATATTTGAATGCGTTTTTTACTTTAAATTGAACAAAATGACTGCCGAAAATTACGACACATCGGCGTCGCTGAAAGCGGGAATTTCAGTTAATTTTTTACGGATATAAAATTGTATTTTTTTACTCCGAAGCATGTATTTAAATAACAGTTAAGTTAAATCTATTTAATTCTTTAAAATATAATTATTATTTTGCCGTAGATACTTTTTTTTTATTTTTAATGATTTTCTGTCGCGGAAAATCGGTATTCGCACCATGCACGCACACGTAGTAAAACTAGACTTATCTTTAAAACACGAGAATCTTGAGTACACTGCGAATAACAAAGTTTTTAAATGTTAGTTTACTTTTGACTTTAAGCCATTTGTTTTAAATCGAAATTAATTGATAATGTAATTATTTCAAAGTAAAAACTTTCCGTCTGAAATTGGCTTCTAACCTTCGCCACTGAACCAGCCTACGCACGACATTCGCGCGAGTCTGTTTCTTCGCAATAGTCTGTATAGTGTCGAGGGCTAATCCTAAAAAGAACCGAGTCCTCACTAATGTAATGTTTATTAAAATTAGGTACAATTGTTGGAACACATGAGAAATAACAAATTTAAATTTCTTCAAATCTATAGCCAAAAGAAAGTAGAACTTTATAACTCTGTAAATTATGAATCGAGTGACGGCTGTCGTGAAAACGGGAGCCATTGTACTCTTTTTTTTAGGGTGACCTACTTTTATTATATAAATTTAAAATTCGAAGATTTGATAAGCAGCTGAGTAGCTGAATACGCATGCGATATGGCTGGCACGTTTTGGGATAGGGATCGAGTACACCGTAGAAATTTTTTTTTTCTTAGAACTACGCGTATTTTTTTTTTTTAAATCAAAAGATACTTACATATTAGCTGTGGATTTCAATTTCATTACAGAACTAATCACTAACTTTAGTTTTTAAAAGTGATTTTGCTTCTAGATCTAGCGTATTTTCAAAATTACGTAGATTCTAGATCTAGATCGATTTTACTAACTATTTGACAAACGTGTCAGTAAAATGAGGTCACCGCTTCCAGATTCTTAGGTTTTAATTATGTTTGTCATTTTGATCTATTATAAGTAGCATTAAAACTACTGCATCTATCATCAACATTGTTTTTATAGGCCAGTTCTAATGATACATTCTGTTCATTACCAATTCTAATGAAATCGTATCAGGCCCTAACTAACACCCTGTTCACTGACACCACACTATTTGAATGAGGCCACAGACAGTCGTAACCTTAAATTAATTTATAAAGTACTAAACAATTATAATTAGCCATGTAAATGCTGCAACTATAATAAAAATTGGCATATAGACATATTTTACTAATAATATTTTTTATATAGACCTTCTATATTTAACTCTGTTATTTTTTTCTTCCCCAGAGTGTTTTTAAAAGCCAGAATTTTGAACATTTTTTAAAGGGGAAAGCGGTCGTTTTTTTTTCAAGAATAATTATAGAAATAAGCTATAAACTGGTATATTTTGTAAAGTTTGACATAATTACAAATAAATTTATGCCTAAGTGACATTTCTGTGTAATTATATTGTTAATTTTGTGAATTTCGTGGATTTTAGACCTTACTACATTTCGATGTAAAAAAAAAAATGTCATTTGAGTGAGTGTGGTTAATCTAAATTTTGAACGTGATGTAAATGTCTAGTGCTATTAATTTTTATATTTTTGAATTCCTCGATTGTTAAGCAACAAAATTGATATATAATATGTCAATATTTGTTACTTTGAAAATTGGCGAAAATCGACCCTAAAAGTAGATGTTTGAGAGTTGAATCTGTTTCCTGCCATAAACAAATTGGTTCCATGACAAATGATCTCAGACATCAAAATTTGATTAAAAATGACTAAATTCAATAAAAGGGGAAACAATATTGGGCCTAAATAAGAAAATCAACAAACTTGCTATCTTTAATAAAAGCATTGTTTGCTCATGAGACCTTGTAAATATTTTAGCATTGTCGATGAGCGTTTTTCAAATTATTTGATTTCTGTCAAAATAAAAGTGACATCACCAACTATCTCAAATAGAAATTTTTCATGCTATGATCGATGTATGCTACAGGTCTGCTTATATCTTAACTAATGCAAACTGACAGTGATCCCTCAACTATCTGAATTTTAGTGGACAAGATATTGTGAGTGGTTGATTATGCAAGTAGCAATGTTTGGAAATTGTAGAAAAACTTTTTTAAAAACTTTCATTTAGTTCAAGGAAAGATTCCTAAAAACAACAACACACTATATTTAGTCACTAGACTAGCAACATTTGCAACATATTATTTAGTTATGCTTTTGTTATGAGTTTACAGACTGAGAAGTGAACAATAATATTCCAAATATAAACTACTTTATTTCTAGAATTAATTTGTGTTCAAAAGTATAGATCTTGGCCTATAAGTATCTAGACGTCTAGATCTAGATAGATAGAAGTAAGAACGCTGATAAGTGATAAGTGCCAAGTAACTGAGAGTCAGTAGAGATCCTTCATAATTTCATATGAGCTGGAAGAGTGGCACCCCTACATATAGTACATAAGTCGGAGTAGATCTAGGACTAACACTTGTAATTTAATTGGCCTAATATTTTTACTTACAAGAACTGTGACCATTGTGTCTGTTTTTGTTTTGTTTACACTAAACAATACTGTGACAGCCTTGAGTGAGACTTGTGATAATGATTACAAAACAACACAGCACCTCAGTCTCAGGATTTTCTACATTTGAAGCAGCACATCTTACGTACGTAATGCCTTTTTTACTGTAAAATTATTCAAGCAAGGATATGGGACTTGTCTGTTAATAATGATATAGATCTAGAGTCTAGATCTAGTCTAGATATTCCATATAGAATATTATAGGCCTACATCTAATTTATTCCAAGAGTGAAGATTTCAATCCACTGTTTTTTCTGAAAGTATCAAGCACCGAGGTTAACACGCACCGAAACGAGTCACCTGAAACTATGCAGCACTTCCGGTATTAAATTTACGTAACCTCTAGCTCAAGGCCTACTTGAACAGTGGCCTAGTAGGCCAAGTTGGCTGTTGGCTCGGTCTAAGTAGTTGGGGATAACAGAACACTCCTATAAAAATTAGCATACATTTATCTAATCATGTCTAAGATCTAAATGTTAAATGTATTTACCGTAATTATAACCATACAAACTGCTTTCATATTTAAAGAAAATATAGATCTAACATTGTTGTAGTAAGGCACTTTACTATTTAGTGTGACCTGAGTTCTTAAATATGATAATAGCTTTTGATTTATTTATTTTAATAATTTTATCTTTTAAGTTAACTATAACTAATGGTTAAAGCTTCAACATGACCTGAAATTAATAAGATATATTATTTTTTTTTATCTATAGGCCAACATATTTCTTTTAAACATTCATCAATCTTGTAAAATCATTCATATGACAATTAAAAAGCAATTTGATCTGGCATTTCTTGTCCTTATGTTATTGTTTTAAAAAGATTCCTTAGATCTACTTATAAAATATATTACAATGAATTTTAGGAGATAAACTTACAAAGCCTGATATTAAACCTCGTTAAAATTCTATACTATACACAATGGCTGGAAAATTAACACTTCAAACTCTGAAAAGAGTAGTAGCTGAGCGTGTCAAAGGGCCAGGCTTTGAAAGTCTATTTGATCAGGTGTGTCACAATAAAATAAAAAATACTTTAAAATAGTAGGCCTACATACATATACATAATACATACAATAACATATAAAAACATATAAATTATAGAATATAGGGGGCCTAGTAAATTACTACACATACTCTGACACAGATCTAGATCTAGTACTTTTATTCACTATGAACTTCTACATACTTGATCTACCTACAGTAGTTATAACTTTATGGGCAGGTCTCTGTAACTGTACTGTGTACACGCAGTACTAAAGTGACTATCACTATAGGCCATAGGCCCATACTATCTGTAATTTTACTAAATATGTACTAATGTAGCCAAAATGTATTTATAAATCGGCTATACTATAAATATCTACCAATTAAATAATAATAAAGTAAATTACTAACCATACTAAAACAATGAAATAAAAATTGTTGGCCTAATAATAATTACTAACAATGTTATTTTTTTATTGTTATAACAATACAAATATCTAAGCATATTCATAATAGATACTCCAAAATATATATATATATATATAAATATATATATATATATATATATATATATATATATATATAATTTATATATAATTTAACAAATTGAGCAGAATGTCAGATATTCAGAAATATGCTCAGGGATTGTGGGGACTGCTTGAGTACATATTTTGTGGAGGGAAAGAGAATGGGGGCTCTTTTTCAGCAGAAATGCATGAGGAGTCATAATTTGCTGAAAATAAAGAGTGACCAATAAAGAGAAAGATATATATATATATATATATATATATATATATATATATATATATATATATATATATATATATATATATATATAGGCCTATATATATATATATATATATAATATATATACATACACACACATATAGGTGTAGGCATATATATATATATATATATATATATATATATATATATATATATATATATATATATATATATATATATATATATATATATATATATATATATATATATATATATATATATACACACAGTGTATATTTATACATTTTACTCAAAAAATTGTTTAGTTGAGTGTTATATCTGGTGGTGATGGCTTGTGTTGCTGTGAACTAAAAGTCAGTCCTAAAATGTTAAATGTAAGTGGTAGTTTACATGGAGGTGTGACAGCTTCTTTAATTGATGCAGTCTCTACATATGCACTAATGACAACAGGCACAGGCCGACCTGGTAGCAGTATTGATCTCAACATAAGGTAATTTGCATTCTATCTAGAGATAAAAATGTAGTAGTGCTATAAAACAGTAATAGCACTCAAAAGTGAGAGAATTATTAAATCTTGTTATTATAATTTGCACTTCGGGAAACAATATTTTCATTATATATATATATATATATATATATATATATATATATATATATATATATATATATATGTGTGTGTGTGTGTGTGTATGTTTATGTTTGTGTGTGTATGGATATATACATGCAGAACTACTAAGAGAACTTTTAAAACTACGTTTCAGTTACATGCGGCCTATAAAGTTGGACGATGTAATTGTAATTTCGGCTAAAACATTGAACTGTGGGAAAAAGATTGCTGTCAGCACAGTGGACATTAGCAGCAAACAGACGGGCAAACTGGTGGCTCAGGGCAGACACACCAAATTTGTGGGTGATCCCAAAGTGGATTGACAACTCAATGTAAAATACCAATTCCACTTTTGCCACCTTTTGTCCTTGGATGACACAAGGGTTTCCTGATAGTGCCAGATTAAAGTGGCATATGCCTTGAGCAGCTGAGATTGTCAAGATTTTATAAGCTTATTCCAGCTTGAAGTCTGTTAACCATGACACATATGGTGCTATGTTTTGAATTATTATTAATTTTATTGGTATGTTAGTTTAGCTAGATATGTTTGTAACATTGTAATGTAAGTTATGAAGATGTGGAGAGTTGTGCATGCATACGTTAGTACACTTATATGAGGTTTTTTGTCAAAATAAATTGGTTTTTTGAGTCAATATCATTTTGTCTTTTTGTGTTTTGAAGCCTAAAATGTTAGGCATTATTTGTGAATATTTTTACTGTTTATTTTTCTGTATCAATTGTTATAAAAAAGGTTTATGTCTTTGCTGAAACATATATCTGTTGATAATTCAAATAATCAAGAAATTTATAATTTTTTAAAACATGATTATTATTAATACATGATTATTATCAATACATGATTAGTAGAATACCATATGTTAGTATGGCAAAATTTCAATAAAAATAAGTTTGTAATGTAAGGGGAGTAATCCATAATACTATTATTTATAGTTGGTTATGTCCCCTTGTATATAAATTGTAGCTTGGTTTGTTGTCTTGTTATATTGATAGCGCAGTGCAAATGGTTTTATTACTCTATATTATTATTAGCGTATATTGGAACAAATATAAATCCTAATACGTATTATTTGATTTGAAAACTGGTCTTTTCAAAGTGATAGACAACAATTTTAAAAGTCCCTAAAATTGTTCACTTTTTTTTTTAGCAATTATGACCATAAACAAGAGGCTTTAAGTTTAAGGATAGAGGTCTATATAACTATAACACTCATAAATGACATTTCTTTATTTATGAACATGAGAATAGCAGTGGCGGAACTAGAAAAAAAAGGCCCCCCCGCAGAATTTTTTTTTGGGCCCCTATATATATATATATATATATATATATATATATATATATATATATATATATATATATATATATATATATATATATATATATATATATATATATATATATATATATATATATATATATATATATATATTAAGTTTTCGAAGTGAGAAACACCGACTCTCTAAATCTAGCCCGACACACTAAACTGACGATGATTTATTAAGAGGCTTTTATCAAAACGTTAACAACCGTGTATTTTTTAGACGTGTGCCCTGTTTACCAGAAGTTGAATTAAATATTAACAATTTCGGCAGTTCATTTCTACCAACTAGACACGCCAAGGCATGCTGTAAGTCCCTCGGCGACGGCCCAGGTGTCAGGGGAGTCACGGGGCTTTTGGGAGCTACCGGTTACATTCAGAGTTTCTTTCAGGCATCTCTTGGGGGGGGGGGCGAAGCCCCCCCGAAATTTTTTTTACCACCCCCTCCCCCCCCCGAACGAAATGAAATTTCTATACTTTATATAGAAAATATATACTTTTAACAGCGTCCGCCCCCCCCCCCCCGAAGAAAGTCTACCGCCCCCCCCCCCCGAAAATTTCAAGTGCCCCCCCGGAGAAAAAAGTCTGGAAGAAACACTGGTTACATTACTGCACAGGGGATGGGCGCGACATATTGTTTCTTCCGGCAGTCTGGAAGAAACATTGGTGCAACACTTGATTAGATTTAATCAGCGAGTGTAGTAGCTAGACTTATTCCTAGTGTTGTCGGAACTTTTAAACGACTGGATGTGGGGGCCAACCTGCTCATATGTGATGCGCTCAGGATGACACTGTCGCCGGTGATTTCAAGTAGTAACCTCATCCGCTTATACAAGATCTAGGGGCGCTAAATCACATATTTCCAATATGTAAACAAATGTTAGCCTATGACAGAAACCTTTGCGTGGCTGTCAGAGTTTCTTCCAGGCATCTCTTCGGGGGGGGGGGGGGGGGGGGGGGGGGCGACGCCCCCCCCCCCCCGAAAATTTTTTACCGCCCCTCCGAACGAAATGAAATTTATATAATTTATATAGAAAATATATACTTTTAACAGTGTCCGCCCCCCCCCGAAGAAAGTTTACCGCCCCCCCGAAGATTTCAAGTGCCCCCCCCCCCGGAGAAAAAAGTCTGGAAGAAACACTGGTGGCTGTCCTCAACAGCTTCCAAAGTTTTCATGGCGATTGGGTAAATGATGCAGTAATGCAAAATAGACAGAAACGTGTTTTTCACATGTACAACTGTATGTGGCCAGCTCACGCGTCGGATAACTTTCTGATTTAGGGGGGGGGGGGAATCCACAAATGACGTCACATTTTTTAACGACTAACAAAAAGCCAGACCCTCACACACACCCCCCCTCCCACCTCAATAACGTCATTGATAAATAGTAATTGACTATTAATTATATAATAATGTTCAATTAATTCTAAACGTTCTAATTAATTTCTAAATAATTATATAAAAAATAATCTTACCTTCCCTGTTTTGTGAATTAGATGTGCCTAATACTAATAGTATGCAAATAAATCAATATCTGTTGACTAGTGCTGTCTAGTGTCTGACAAAATGTGCTGAAGTGGTGAATCGTACGGTTAGGAAGTAGTTCATAAACGATACATTTATCTCCTCGATACTTGTGAGGTTGAGAAAGAGGGATGGGATAGGGGTCGGCTCGGGAAAAAAACTTGAAAGAGACGACAAAACGCCTTGATCTATGTACGTCAGCATCGCCCATTGTAAAACTTACTCAGGGGAGATAATTCCAAGTATAGGCCTTAAAAGTTTACTATGATATTTCTTGTAAAAGTAAAAAAAAAACCAGTAAACGTATATAAAAACGAAGTTTCTAGTATTATATTCTTTTTTATTATTTGTAGGATACAAGATAGTACAGAATACAAATTCAACCACTATCACTAACACATATTAACATTGAAAAATGTTAAATGGATTTCGGCGGGTCCCTAACTAATGCCGAAACGAAGAACCGCGCATCATGAAAGCCACTTCATGTGTAGCGGCTTCTCGTGCTATGGTCTTTGTTGTTTTTTTAAAAAGAATTTTGCCGGCGACAGCGTGGGGAAATAGAACTCGGCCTTGACGATGGTTAAAAAATACAACTATACTATAAATAAAAAGAAATGTTATCCCCATCCCCTGCCCCATCCGCCACAGTACACTTTGGAGGATCGGTCAAACAGTTACGTGTCCTCTATTGAGCTATCAAAGGGGGGCAACGAGTCAAATGTGTCATTCAAATTTGAAGCGTTGCCTATATTTTACACTGTATTTTGTGTAATGGATTTTTTTTTTTTTTGCTGAAGAGCGTGGTATAGTGACTGTAAAATAAAGATAATCGTACCGCAGCTACAGTGTTTTTCTTTTACAAACTAAATATCAAGGCAAAAATGCACGAAAATTAAATTCAAAATTTAAAAAAATACTAATTATGGTCAGCAGTGGGCCCCTAAACGGCCTGCCCCCCCCCCCCCCCACCCGCATTGCGGGGTCTGGGGGCACTGTAGTTCCGCCCCTGTATAGATCTTTTGGTTGTTTTTAGGCTTAAAAGCTAGATCATTGTATCCTAAAATTTTTTAACTTTAATGTATTTAGTGTTAATAACTAATTTTCCATTAACACGTTTACTAATTATAAAACGATTAATAATATAAAGACGGGTCTTACCTTCTTGTTGTGTGAATTAGATTCGTCAACGAAATACTTCATCAGGTAAATGAACAACTACTGACTAGTGTCTTTAACAAAATGTGCAGAAGTGGTCAGTTTACAGTTCAGTAGTTCATAAACGGTTCGTTAATCTATGCATTACATCTTATTGTAAGAGTAAGGGTGTGGTGAGGGGTAGAGGTTAGGGGGATGGGGGGAGGGTAGAGAGTTGGGAAGGTTCAAGGGAAGGGGACAAGAAAGCGCCGATGAACATCTACATCAATAGTGCCGACTTTTTCCGGTCGTCTAGAAGACCAGGATAGTCGCCGCAACATTTCCCCAGCCCGATTTTCAAAGCTTTTTTGTTCTCCTAATCGACACCACTAAAAAAGAACGGTAGGCTGCGTCTTTGAAGTTGTCTATATGTCTGGCGGTCTCTCGAGCAATAGTCTCTGCATTTTTCTCATAGACGTTTCTCGACTATCGTGTTTGTTTGTAACTGTAGAAGAAAGATAACTCGACATCCACCTAATTTTTTTTATTTAAATTTAAATTTAAATTTTTTTTTTAATAATTTAGCCAGGATTTTTGGGCCCCCAATCGGTCTGGGCCCCCCCGCATTGCGGGGTCTGGCGGCACTGTAGTTCCGCCCCTGGAGAATAGTAGTGTGTATCAAAACTAAGATAAAATATAGTTTGAAATTGTGTTGACCTTGAATATGATATATTTTACGGTCCGCGATAATAATAAAAAAAATTGTATACATTTTAGAACTAAAATTTTACACTTATTGATAAATTAGATAGCATTGTTTTCGTATTTTTATAATTAAGATTTAGATCCTATTGGGGGAAAGTATTAGCCTCTTTAAACACATTATCAGACAGATATGCTGTTCAACCTCCCCCCCCCCCCCCCACCTGTTTTATGGTTGCGTTTAATAAAGGGATATCTATCCTTTCACATTATTAACAGACGAGGAAAATGGCGCTGTTGGGCCATTAGCGGACAGTAGCGCCCTCTGAGAGTTTGAGGGGTGAGCCTATACAAAGTATACCGAGACTGGTAGATGTAAAAGTGGGCAGGATACATGTGGTGTAGCAGAAAATGGTGATGGGAGCCAAGAGATGTGTTAAGGATATAGGATAAGGTATTTTTAAATATTGTTGTAGGCCTACACCACGTTTTAGACAAATGCGATGATTTCTTGACATGAGACAATTTGCTGTGATATTCTTTAGTTTTTATCAAAATGATGTTGAGGGGGTCGTCCATAAATGACGTCACACTCGTATGGGGGGGGGGGAGGGGTTCAGATGATGTGACGTCACACTTTTGCATTATAAAAAAACAATGTTAGAATTTCGCCGTTATTTCGCGTTTTAGAAATCGGTTTTAATAAATTGTAATAGGAATCGATTAAAATACTCTATGTTGACAGAGTTCAGACAAGATTTAGGAAATATATGGATGTTTTAAGAAAAATTCAACTGCAATTTGGAGGGGGGGGGGTTGTAGGCCGAGATGTGACGTCATTTTAGGGGGGGGGTGGTCTGGCTATTTGTGACGATGTGTGACGGAGGGGATAGGGGCGAGTTTAAAAACCGTCCATAAAAACGCGACGTCATTTATGGATGACCCCTTAGGGTAATTGAAAACAATATTTGCTTCTAGACTTACTAAATATGACCACATGTCCAACCTTCGAAATTACAGTTGTTTTTTTCTTGATATTTATGTCCACGTCACTAAAGATATAGTTTACTAATTAACCCAACTCTTCCAATAGACACAAATCAGTGGGCCATTTAATATCTTTCTTCTAATTATTACACACTTGCAATTAAGTTTAAGACCCATTACAATTTACTATAATTTGTGAATATCCAACCCACGTTTGATGGATAAGACCCCTTTGTTTATTACAATTACAAACGATTGTTTTGCCAAATTTTCTATGCTATAAAATATATTAGGCCCCCTTTGTTAATTACAAATTCTCGTTTCTGACAACGTTTCTGTTATAAAATATATAAGACCCCTTTGTTTATTACAAACAATTGTTTTGCCAACTTTTATATGCTATAAAATACATCAGACCCGCTTTGTTAATTACAAACTTTCGTTTGTGCCAACTTGTTTATTACAAAAAATTGTTTTGCCAAATTTTCTATGCTGTGAAATACATTAGGCCCTCTTTGTTAATGATCCGACAAATTCTAGTTTCTGACAACTGTTCTGTCATAAAATATATAAGACCCCTTTGCTTATTACAAACGATTGTTTTGTCAACTGTTCTATGCTATAAAATACTTCAGACCCCTTTTTGCTTACTACAAACTCTAGTTTCTGTTAACATTTCTACGTTGTAGAATCCAAGCGCGACCTGATAAGACTAAATAAATATTGCCTCCAGCGGTAACCCAACTCGAGACGTCCGTAATGTAAATTGTATTTGTAAGCCTGCCTAGCTAAGACAACAAGAAAGACTACCTAGTACCACCTGTTTTTATGAGGAAAAAATGACCAGTTCGTGTTTTTTTCGGCCGCGAATATTTCTTTTAGAGACTTGTTTAACGATAACAGCATTTCGGGGATTTTAGATCAATGTTCTATTACTAATTATTAGTCTTTCAAATATAGATTAAAAAATAGCTTTGATTTTTAAAATCAATTACAAACAAATATAAACAAGGAGAATAAATAAATCGAACAATTTAATATCATTTAATTATATTCCACAACAGCATTAGAAGAAAATAAAATATAAAAAAATAGTTTATCATCACGATTAGCCTAATGTTGCCACTACACCCCCTCCAAATATAAATAAATAAAACAATACAAAAACAAAGAACAACAACATAGCAACTGGTACCTTAAAAGATTGAAGAGGCTTTTAGATTGACAAGAGACTTACAGTGGCGGAACTAGAAAAAATGGGCCACCCCGCAAAAAATTTTTTTGGGCCCCCCACATATATATATATATATATATATATATATATATATATATATATATATATATATATATATATATATATATATATATATACAAACACAATACGAACATAGGATACTCCTTTCTGGCCTGATCGGGTTTTGAGAAAAAAAATCAATTAAATCGAATCACACCAACATGTCATGTGTATGAGTGCATTGGTCTGTTTTGAAAATCTCTGTTTTTATTTACATTTAATACCTCTAATAATTAAGTCGGTCGAAAGTATATAAAAAGTATATAAAAGTATATAAATCATGAAGCTTTGCATAAGTAATGGTGTCTCGTGTTATGTTTATTTTTATGTTTTTTTGTATTTATATTATTAATTTTAACTACTTTTCATTTGTATACTATACCATTTTTTAGTACTTATTTTTTTAAAATAATAATTAAGACCAGTAGTTGCTTTTAATTTGAATATTACAAATCTATTAAAAAGAGCTTTTGAGCAACCCTATTTGACTATTTGAAAAAGGGAAATAATTTATGGAAGTGGTTTGAGCGTTTGCCTATCATTCACACCTACAGCTAATGTGTATATTTTTTTTATTTTTTTACGCAACAGCATGTCTTAGCTACTATATAACATCACTACTGTATTAAATCTGTTATCTGTTTGTTATTTACAAAACCACTATCAAGGAGCCAGTGACGAAACTAATATATATATATATATATATATATATATATATATATATATATATATATATATATATATATATATATATATATATATATATATATATATATAATTCGTGTATTTATTTGAGACTTTTGCCTTGTTTTCTAGAACAGTGGTTATTAAACGTAAACAATGTCGGCACTTTATTTCTTTGATATTAGTTGTTGGAGCGTTAGCTTGTCTACACTACCACTGATACGAGCCAGCTTAGTTGTTGAGGCGCTATCTATTCGCTTCTTGTAAGGCTAAGAGCAGGAGGGGAGGTCTGAGAAAGGAACTTAAAAGGGACAACAAAGCACCGATGTGCTTTTATCCATCAGTACCAAATTTGGGATGGTCTCAAAAAGCCGTCTTAATATCTACCGGCCTCTCGCGCAATTGATGTTTTTTTTTCAAAAGAATTTTGCCGTCAACAGCGTGTGTTTGATTGTAGGAAAAAGAATATACAAGAGCGTGGGATGTTGTCTATAGAATAAAGATACTCCAACCGCAGCTACATTATTCTTTTTTCAAAACAACCATCAGGTCAAAAATGCAAGAAAATTAATTTTGACTATACAAAAATGATTATGGGCGGCTGTGGGCCCCCTAAACGGCGTGGGCCCCCCCGCATTGCGGGGTCTGGCGGCACTGTAGTTCCGCCCCTGGAGACTTACTGTGATTGTCTTAGTCTATTTGCATATGACTTAAAAAAAACAATTTTAACATGCAAGTTCACAGACCACAGGTTATAAAAATGAACATATATTAAAAAAACATGTAGGCCCTAATGTTCTTTGAAAAAAAATCAAATAAAAAACATACCGATTTATGTTTGTATTCCCGAGACCGATTTCAGGTTTTAAAACAAACTAGCAGTCCCTGCGCCACACAGGCTTACAATAATAGTGTGTACCAAAATGAGTGACACGTTTGCACCGCTCCGTAATTCAACACTACACATACTTATCTCCCACACAAGTGCAAATAAACCCGGGGACGGGCTAGAAAGAGCTGTCAGGTCACAGTTCAATGACGCTGAATGCAGTGGCAGCGAGGAATTTTTTTTCCACGGTTTAAAAACACAAACAGAACACAATTTAGTTAATAAGAGAGGCTCGAAAGGTTGAAACAGAATTATTTATTTCAGTAGCGAATCACGAGGGTTGCATCAGGTCTCTGAGAATTTCTTAAGAGAGCACTGGGCGGTCTTTTGGGCGTAGTGAGTTTTTTTTTCTATTAAAAATAAAAAAGAAAATAGGAAAGGAAAAAGAAACTCTAGCACAGTGGTTCCCAACCTTTTTCGAGTGGCGACCCCCTTTTATAAAAAGTAAGTGACCCGCGACCCCCATAGAATTAAAAAGCCGAAATTAGTATGGAAAGTAATAAGCACTATAATAAGATTTGCTAGTAGACTTTCAATATGAACTACTCTTGATAACTGTTTTAATAGCATGAGTAAAATTGCATACTATTCACTAAACCTTCGTGGTTAAGTTTTTAATTTAAAAAAAAAATTTTAACGCCAACCTATGTCATTATAAGTATCTTAATTTTGTTTTTAATCAAAGAATAGTGTTGAAAATATATTCTCGAAAAGTCAATAAATTTTACGTTTGGGTATGAATGGTGAATACTACACCAAAATTGTGTCTGCAGTTTTTCATCTTACTCGGAATCATTCTGCAAATCAAAGAATTCATCTTGTAATTCATCGGGAATGCTGGCAACATCAATGGAAGAAGAGCATGGATAATACGTAAATGCAGATTCCTCTTTTTTCAGCTCAGAGAAATAGCGATGCAGTTCGTTTTCAAGAGATTCAAAATGCCCATAAATCGCTTCTTTCAAAATTTTAATTATCTCCCAATCAGATTCATCTACCACACCGCAGAGTTTCTCAAATTAACAATATTTCCAAGATTTATTTTCTTTACCGATTTTGCAGCTTTGATAAAAATGCCCCGAGATTATCATGGAAAGTTGTAATATTCGTTAATTTTCCCTGAATCTTCAGGTTAAGCTTACCTTGATGTTCGAACACATCTGCTAGGTATGATACTCTCTTAAACCACTCTATGTCGTTTTAAGTATACCAAAAAGTCTTGTTTCCTTTGCACTTTCAAGAACAATTTGATTTCAGATTTCAATTCAAAAACACAATTTACAACATTTCGTTTGACAGCCAGCGTACTGTAGTGTAAAAGAGCAGAACCTCGTGATCTATATTAATGTTTTTGCTCAGTTCTTTGAAGGCTCCAGATTTCATATAATTTACGACTTATACTAGCAATGGACTCTTGATGTCGATTGGTTAGGGTAATGGTTAGGGAGCTAAATCTTTTCTGTTTTCTGAAAGCCCGATTTTGAGCTAAACATAGATGGCGCACCATCCGTACAAACCCCCACAGCCGTTCTAACCCATTTTAATCATCCCGTTTAAAAAAAAATAGTATTTATTTTTTCCATGCTATCTTCACAAAATAGCAACTCTTCTTTGCTATTATCCGCATGAATATAGACACAGACTAGCAACTGCCAACACGAACTCACGTCTGTTGATTTATCAACTTGAAAAGCAAACAATGGTGAAAGCTTAATTTCAATAAAAATGTGTTATTTAACATTAACGTACATGCAGCGTTTGATGAGATTTTCTCCTATTTTTTTTTTTTTTTTTTGCTTGGCATTTTCTATCGCGATTTCATTTGATGCTTGCACTAATGCTGGTGAAAACTTCCTGTTCGATCAAGTCTCTGGCGTTTGCAACTAGCTTCTTACCGACGAAAGAACTCCATATATTTTTGTGTGTGTTCCGAATGACTCGTCTCAAATGACGTTTTAGTTTTGAAGATTGTATACATGCGTGACTGAGAACAACTTTGTACAATGCGCTTTGTTTCTTCTCTATTACATTTCCAGTGATGTTAATAAAGCCGAATTTCAAAATTTTTTCTAAATATTTATGTTTTGTTTCAAACTACTAAGGTTTAGTATACCAGTTGGCGACCCCCCAAAAAGACCTTCGCGACCCCCAGGGGGGTCGCGACCCCCAGGTTGGGAACCCGTGCTCTAGCATCAAATGTTGCGCTCTTGCACAAGTTGTCTCCCCTACAAGTGGCGACCGTCTCGGTTGATTCGCACGCCGGAAGTCATCTCTGGGTAAATGTTGGCGGATGGAATCATGAACTCAGACGGCTTCTGGTTGAACCGGTCATCACGACGCTCCGATCTGGCCAAATAGAAGGGAGGTGTTAGGGAGGGGGAGAGAGGAGGGGTAATGAAACAAACGGCATGAATTCTTATGATAAAATATAAGGTTAAATAAAATAAAAACTTATACATAATACATTGTAATCTGCAAGCACACAACAATAGTGTTTCTTCCAGGCATCTCTTCGAAAAAAAATATACCCCCCCCCCACCCCGAACGAAATGGAATTTATATTGAAAATATATTATACTTTTAACAGTGTCCGCCCCCCCCCCCCCCCCCAAGGAAAAAAGTCTGGAAGAAACACTAAAACACTGCGCAAGAGGGCTGTTAAATTTTTTTTAACTATAAGTGGCCGTGATATTAATAAGAAAAATACGAACTCAAATTCATTGCGATATAAAAATAACCACTTTGTATGCTAAAATAGCACATCATATATTTCAGTATATACATAAAATCCCTTTATTGAAGGGAAAGCATAGAGTCATACTCATAGTATCTTACTCCCAAAGAACCTTCGTCACACATCGTCACAAAAGTATACAGTCATAGTATCTTACTAACCACGAACCTTCGTCACACATCGTCACAAAAGTATAAAGTCATAGTATCCTACTCCCCACGAACCTTCGTCACACATCGTCACAAAAGCCCCAACTTCCCACTTGCCGTGGAGTGTAGTGTGACATCCTTTATGGACGATTGCATAACCCAAAAACAATTATATAAAAAAAAAACAATATTACAGTAGACTAATCAATCTTATCAAGTAGCCGCAATATATCGCATTAACTAAATCCTTATCGATTATTTGGTTATAATTCTCTGGCCCAGTAATTCTGCTTCAAAAAAAAAAATCAAGATTAAATTAAGAAACTCGTCTCTCCCCGCCACTAGCTCACGATACAACACACGGAAGTTTGAGACCCCTAACGTCTGAGGTAGCGAATCAACCAAAACTCTAGCGCTGTCTAGGTCAGGACAATGTGAGAGGCACCCTCCCTGCCCCTAGCTCACGATACAACACACGGAAGTTTGAGACCCCTAACGTCTGGGGTAGCGAATCAACCAAAACTGTAGCGCTGTCTAGGTCAGGACAATGTGAGAGGCCCCGGGATTTGGTACGTCAATCGCGATCTTACCTGCGGCACATTGTTCATTGTTTTTTTTTCGAGAAATTAAAATGGTTCTGGATTGCAAACATGTCCTGAACGCCGGTCAGGTTAAGTCACCCCCCCCCCCCCCCCGACACACACACACCATTTACCTGAATGTGTTGTATAAAAGGATAACATTGACTCTTGAACTTAATGTCCCCCACCCCTCTTTAACCGTTGTTGTAGATTGTACCGGACTGTGTTTTAGTCATAAGCTCTGTCCCCAACCTTGCTGTAGACTTTAATATCCTTTGACTTGGTTATATGCCTTGTGCCCCCCCCCTTTCATTTTCACATTACCTATTACTGTTGACTTCATCATGGGCCCTGCCCCCCCCCCCTTTCCACTACCTGCTACTGTATCACCCTGCGATTTTGTCATGGGTCCTGTTCCCCCTCCTCCTTTTTTCACACCCCACTCCTACATTTACATTACCTGTTACTGTTATTGTAGACTGTATCACCCTGTGATTTTGTCATGGGCGCTGTACCCCCCCCCCTTTTCACACCCACTCCTACCTTTACATTACCTGCTACTGTTGTTGTAGACTGTATCACCTTTTGATTTTGTCATGGGCCCTGTAACCCCCCCCCCCCCCTTTTCACACCCCCACTCCTACCTTTACATTACCTGTTTCTGTTATTGTAGACTGTATCACCCTGTGATTTTGTCATGGGCGCTGTACCCCCCCCCCCTTTTCACACCCACTCCTACCTTTACATTACCTGCTACTGTTGTTGTAGACTGTATCACCTTTTGATTTTGTCATGGGCCCTGTACCCCCCCCCCCCTTTCACACCCCACCCCCTACCTTTACATTACCTGCTACTGTTGTTGTAGACTGTATCACCCTGTGATTTTGTCATGGGCCCTGTACCCCCCCCCCCTTTTTTTTCACACCCCACCCCCAACATTTACATTACCTGCTACTGTTGTTGTAGACTGTATCACCCTGTGATTTTGTCATGGGCTCTGACGGCGCCCTCTCCCCGCCGTTGCCCCTCTCGCTGTGCCTGGGCGCGTTGCTGGGCGCGGGTTTGGGCACGAGACTGCTGCTGGGCTTGACGCTGATGTAGCCCATCAGCTTGTAGTAATCGAGGAAGGTGCGCGCCACGTTTCGCCCCAGCTTCATATCTGCACTAATGGTTAATTGAAATATGCGCCGCAGTCACCAAACACCCGTGTGCTAGTCCACACAATAGCATGTAATAACCAGCAGTATAAAAAAAAATGAAATAAAAGAAGTATCGATTGGGCTAAGGATACAAGCTTCCTCTGTGTAGGGCATTGATTGTCCCGTGCTGTTGGTCTGGTAGCTGAAGAAGGAGACCTCCAACGTGTAACAATGAGACTCGTCCAGACAGCTGCCTAGCGTTCTGGGGAAGTAAACAATAGAGAGGGCATGAGAATCGTACATGACTAGGGTATGAGAACCGTACGGGACTAGGGCATGAGAACCGTACATGACTAGGGCATGAGAACTGTATATGTTTAGGGCATGAGAACCGTACGGGACTAGGGCATGAGAACCGTACGGGACTAGGGCATGCGAACTGTACGGGACTAGGGCATGAGAACCGTGCATGACTAGGGCATGAGAACCGTACGTGACATGAGAACCGTACATGACTAGGGCATGAGAACCGTACGGGACTAGGGCATGAGAACTGTACATGACTAGGGCATGAGAACCGTGCATGACTAGGGCATGAGAACCGTACGGGACTAGGGCATGAGAACTGTACATGACTAGGGCATGAGAACCGTACGGGACTAGGGCATGAGAACCGTGCATGACTAGGGCATGAGAACCGTACGGGACTAGGGCATGAGAACCGTACGGGACTAGGGCATGAGAACCGTGCATGACTAGGGCATGAGAACCGTACGGGACTAGGGCATGAGAACCGTACGTGACATGAGAACCGTACATGACTAGGGCATGAGAACCGTACGTGACTAGGGCATGAGAACCGTACGGGACTAGGGCATGAGAACCGTACGTGACATGAGAACCGTACATGACTAGGGCATGAGAACTGTACATGACTAGGGCATGAGAACCGTACATGACTAGGGCATGAGAACTGTATATGTTTAGGGCATGAGAACCGTACGTGACTAGGGCATGAGAACCGTACATGACTAGGGCATGAGAACCGTACATGACTAGGGCATGAGAACCGTACATGACTAGGGCATGAGAACCGTACGGGACTAGGGCATGAGAACCGTACGTGACATGAGAACCGTACATGACTAGGGCATGAGAACTGTACTTGACTAGGGCATGAGAACCGTACGGGACTAGGGCATGAGAACCGTACGGGACTAGGGCATGAGAACCGTACATGACTAGGGCATGAGAACTGTACATGACTAGGGCATGAGAACCGTACGGGACTAGGGCATGAGAACCGTACGGGACTAGAACGTGTTTAATTAATTTGATAAACAGACATTTTACCACGGTCCGTGAAGAAGTTAATTAAAATATGTTTAATATTTGTGTATATTTTATATAAAATGCGTTATCGTTATTTAATACGGTTGAATTTTTTTAAAAGAAAGAAATTGAAACGAAGTATCATTTTTAAAAAAAATATATAAATGGTGTGACACGTGTCGTTAAATTAGCTGAAATTCAAGAAAGCATGATGAATAAAATTAACACCCAAATAGGTTTTAGTTTAGCTTAATATTTCGAGATAACAAAATTTAAATTTCAATTATAATCTGATTACTGAAACTGCCCTGGTTAATATTTGAATAAAGGCCCTCTTAGTCTCTCTTAGATGATGTTTGTATGGGTTTTAGAACGTTTCTCTTGAAAAATTAAAATGGCGTATTATTTTTTTTAAGAGTGTGAAATATTTTTAAGCACTTGCCATAGACAAGAAATAAAGTTCACAAACTAAACGTAGGGCGTGGGAACACATTCAAAAGTGTAATTAGATTTCTTAATTTGTTTTCATTCATATTTAAACAATTATCCTTTTAAGTGATATTCTATTATTTTTAGTACGTGTTAATTTAGTTTAGAAAATTCAGGTATAAAAACGTTTCATTTTTTTTACATTTGTTATAGAAAACGTGTTAAGTTCACGAACTAAGCCATGGAGTATACCCCACACATTTGGTTATTTCATTAGCTCCAACACTTGCATTAAGCTGCGAGGTATCTTTATCAAACATTAGCTCCCAGTAAATGGACTCAGCGTTCTTTATACAGATGGCGCTGGGACAATCGTGTATTTGTTACACGGCGTTGAGAGCTGCATTCTCAGTACATCTGCTGTTGGTGCAGTCTCCTACACCATGCTCAGACCAAACAATGCCAACAACGACGCATGCAACTTTGATACACACGTAACATAATGGATGTCTCCTACACCATGCTCAGACCAAACAATGCCAACAACGACGCATGCAACTTTGATACACACGTAACATAATGGATGTAACGGAGGGAAGACAACGCCATGCTGCCTCGCGAAAACAAGGCAGGATATCCGGTTACTAGCACAGATAAACTCGGCGCGCTGACGTAGGCAAGTAATCGCAGACGTACTTTTGCCAGGAAAAACACGCCTGGTTCCACCTATACATTTTCACACAGAAGAGGGGAGAAATTTGGACAAGTTTTTTTTCAGCAAGACTTTTCGTTATTTACTCTACCACCACCCCCCCCCCCCTTTCACACTTCAACATTCATCATGTACTTGCAATATGATCGGGGGAAAAAATGAACACGATTTTGCAATCAACGCTACATGCTACATAAATTAGAACAGTTTCGAACGCAAGTAGTCTAACTTCATTCATTTCAATAGTGTGTTGGTGACAGTTTGGCTCCAGAAATGGGCAAGCTTTCTGTATTGCCCATAGCGGGGTATTCTAAACGTTGAACGTGCCTACACAAATTAGGACATGAATCAAGCATTATCAACACAATCACAGAAAGGGCCGAGCTGCGGCAGGAAATAGATGGCAGCACTGTGCTTAAAATGGCAGCACCGTGCCCCATTCGTCCTCCGCCCACGGGCGAGCTTTGGTTCTGTTTGACAGCGTTTTGCAGTTACCGGGTGGGGGCATAATCCCCCGCTTTTCAGAAAAAAAAAATATCTATATAGGTTTTGTTGAGATTTCTATCAGCGGAGAAATCAATATCCCCCGTCTCTATGATTGAGTGGATGGGGAATTCAGGCCGCGGACACATTCAACCAACTGGTCAACTCAATATTCGTTTAGCCGGGTTTGAATTATTAGCGGCTCGGGAGGAAAAATGGATAGCGTACGCAAGACAGATCACGTAGACAAATTTCGCTTGTTCCAAAACTTTTCTTCTGAAAGACAAATCAAACAGGCACATTTCGCTTGTTCCAAAACTTTTCTTCCGAAAGAGAATTCAAACAGACCAATCTCGCTGGCTTTACAACTTAGCTTGGGAAAGGCAAATAAAAAAGTCCAATTTCCCTCACTCTTCAACTTTGGAATTTCATAAGGCCAAGAGTAACGATAAGAGACACGCATTCTTCTCTCAATGTATTGTAGAATATAGATCAACAACAAAAGACGTTCTAACTGTTCATCAACAGTTGTTGTGTTTACCTAAACTTTATAATAGCACGGGAGGGCGCGTAGTTCAGTATAATACTTTAAACTTCAATGGTAAAAAAATGGAGAAAATATGCAAGTTTACACGTTGGCTGGGTTGGTGTGTGTGTATGTGTGTTAGTGTGTGTGTGTGAGCGCGCGAGGGGTATGTGTGATTGACAGCCAAGGGGCATACATTTTTACCGTTATAATTTGTATATATTATATTATATTAAATCCTATTAAACTATAAACTAAATTAAATAAAAACTACTAATTTAAAAAAAAAAGAACATTAAAAAAAACAACGAAACGCCATTATGGGATAACATTGCTGACGTCAAGTATGTTTGTTCCCTGATCCATAACACCATTACAACCCAACCAAGCGAGCTCAACGTTTATTTTGGCAGGGTGAGCAGGTTGTACGGTGCACGTGCAATTAACTATGTAGTTAGCATATGTCTACGCTGTCAACGGGAAAACAGGTTTTATGTTACAGACACGTAGCCACATAACCTGGGTTAACTCCATGTACACAGGTGTAAAGGTACAGCTTACTTCATCGATATGTGGGTCAGCTTACTTCATCGATATGTGAATCAGCTTACTTCATCGATATGTGGATCTGCTTACTTCATCGATATGTGGATCTGCTTACTTCATCGATATGTGAATCAGCTTACTTCATCAATTTGTAACTCAATTTACTTCATCGATTTGTAAATCAGCTTACTTTATCAAAATGTGAATCAGCTTCTCATTGATATGCGAATCATCTTACTTCATTACCTATGTAGCATTGTATAACTCCCTAGCAAAAATGCCTGAACTTGCTGCCTCTTTTCTCTGTGTAGCAATGTTACTCTTTACTGGCTCAATTCTCTATGTAAGAGCTATTAAGGCAAGATTATTTCATGGTGTAAGCAATAGTACTTTACAGTACTTCTTCTGTATACACCAATATATCAAACAAAACTTATTCCATCTGTATGCGCATATTTATCACTGTAAGCTTACTTCATATGTATTCACCAATCTATCAAAGTAATCTTACTCCATCTGTAAGCACCACTCTATCAAAGTAAGCTTACTTCATCTGTAAGCACCACTCTATCAAAGAAAGCTTCCTTTATCGCCCATCTACCCACTGGGAGGGCGAATGTATCAAGCTAATCTGTCGAGTAGATAAACGACTTGCGCTGTCTTGTGTGTTGCAGTTGATGTTCTCCCTAGGCTCGATTGAACAAAGATCTGACAGTGCAGCTGATGTTACGCGTACATTGTTAAATATTCGGGTCTTCCCGAATATTTCTAGTAGAACTAGAGGTTGACTTCAACTACGAGAAAATCACAGGAAATCACAAGGTCAGGAGAAAATCAAAAGATGATCATGAGAAAATCAAGAGATGATCATGAGAAAATCAAGAGATGATCATGAGAAAATCAAGAGATGATAATGAGAAAATCAAGAGATGATCGCGGGAAATCACAAGATCATGAGAAAATCAAGAGATGATCATGAGAAAATCAAGAGATGATTATGAGAAAATCATGAGAATGATATATAACACCAAACTCTATGTATGTTAATTTCGATGAAGGAAACAGTTTAAGAATATGACGCTGTGTGGGATTTTTTTCCCCACTGCAAACTCTTTCTGACGTAATTTAGTTGTTAAAAAGTTGTTTATTTTAATGTAATTTGCTTACTTTTAATGAAAGGGTTTTAAGACATTACTTGTTGTTTTAGAGAACCCATCTACCATACAAGTCTTCA